TTTCCTGCAACTACTCGGCCGAAGACGCAAGTAATACTTGGTCATCAGCATAGAGAAAACATTTGACGAGTAACTCATTCATTCTCAACCCACTTTCATTCTCTTTTAAATCTGTCAAACAATTGTCCATGAACAGATTAAACAGCCACGGTGACGCTACACATCCCTGTCGTAACACCTTTTTCGATATTAAACCATTCAGTGTATGCCCCGTTTATCCTTACACAAGCACTAGAATCCCTATAAAGAGATTGTATTGCTCGTATGAGGATACTGCTCACACCGTTCACGGACAGTGCTGACCACAATTCATTCCTCACCACTCTATCATAGGCCTTTTCTAGATCTACGAACGCGCAGTAGACTTTCTTGTTTTTAGCCAAATACTTTTCGGCTATGCACCGCAAGGAAACGACCTGATCCGTACATACCATTCCCTTTCTAAATCCCGCTTGTGCATCCCATACTTTCTCGTCTGTTTCATTCACAACCCTTTCAATCAACACTTTCGCATACAATTTACCGACGACGCTGAGAAGGTTTATACCGCGGTAATTTATGCAGTCCTGCCGTGACCCTTTCCCTTCTGCGTCACTGGAATCACTTTCACTATCGCTCTGTAACTCTGTAATAAAGGGTTCATCTAAATACGCGTCTTTTTGTCTGTATTCATTTTCATTTTTTTTCACTATATTTCCACTCCACCAGAGTAATTTTATGGTCTGCATCTTCAATTATTTGGGGCATTTGAACATTAGGTTTTCCAACATTTTATCTGCTACGTTCCTTTTCATAGAGCTCCATATTATTTCAATTGCGTTCAAGTCGCAATGATCAGGTGGCATTCTAAGAATATTATGGCCATGACTTTCATCAGGCTATTAATTCCATATTCCGGAGCAGGTTTATTTCTCTTTATTAACTCACATTTTTTCATATTTTTTATTTACTTCCGTATGGTAGGAATTTCGTTTCACACTGAATAAAATTCGTGAATTTTTCTTTTTGTCCAATGTCATAATTATTAATTTCTTGTTTCCCGGTTTATCTTTGCCTTTTTTGCCAGGGGCAGAAGTTTTAAAATTGGATTCTTCAGCGTGTTTTACTTCATTGACGAGTTTGTGTACAAATCGCTCAGAAACACCTGTAAGAAAACGACAAATAATTATTATATAGGTATAATTATGATTTCTTATATTTACGCGAACACTACACATTTCTAAATAAAACTAATTTTACGGATTTTATTGCGTATATTAATCTATTTTTATATTCCCGACGTTTCGGGTGCTTTCCAGCACGCGTGCTGGAAAGCACCCGAGCGTTAATTGATCAGGGTTCTGAGGTGTCTTTGATCACTGAGCCAACCGTTTAGTCATTAGGTCTTGATCGAACTCCTGTTAATGGTATAGTTTCCGGTGTAGGTGAAGGTGAAACAAGAACCAGGTGCATGGTATCCTCTAATATTGAGTCTTTGCTTAATCCTGAGTTTTCATTTCCAGTTAGAGACGCCTATGTGTTGAAGAGTTTGACTTCATTACTGCCTTCGCGCAAACCTGCAAATCTATATTGGCCTGAGCTTGATAATCGTTCACTAGCTGATCCACAATATAGATCTCCTGGTAAAATAGATGTCATTTTAGGAGTCGATGTTCATAGTGGGATAATTAAAGAGGGTCTTAAAAAAAGCACGCGTGCTGGAAAGCACCCGAAACGTCGGGAATATAAAATATAGATTAATATACGCGATAAAATCCGTAAAATTAGTTTTATTTAAAAATAGGTATAATTAATTAATATAAGCCCGTAAATATGCCCTCACTAAAGCTACTTCCTAGACTACAAACTACAAACGATATTGATATTGATAGTAAATTGAGATAATTTTATGTTTCACGAGTACATTATTTGGTGATTTTACTTTTCCATATCTGGCAATACTAACCTTTCGCAGTAGCAACGCGTTCACACAGCTTTTTAAATGGTATAATTGGAGCTTGTAAATGTTTTTCTTCTTTCATAGGACGTAAAACTTTTAAGATAATCTGCCGCGTATCACTTTTAAGACCTTTAGGCATTTTATATGTACTTTTTAAAAACGCTGAATAAAAAATGGCTGACAGCGACATGTCATTTACAAAATGGCGGCCTTAGTTCCAATTTTGTCCACCTGAACAGATAAGTTGGTGGCACTATACCTTGCTTCTAAGCTCCATTGCAAGCTGTCGCAGCCATATTGTCTGATTGCCTTTTACTGTAGTGAAGGATCAACATCTACTATTGAAGGGAAAATATTTTAAAAGAAATTGTTGCGGCTGTTGGTGACTAACTTATTCCACTAATATTAGTCTCAAATGAAGGGGCTACATTCAGATCTGTTCTTAAACTACTGCAAGAGGAAACTAGAGCAGTTCAAATACGAGAAAATAAGAACACTGGTAGGTACAATTCAAAACCTTACCGCCATGTTCACTATTAATAGAATTGCCTTATTATTAATATGGTTTATATTTTACCTGTCCACTTTTTCCGGTGGTTATTAAAAAGCTTGTAATATATCCACTTAATTTTGGTTTTTCAGGAAGAAACATTTGTGATTCCTTTTTGTGGAAAGATATTAAATGCTTCCTTAAGCCTGAAGTGTTTCTGTTTTTCATTTTTATTTCAACCATGTTATGTTGGCACAATTTACACAAAGCAATTTGGGATGCATGAATTATTTCGAAAAACTCATCAAATTTGCTTTTAGGTGTTTTAGTTGTATCTTTTATTTATTTTAATTCTTTTTATACGTGGTAGAACCACGCTTCAGCGTATATTATGGTTGTAACACGAATGGCTGGGCTCGGCCGGGGTAGGACCACGCTCTCAAAGAATACCAGCGTAAAATAGGAGCTTAATGCTACTGTGTTTTGTATAGTGAGTACAAAGAATCGGAGACCCTTTTTACTGAAAACGAGGTAATCCATCTTAGTCCTCATAGGTTACAACGCATCTGCATTTTGATTCTTAATCGAAGATAAATGTAAATGTCTATGGGCCATGGGCATCGGGTGGACTGTGCGCTCGTTCATTATACTTATACAGTTTTACTATAAAAATATTTGTTCAATGAATTTATTCCCACCACTTGGAATTTTTTTCTAACATACTTCCATGTTAGAAAAAATGACAGGGATTTTTTCAGGGACATACGTAGTACGTACGTACGTGTAGTCCACCGAAACCTGTCAAACTTGAGGACTGAGATGAAATGCTTAGTTTCCAGTAAAAAATGTCTCTACACACAGGCATACATTAGCATTATGCTGCTATTTTACGCTAGTATTCTGTGGAACGTGTTCCTTCCCCTTTCGAGCCGAACCATTCGTGCTACAACCATAATATAGCTGCAGCACGGCTCTACCACATTGTAGTTGTGTTACTATATATATGGCCAATAAATAATGGTTTCGGGCTCCGCATCGCTGCAGTCGAAGGCTTAATCACGCGACTGACCTATATATTTATTTATATATCAATTAATACTAATATTTTGTAGTTTGGTCAATTCATTGCGTGCTCCGTGATCACATATCCAATCTTTGTCATGGTTCCTACCGAATGAGAAAAGAGCATTTGGCCAAGCGTGCGTCCACACCGCATAGCAGAGACCGGTGAGGGCGAGTGAAGCGTAGACAGAGAATGGTACAATTATTATACCATTCTCTGTCTACGGAGTGAAGGCGTTCATATGCAACAAAATGCAATAGAATCCTTGCTTTATTATCATTCAAAAAAACAACAATTTACATAAAATAAATAAATGTATATAATAATAATAAATATAAAGAAAGCGTAAAATATTGCATTTTTGCACGTTCTACACAATGTAATGAACGGTACGTTCAGGTTTTAGAGCCATAATATGTATCGATTATTGGGGGTTGTCAACTGACAGTTGACTTGAGTGTCGTTAGAATCTCTCAAGAGCTTGGTAATGTGAAATATCAGTGTATTGTGACAAGATTTTTAAACTAAATAAACATTATATTAGGATGTATGATCTATCACCTTTGCCTATTTTAATTTCTGTATCATAAAAACAATAGTCTATGATTGGTTTGACATTAAACGTCTTATACACGGTCTATCTTGCTGTACGCCCCGCCAAGATCATGCACGATGCAGGAAGCAAAATGACAATGAATAAGGCTTGACGTACGTCAATGCTTACGTACAGCAAAATAGAAATAAGGCGTTTAAGAGGAAATGCGGGTGGTCTTTTCTCCATACAAACACTCTCGCCTCTTTTCTTTCTTGTTTATAACTTTATAGCAATGAGTTTTTTAGAGTAAAATAAATATCAACCTCTTCTATGTCCCTATGTTTTCCTTTCCTTCCTTTTTGATGATACCTTTATAAGTACTAGAACCCTTACAAATTGCTCAAAATTGCCTATTTAAACCGCTGTCAACAGAGTACTAGTGTTCATATTTGAAAAGTAATACAGATAAAAGAACAACATAGTGTATATCCTTTTTATTCAGTCTATGAGATGTCTTTTAAATTGTTCCAATATCGGAGGAGGAAATGGTGGAGAACCAAACCTCGAATTATGCTTATTTATTTGGGCTATTCAGTTGGATCTGCAATTGCTCTTATCGGACGCCGAGCGCTCGCAGAGCGGAAGCGACAGTTTCTTCAAATACCTAATTTTCAAAAGTTCCGCATAGTCTCTTAATTAATTGACGTTATTTGATGTAATCGTCATTAACTGTTTGCTAGATTATATTGTCGCCAAAATCTCCCAAGATTGAATAGAATGGTTATTATGAAAACAATTTTGAATAAAATATTTCAGGCTAGGCTGTACGATATAAAACCTTTGTCTGACTTAATTGGCAAATCGTAACAAACAAGAATGTTAGTTGGCGTTTGATTGGCGCAATCATTTAATTTCAAAAGAATCCTACTAAAACATGACCATTTTGAATCAATGTTTATTTACTTTAGGTTTAATGAATATTAGCTATTGCTTAATTCGAGGAGATGTGACGGTCCATAATAGTCCCTACTATAAATCAATAAAATTTTCTCCAGACTGGAAAGACTTGGATACGAGACAATTACCTCGATGGTACGATGAAGCAAAACTTGGTATTTTCTTGCACTGGGGTGTTTACTCGGTACCTGGTTTCTCTTCTGAATGGTTTTGGAATAATTGGAAAGGTTAGTTCCTATCTAATTATATTAAATAACTATTATATAGTATGCTTTGTTAATCTCTTGGATTTTAAATTATGTTTCATGTTAACATGTTTATAGCAATAACTTAAACAGTTGTCCTGTTTCATTCATTTTAGGAGGCGATAAAAATATAGAAAAGTTTATGACACAACATTATTCCCCAGGTTTTACATACCAAGATTTTGCACCTATGTTTAAAGCTGAATTTTTTGATTCAAGTAAATGGACAGAGTTATTTTTAAAATCTGGTGCAAGGTATATACTTCTATTTTATACTTTATCGTTACTTCTGTATAATTATTATTTTTAAATAAATATTGATCAAATAATAAAATCTTTAATCAATTCAGTATAAAATATAGAATTATGTTCATAGCATCCACCCAGATAATATTAAATTTGTAAAAGCTCCTAATAGCTAATGTACATTTTAAAACCTTAATATTTCTTTTATATATGTCATAATGTTTGGGTGGACACCAATGACAAAATGAATAAAGGAACAAAACATCCAGGTGGTTTCTGAATATTAGAGCAGTAAAAACTAAATAATTATTGTAGTTATAAAATCTTAATGTTTTCAGATATGTTGTCCTGACTAGTAAACATCATGATGGCTATACTCTATTCCCATCTGAATGCTCCTTCAGTTGGAATTCATATGAGGTTGGCCCTAAATTAGATATAGTGGGGCAATTATCCAAAGCTGTCAGAGAAGTTGGATTGAAGTTTGGTGTATATCATTCTTTGTATGAATGGTACAATCCTATTTATGTAGAGGATAAGAAAAATAATTTCTCCACACATTATTACGCTGATACAAAACTGTGGCCGGATCTTAAACAGCTAATCAATGATTATAAGCCTTCAGTTCTCTGGTCTGATGGAGATTGGGAAGCTTATGACACATATTGGAAATCAACTGATTTTATAGCATGGCTGTACAATGAGAGTCCGGTTAAAGATGAAATTGTTGTAAATGATAGGTGGGGTATAGGAATACCTTGTAAACATGGAGACTTCTATAATTGTGTGGACAGGTATAATCCTGGTAAGACTTACTATAAATTCATATTTAGCTGGTATTTTATTCTGCCAAGTTTTGATTACTAAGTAAGTACTAGTGAGCTAGTGTTTGCCTTCTTATTTCTTTATTAATTAGTAATTTAAACATCCCACAATTACTTATCTATACCTTTATACAAGTAAATAAAATTGAAGTGTCCGTTGTGAAGTGAAATGCTTTAGAAAGTATAAACGGTACTTATAACAAAAATACACGGCTGGACCGATTTTGACGCAGCAGTTTTTGCTGTTGCACATATGGGCCGGCTCGAGCCGGGTTGGTACCACGACCTCACAGAATACCGGCGTGAAGTAGAGGCTCTGCTTCTGCGTTTCGTCTGGTGAGTGCAGGTGGCCGGAGGCCCAATTCCTCCCCCCCCCCCATCAACATGGTAGCGGAATTACACAGTAGACTACCCCAGGAGGGTACCAGTACCCCTGGAGAATCCCTCGCTGAGCATCCACGACCATGTTATTCCAATCCTGAGCGTGGGTGCTCAGGCTGCCCCGCGTATTCTGGGGGGGGGGGGGGGGGCAAAATTCCGCTCAAAAACAAAACTGCTCGGGGCAAACTGAGCAACAATACCAAGGCGACCCCTGCCACGCTATCCGTGAATTTCTGCAACATCAGGGGACTTCACTCTAACCTAAACGCCGTCCACTACCATCTCGAGACGGCGAAGCCGGCCTTGCTCTTTCTGACCGAGACGCAGGTTTCCTCTCCGGCTGATATTTCGTATCTCTCCTACCCGGGGTACAAATTGGAGCACTCCTTTGTGCCTCGGGCTAGAGTTTGCGTGTATGTCAGAGAGGACATCTGTTCTCGACGCCTCGGCAGTCTTGAAGGTTCGGACCTGTCCATCCTTTGGCTACGCGTAGACAGCGACGACCATCCGCGCGTCTACGGGTGCCTCTATAGGTCCCATAGCGGTAATGCCGAAACAGACCGACTCATCGACCACGTCCAAATGGCTACAGATTCCTTGCTACAACAGGTCCCATCCGCAGAGATCGTGATCCTTGGCGATTTTAATGCACACCATGCCGAATGGTTCGGTTCACGTTTAACCGATCATGCGGGGAGATCTGTTTATGACTTTGCCTTGGCATATGGTCTGACACAACTGGTTACTTCGCCTACGCGGATTCCAGATGTGGAGGATCATACACCTTCCCTGTTGGACCTTCTGCTGACCTCTCATCCGGACGGATATCAGGTTTCCGTCGATGCCCCTCTCGGCTCTTCGGACCATTGTCTAATCCGGAGTATGGTGCCACTCACGCTCCCTTCGCGGTTGCGTTCTGCAGGTTGCCGCCGTGTTTGGCATTACAGGTCGGCGGATTGGGACGGAATGCGGTCTTTCTTTGCATCCTACCCATGGGGGCGGGTTTGCTTCTCGCCGGATGATCCCAGCGCTGTTGCTGACTCTGTCACTGATGTGGTGCTACAGGGAATGGAACTATTTATTCCATCATCTGTGGTACCCATCGGAGGCAGATCTCAGCCTTGGTTTGGTCGCTCCTGTAAGACTGCATTGCGCAGTAGGCAGGAGTGTTATCAAGCTTGGGCTCCGGCTTCGGTGACTCGGGATCTAAACACCCAGCACATTAAAAAAGAAGTATAACTTCGCCTCCAGGTCCTTCAAAAGAGTTATTGCCAAGGCAAAGTCAGAGCACATAGGCAGAATTGGCGAGAAACTAGTTCGCCTTCCTTCGGGAACCCGTGCATTCTGGTCTCTCGCCAAGGCTGTCCAAGGGAATTTCTGTAAGCCATCACTACCATCTCTGCACAGGGAGGACGACTCACTGGCCCAAGACGCAAAAGACAAAGCCGACCTTTTAGGCTCCCTTTTTGCGTCCAACTCGACTCTTGATGACGGGGGGAAAATACCGCCGACCATCCCGCGGTGTGAGTGCTCCATGCCGGATGTGCTATTCTCACAGCGCGCAGTTCGCAAAGCACTTCTCTCCCTGGACATCCAGAAGTCGAGTAGGCCTGACGGAATCCCCCCAATTGCGCTGAGGACGTGTGCTCCGGAGTTGGCACCGGTCCTAACGCGTCTTTTCCGGTACTCCTACTCCTAAGGCGTAGTCCCAAATTCATGGAAGACAGCTTTTGTCCACCCGATCCCTAAAAAAGGCGACCGCTCAGACCCGTCCAACTATAGGCCTATCGCGATCACCTCCTTGTTTTCCAAAATAATGGAATCCATTATTAACTGCCAGCTCATCCGGTACCTTGAGGATCACCAGCTGATTAGTGACCGTCAATACGGTTTTCGTCGGGGTCGATCAGCGGGTGATCTTCTGGTCTACCTGACCCATAGATGGGCGGAGGCAGTAGAGTCCAAGGGGGAGGCGTTGGCCGTTAGTCTGGACGTTGCGAAGGCCTTCGATCGGGTTTGGCACAAAGCGCTTCTTTCGAAGCTCCATTCCTATGGGGTTCCCAAGAAATTGTGCAATTGGATCACCAGCTTCCTTGCAGATCGGAGCATCAAGGTCGTTGTAGACGGTGCATGTTCTGACTACAAGCCTATTAACGCTGGTGTTCCACAAGGCTGTGTGCTATCACCAACGCTGTTTCTTCTGCATATCAATGATATGTTGCTAACTGGTAACATTCATTGCTATGCGGATGACAGCACTGGTGATGCTCTATACACCGGCCGGGCCAATATTTCTCCGGAAAACGTCCCCGAGTACCGGAACAAACTTGTGTCTGAAGTCGAGTCTTTGCTGGACAAAGTCTCGGATTGGGGGCGACTAAATCTAGTCCAGTTTAATCCTCAGAAGACACAAGTTTGCGCGTTTACCGCTAAAAAGAACCCCTTTGTCGTATCTCCTCAGTTTCAAGGCACTCCCCTTCTTGCCTCAGCCAGTATCGGTATCCTCGGAGTCGACATATCGAGTGACGTGCAGTTTCGTGGTCACTTGGAAGAGAAGGCCAAATTGGCCTCTAAAAAGCTTGGCGTGCTCAGCAGAGCGGGACAGTATTTCATGCCGGCACACCGCCTGCAACTTTACAAGGCGCAGGTTCGGCCTCACATGGAATACTGTTCCCATCTCTGGGCAGGGGCTCCCCAGTGCCAGCTCCTTCCACTTGACCGCATCCAGCGCAGAGCGGCTCGAATCGTCGACGACCGAGCCCTTTCCGATCGGCTCGATTCATTGGCACTGCGAAGAGATGTTGCATCTCTTTGCATTTTCTTTCGCATCTTCCATGGGGAGTGCTCTGAGGAATTGTTCGGATTAATCCCAGCCGCCAAATTTCATAAACGCACATCGCGGCAGAACTCCCGATACCATCCACACCATCTGGATGATAGGCGGTCCACCACTGTGCGATTTAGAAGATGTTTTCTTCCTCGCACGACTTCCTTGTGGAATCGATTACCATCAGCGATTTTTCCGGACCGATACGACTTAGGGACCTTCAAGAAAAGAGCTTACTCCTTTTTAAAAGGCCGGCAACGCATCTGCAATTCCCCTGGTGTTGCGGTTGTTCATGGGCGGCGGTAGTCACTTACCATCAGGTGAGCCGCATGCTCGTTTGCCCCCTCTCCCATAAAAAAGGCTACTTTTATTTTAGAAAAACAATTAGGGTTCCTCGCAAATAATTAAAAACCTAAATTACACGCGGGCGAAGTCAGTTGTAAGTTCAATCAGTTGTAATCAAAAGTTTTTGTCACTTATACTATTATACTATTAATTACTATATCTACTATATTACATGTACATATGATCCAAGAGGTTTCATGGCAGCAACATACTCCTTTATCCATAGTTATTAAAACAAGCTTAATGGTTAAACCAGTAATAAAAATACCCCTTCTGTGTTGAAACATTTATTAAATACCTTCCCTCCATTTTCTTGTGTTTGCAGATGCAATCATCGTCATCATTACAGCCCTTCACAAGTCCACTGCAGAACATAGGCCTCCCCCAAGTAATGCCACATAGCACGGTCCTGAGTCATCTGCATCCATGGACCTCCTACAGGTCTCACCAGGTCGTCACTCCGTCTAGTGAGAGGTCGCCCTACACTTCGCCTGCGGTACGAGGCTGCCACTTGAGAACGTTTTTCCCCCATCGGTTGTCGGTTCTTCGGCTATATGGCCTGCCTCATTGCCACTTCAGCTTAATAATCTGTTAGGCTATGTCGGTCACTCCGGTTCTACTGCGGATATCTTCATTTCTAACTTTATCACGCAGAGAAACCTCGAGCATAATCCTTTCCATAGCTCGCTGAGTGACCTTGAGCTTCCTCATACGACCAGCAGTGAAGGACCACATCTCAGATCCATAAGTCATCACTGGCAACACACACTGGTTGTACAATCTCGTTTTCAAGTGTTGAAGTATACCTGACGAGAAGATGTGTCGTAATTCCCTGAACTCTGCCTAGCTGAGTTGAATCCGTCGATTGACCTTTCGGTCGAATTTGGAGTTACCTAGTCGGACTATTTGTCCCAGGTAAACATACTCGTCAACAACTTCGAGCTTAGTCCTCCCAACAAGTACCGGCATAGGCGTGACATGGCGATTGATGTTAACACCGTATCCCTTCCAATCCAGTAGCTTGAAAACGTCTGTCTTACACCTCTCTGCAGTTGGATAGGTTTTGTGCTCTGGTTCTGTACTCGGATAGCCATCGTAGCCCTACTGGACAAACACTTCAGCACTTCGACTGACAGAGTACCAAGTTTACAGACAGTAAACTTCGTACCGCTAAAGGGACTGCAGCACCGCCCAAATTAGGACGGAATCAAAGGCTTTTTCATAGTCCACATGTGCAACATATAGTGGCAGATTGTACTCCTCGGTCTTCTGAACAATTTGCCGAAGGGTGTGTATGTGGTCTATGGGGCTAAAGCCTTTTCGGAAACCGGCTTGTTCGGGAGGCTGAAAATCGTTGAGTCTGCGTGAGAGACGACTCGTAATGACTCTCGAAAACAGCAAGTAGATGTGGCTCAGAGCGAAAATTGGTCTGTAGTTCTACAAGAGAGCATTGTCGTCTTTCTTGAAGAACAAGACCACCGCTCTTCTGTTCCACGCCTCCGGAGTAGTGCCACCATGGGGGATGGAATTAAAGAGCTTCTGAAGGACTTAAGTACCGGTTTTCCATCCGATTTCAGTCTTGCCGTTTTAAGGCGCTGGAGAGCTATTCTAATCTCGCTAAGACTAACGTCGGAGATATCAACGGAATAGTGTCTGATAAGACACTTGCTCTTGGATCGTTACTCACACTTGCGTGTGGCTCCAACGTTGACGGGTACAGCTGCCCATGGAACCACTTATTCTCAATCAAAATATCAGGTGTCCCGGAAACGATGCTGCCACTTTAGGCCTTCAGCTTTGACATTTGGCTCTTTCTGGCAGGAAGATCTCTGGGAGACTGGAGCCCTTGTCCCGCTCGATCGTTTCGTCAATACGAGCTGTATTGAAGTTAAAAAGTCCCGCCGTATGTGTTTGCAGATCTGTCTGTTCAGCTGCCGTTATGCTATTAAATCTGCTGAAGACTGCAGCTTCATTTCCCGTCTAACAGCCATGAGATAAGAATGTGATCGGACAGTTTTTGTGTTCTTCTGCGACGGATTTTGTAGAACTTAGCTCTGACCGCATGGACATTTTCCACAAGCTTGTCATTCATGTCGTCCACTGCGTTGCAGTCAGGCACTGAAAACTATTTTGTAACTTGAGCTAAAAATTTTCGGGGTTTTGGATTAGAGCACGACAGGGACGGAGCGTTGACTTCATTAGACGTGACCTCTTCAACTTAACGTTTAGGTTCAGTGTGCTTCTCACCATTCGGTGATCGCTGCCAGTTTTCGGCCTTGCGATTACTGAGACATCACTGAACAATTGTCGTCTAGTCGTAATAATGAAGTCAATCTCAATTTTTGTCGAAACGCCGGGGCTCGACCAGGTCCACTTTCCGTGGGGCCACTTCTGGAAGAAAAAGTTCATCATATAGAGTTCCTCTTTCTCCATGAAATAATCCAGCTGCTGGCCCCTTGGGTTCTATTGCTTTATCTTACCGTACCTTCAGCTCACCGTTCTCTCTTGTGCTTACTTTTGCGTTGAAGTCTCCCATTAACACCGTATAGTGGGTTTTAGAGGAATGTCTGGCTCTAGAGATATCCTCATATATTTCATCCATTTCCTCATCGGAATGTGCCGAGGTTGGTGCGTAAACCTGTATGATCTTCAGCGAATACCGTTTGGTGATTCTGAGTGTAAGCTACGCAACCCTTGTCGACACACTCAATCTTTACAAAGTTAACGAGAGACTTGTGGACGATAAAAAGACACCTCCTTGAGACAGATGGTTGCCTTCCCGGTTATAGAACAAGTTGTCGGATTTGAGGATTACCGTGTCCTCACCCTCTCTTCGGACCTCAGATAATCCTATAATATCCCAGCGCGACGTGTCTCTCTTCTTACAGCTCCAGGATCTTCTCCTCACTCATCAGGGTGGGTGCGTTATAATGTTGCCAGGCCCAGTCATCTTAGGTAGCAATCGAACCTCCATAAGAGATTCTTAGCACCCCCTGTCCCGCCGTTACCATGGTCGCTCGCCACCGTAGCCAGGAATAGCGGGGCCGCCGGGGACAGGGGGCCGTCTCTTTGTAACTCTCGCCAAGGGGGTATATTGGCATAGTTGCCACTCTAGGCGAGCGGGTTTGCAACCGCAGTTTTTTTATTGTTATTTTGCCGTTATCAGAAAGATGCTGCTGCCTATCTTCTGCTTTAGTTTCCCTCTGTCGCCTCTTACTATACCCACGGGAAGATATGGGGTAGTGGATATTCTCACACCGCCACTACACAGGATACACGATAAGCCCTTTTATCCATTGAAATCCATTGCTGCAATTGTGTCAGTTTTATAAGATACAGCGTTCAGGGTGCCTTGGACTTTTATTGGCAGATTAAAAGGTTCAAGAAAGATGTAGGTACATTATATTCTGTCTCTTATTCAATGTTTCGGAAATTTACCCTTTTGCTATTCTAAGGTGAGCTGCAAAAACACAAGTGGGAGAATGCTTTCACAATAGACAAAAAGTCATGGGGCTTTAGGAAGACAATGAGCTTGAATGATACAATGACTACAAGAGAGATTCTGTACCAAGTAGCATCGACCGTTAGTTGTGGAGGTATTGAGTATTTTTAATCTTACTTAATAGATCATTTATTTTTTATTTGTTTTGTTGCGTTCTGTGTGTGTTTGTATGAGTGTGTGTGTGAATGGGGGGTCCGGGGAGGTAATAACCACGTTTAGTTTTAGTTTTTATATTGTCACTGTATTATTTTAGGTAACCCATCCAGGTTACCTAAAATAATAAAAATAATAAATAATTATTCCGATGAGGAGATGACACTATCGATTTGTTGTACTGAAAAATATAATAACTTTCATTAAATAATCAAAAACTATTTGACTGGCCATCACCATATCTTCTTTGAAAAATACTTAACCACAATTTGTAAGAGGCATCGAATGTTTTGAAATGTAGCCATATATTTATTTCAGGTAATGTTTTAATTAATATTGGGCCGACTCAAGAAGGCACGATAGCTCCAATATTCGAAGAAAGACTTATAGACCTCGGCAACTGGCTTAAAATAAACGGTGAAGCTATATATAGCACTTCTCCGTGGTTATATCAAAAGGACTCGCTAAATTCTGACGTGTGGTATACCTGCGCCAAAACTCCGTACAACTCTCAACACCCAACAGCTAAACCGCGAGTAGATGATGACATTTCGGGAATTTTCGCCATATTTCTGTCCTGGCCTAGCAGCAGTCTTTTGCAATTGAAAGACGTGGTGTCTCATCTTCAGACTGGTATTTATAAGATCGAGTTGTTGGGAAACAAAGGTGTTGTGAATGTAAGTAACCTATATATTAACAATTTACGTAGGACCGTAACGTGTAGTGGTGGTGTAAGAATATTCACTAGCCCATATCGTCACGTGGGTGTCGTGAGATGAGACATAGGAAAACAAACCAAGAGATCGACGCCTTTCTAATAACAACTGAATAACACGCGGAGAGTTTGACATTTGAAAGAAAGGAAGAAACACGCTTATATCAGTCAGCAAATATCACATAATATAAAATTAACCACATTGACGGCACTGGTTTTCAGCGGGTCATACCGTAGTAACTCTGTTGGCTGTTTGTAGTGTGCTGAAATAATAAACAAATATAATCTGCGTAAACACTTATATCATTAAAATATCTTCATAGAATAAATTTATGTTTAATAAAATAATAATTTCAGAAAAATAGGAGCAAAAAAAATATAATAATTATAAATGTTTATTTTTTGAACTTAAAGTGATTGGTGTTTTGGTTCGTGCCTTCTTTTATTTAATAATGTGTGTGCCAGCAGACACTAGTCTAAATAAATTAATAATGTGTAGATAGGTATATGAACTTCACTCCCTCAGACTGTCTACGAACGTCCTTGACCAAAGCAAATTTACAACATCTGTTTCGAAATACGTCCCCATTCTGTCTTTAACACACGCTTTCAGTCTATAAAGCTTACTCACATCTAAATTTGAGGTCCTTGTGAAATACCTATGTTGAAAAGTTGACTTGTTAGGAGCTAAAATGATAAGGACGATGATGATGAACATTACAGTTGTCTAATTTGCATCCTTAAAATTGCTCTGATAACGATAACCATCCGAACTTCCAAATTTGTTTTAAACCATGTTCGTTTTAATTTACTGTTCTAAGTAACGCTCTACTGCTAATCCGAGTACGAGGTGTATACATAACTTTATTATTAAAAATATTTTTCCAGTGGAAAATCGAAAGTGGAGTAGTTAACATAGAACTTCCAGACAAGGCAGCGGTTGTTTCGGAATATGCATGGGTTCTCAAAATAAGCATCAATTGAAGTTCAAGTTAAATATCTAGTCGGCCAAATGTGATTGGAAAAGGAGAAAAAAGAAGAAAAAAATTTTGTGTTACGTTAAACAGTGATGAGTCGGTTTAATTAATGAATGTATAGGCTAACTTTTTTTATTAAAATAAAATAAAGCAAAGTGATTTTATTAATATTATTTTAAATTTATTAAAGTAATTTTAATATTTATTCTACGTTTTAATATCTGTAAATACAGTGCATGAGTTTACCAATCAATGTAATTTAAATATTATATAAATTATTGGTTGGGTTCTATCACTGTTTCATTATTTCAATTTTTTTTCAGTTGTTGAGGTGATGCGACTTTTTAGAAATCAGTCGTGTTAGAACCGAAAAAGATTTGCAAATCTTTTTCGATTCTCGAAAGTTACTTAAATAATAAACATAATAAAAATTTAAATCTCCACTGCGACTACATTACGATAAAAAAATTTGCTCAATATGAAATGCTAAATAGTGTTCTCCGACAACAGATCCTTATACCTGGGTTACACGCTTGCCAAGTCTCTGTTTGATGTTTTATTATGTTGCAAACCTACAAAATGAGTAGCTGGTCGAACGAGGAAACTATATCTTTTCTGGAATATTACCAGAGTGCATTACCATGTACGCATAAAAAAAACTGCGGTTGCCAACCCGCCTGCAAAGCGTGGCAACTATGGTAGAATTTCGCCTATGAGGCAATTTACGGGGAAGAGCTATATTCAGCAGTGGAACCATGCACCTGGAATCCCAAATATTTCAACCATGAAGATAAAAAGAAAATGGCAGATGCAAATGGAGTCGTCTTGTCGAAATAATGTAAAAATCAGTAAAATAATTAAAATCTTAAAAAGACATAATGATCAAGAAACCAAATTCGAAACAAATTCAGTGTCCGCCATGCTTGACGCATTGACGCATTCACAAGCATGTAAATGACCCACAAATGCGATCCTAGCATTTGTATAGTCTTGGGGTTCATGGAGACTTGCTAAGACTTGGCAAGCGTGTACAACTTGGCATTGGAACTGATCCCAAGTCATTGACACACACACACACCTACACACACAAAATTAATAAATGTACATAAACAATTTCAGACATTCTATCTGTGTGATCCATAATACAGGCTTATTCCCACTTTGGACACCAGTGCCCGTGCGCAAGAATTACATACCTAAATTCCTCCCTCCCTTCTCCACCATCGGGCAAATGCCCGATGGTGCAAATGGTGCCTGTATTTTCTGGAACTAGTATTCACTTTCTTAGCATTTGACTTAACTCCTGATTTATCAGCTAACTCATCAGCTCATTGGAATCTCATAAAGCACGGTAGTGTAAGATTAGAAGTACGATTTGAATCCTCACTAATACAAACAATTACTGTATAGTTTATGCTGAGTTTGATAATATTATTGAAATAGATAATAAAAACAGAAATGTTACTGTAGACTATAATAGTTAAGGTTATAATGTGTGTTGTGTGTTAGATTTATGTGTTATGCGTAATGCATTTTGTGTGTATGTAAAACAAATTGTATGCAATATATTATTTTTAATTTCAGTCTTCGAAACTGAGCAATCGGTTAGATTTTGAACTGAAGAATGGATATTCAGCTCTTGAGTACTGCATATTCTTCTCTTTTTCTTCTCTGTTGTAGTTTTGCTATTCAATAACGTCTTCTGTACACGCATATCACACTCATCTCTTCCTTCTGCTCTTGTTTTCCTCTCAGCAGCACAACACAAGACGACAGCTCGTTGAATCTAATGAGTACACAGAAGTAATTTAAGTAAACAGAATCACATTCACTAATGATCAGCTAATGACTGTCATTGTAAAAAAGGCACGTAGGTATGGCAATTCACAATGCTGTGGTAGTCCCTACCATAATGTATTTATTTTTTAAAGATTTTTCCTTAAGGAGTATGTCAGGGCTGAATCTGAATGACAGGGCGCAAAATTGTGTGATAAGAGAAAAGTGTGGTTTACAAGATATTATTGTGATCGGGATTAAGTCATGTAGAAAGAATGAACGAGGTAAGAGTGACAAAGCAAACTTCTGTTGCAGAAGTGAAGGGATGCCCTAGACCAGGGGTCGGCAACCTTTTGAGTCGGAAGAGTCAAAAATTACAATTTACAAAATTTCAAGGTTTTTAAAGAGCCACAAATTTTTTTCGTGCCTCATAAATCATAAATAAAGTTTTTTGATAAAAAAAACTAATCTGTTTATTCATAAAAAAAACATATTTCCATTGTAAGTCTTACAACACTAACTTGTACTTCAATTTGACGGCTCCGTGGCGCAGTGGCTTAGCAATCAGTAATCAGTTGTAGCGCTGGGGGCCGCGGGTTCTAATCCCGCACGGAACAAGTATTTATAAATAATTGTTCCGGGTCTGGATGTTTGTCCTTGTGCAATTTATGTTTGTAAACTGCCTCCACGACACGGGAGAAAATCCTATTGTGGGGGTAACGTTTTTTTAAAAAGATAATAATAATAACATACATTTAAGCAAACAAATTCAATGGGAGCGTTGGCTTTGCATGATTTTAGAAAGTTTGGATAAATTTGGCTCACAACTTGTTGTTTTAAGTTTCAAACACGACTCTGAATTTTCATTTGTTAGTTGGCTTCTTAATTTACTTTTTAATTATATTCATGCAAGAGAACGCTTGCTCGCACGAATATGTCGATCCGAAGATACTTAGCACTCCAAATGCCAACTTCTTCACCTAACTGTAGCAATCTGGAAGACTATTCTATGCGTCGAATATAAGTGCCTCAACTCGCGGCATTTCTTTTAAAACTGTTCGTTTTTGTTACGTTACGTACATACATTTCAGGACATCCAACTCTTTCAACTTGCTCTTCAACTCTGTAAATTTTCAACTCCACAAAGTGTTACTTTTTAAATCGATCAATTGCATTTCTAGAGATCCAGTATCACCTCTAAATGGCTCAGTGTGGATCGATTTTTAAATGTTTTTTTTTATAAAATAAATAATATTTGCGTGTGAAACTAAAGAGCCGCAGCTTCACATCCAAAGAGCCGCATGTGGCTCGCGAGCCGCAGGTTGCCGACCCCTGCCCTAGACGAAATTGTATCGACCAAATTGGCGATATATAGAAGATGGACCAGATTATGAGTACCCTTAACCAACGAGCATGTATGGGACCTACCCATACAAATGGATGAGGAGGAAGCGAGAGAGATGTGTCAGGATCGTGCCAAATTGAAGTTCGTAGTCTCTGCCTGCTTACCCCTCTTGGTGACAGGCGTGAGTGTTTTTTATTATATATTATTAGATATAAATAAATTAGAAGTGTCTGTCTGTAATATTAAAATAACTGCCTTATATTGAACTGAGGGGTTATTCGCATACCATTAAGACATGTTCACAATTTTTAAATTTTTGTCTGTTTGACTGTCTGTCTGGTATAATATTCGGAATGACGAATGAGCAATGCCAAGAATGATGTAGGTTATATTTTATGCGATACCTTGGAGATTAAGAAAAAGAAAGCGTTTCGCCAGTTATGAATAATATTTAATATGATTTTACATATTTGCGCCATAAAGTCATCGAAGATGGGTAATGCTGATCGAAAGATTGATAGGCGCTTATCCTAACACACATCACACACCATGCGGTAATTTGTAGAAGCGTTGCTGGAAATGTGAACTAAATTGCAGGACCATGCAAATGCAGTTGTACGCAAGAGGCCAACGCGACGAAACCTTTTTGCTGAATGCTGTAAGTCAACCATAACTTTTGTCTTTAACTTTTGCAATGTTACAGGGAAGACGAAACTTATTGTTAATGAATTAAAAAAAATATTGTATGAAATAATTCAAAATAACTAAACAACAACTAACTAAAAAAAGCTTGCCGCAAATAAATATTTCATTATTTATGTTTACATTATCGGTAAAGTGTTTACAAGTGTTAGTTCTTACTAAAGTAAGATGGTCATATGACTCACAGTACCTATAATACTTGTGTTACTTTACTATCGGTTATCATTCAAACTGTTGTACTAAACGGATGTGTAAAAAGTTTTTAATAACGAAAGGAAGTGATAAGGTATGGCATATTTTCAAAAGAAAAAGAAACTACATTAAGTTCTGTACTAGGCCAGACTTATTGCTTATGTAGATATTATGACGGTGACATGAAGCTACTATTTAAAATCTAAAGTTCTCTATTTCCATTTTTATTAATAAAAAAATATCTTTGTTGTTAAAAACAAGTGTTGTTTTTGTTGGTTATAAAATTGTGTACATTAGATGGTTAAAAGTAAGTAAAATTAAACTTGATAAAATCCGTTAAAGTAGTTGTATGTAACATGTTAATATATTAACCCACATAATATTAAACTCTTGTTTCTGTTTTTTCTGTTACTTAAAAATAATTATGTATCTATAATAATCAGTACTAGTCCAGAAAGAATCGGCGCATGACTTAGGCGCACGAGTATACCGAAAACTATTTTTTCCTCTCACCTTATTTTCATGCGATTCTCTTCTCTTCTATAAAAAATATTTTTTATATTTTATTCCTTTTCTTTATATATTTTTAAGGAATCAAAAGTATCTGAATTTGGGATTTTTCAAACATTTCAAAATTCACAACTCCGAAAATATGAACTTAATCGTAAAAAGTCATAGGACCTTTTTTATTCGTATTTTATCAAAGAATATAAAAAAATATATTATATATTTTATTATTTTTCTTTAAGTATTTTTAATGAGTCAAAAGTATCCGAATTTGAGATTTTTCAAACCTTTGAAAATTCATAGCTCCGAAATTATTAACTTTATCGTAAAAAGTCATATGACCTTTTTATTTGTATTTTATCAAAGAATATTAAAAAAATTCCCCGTTGGAAAATAACAATGACTTGCAATTGAAAAAAAAAATCGGTTTATACAATATATAATAACCGAGTTGCCCCACGGCAACATGCATTTATATCATCAGTAGGACTATTTGAAGAGAATCGTTAAATTGAGGTGGAATCGTTTTCGGTAGGTACTCATGCGCCGATTCCTCCTGGACCATATTTTTCATATTAATCATAAATTAAAATACTAAATTTCTTCCAATTGATTGATTCCAATTACCAAACATTCAATTTTCTCGTAAAAAATTATATTCTGCAAAGATTTAGAACGAGTAACCCATAAACTGTTCATTATCAAGATGGAAATATAGCTGAAATTAAACATGATTTTTTAAAATATATTAATGATTTCAGACAGAATCATGAAGATCACTACTCTCTGTTTTTTTGTGTTGTGTTCGGCTAGTACTGGTTACAGCATAATTGAAAGAGATGTAACGCGCCAGATTAGATCTCATCGAGAATCAGAAAAATATTCTCCGGACTGGAAAGACCTGGACACTAGACCATTACCACGTTGGTACGATGAAGCTAAAATTGGTATTTTTTTGCACTGGGGCGTTTATTCTGTACCCGGTTTCTCTTCTGAATGGTTCTGGAGTAATTGGAAAGGTGCGTTTAATTAGGTTTTTTAAATTGATATAGAGTTTGGTAAAATTTTTATACACTGCTTATTTCGCCTTTAACATGTCTGAGTTTCAGGGGGTGATAAAAAATCAAAAGACTTCATGACGAAAAATTACCCACCAGATTTTACATATCAAGATTTTGCTCCCATGTTTAAAGCTGAATTTTTTGATCCCAAGGAATGGGCGACTCTATTTTTAAAAGCTGGTGCTAGGTAAATATTTTTGAGATGTTTCTAACGTTATAGAAAGTGTGTACTGTCTAATGATTTATTTTCTCAGATTACTTTAGAGAATATACTCTATTTTAGGCCATACGTACTCACTTAGTGCTCACCCATATTATTGATTACTAATAATCTACCTAAGTATAGTCTTTGGTCGAAGTTCTACAGGCTGGCTTTTTAACCTAGAAGATGAATTTGGTCGGATATAATGTACTTAAATTAGTTACAAAGTGTAAAATAATATTATACAATCTGTTTAAAAATAATTTTAGCGTAATGTTTTTCTTTTTTAGATATGTTGTTCTCACCAGTAAACACCACGACGGGTTTACTCTGTTCCCATCCAAACGCTCCTTCAGTTGGAATGCGTACGAGGTTGGGCCTAAACTAGATATAGTAGACCAACTGTCCAAAGCCGTTAGAGATGTTGGATTGAAGTTCGGTGTATATCACTCTCTGTATGAATGGTACAATCCTATTTATGTAGAGGATAAGAAAAATAATTTCTCCACACGTTATTACGCTGATACAAAACTGTGGCCGGATCTTAAACAGCTAATCAATGATTATAAGCCTTCAGTTCTCTGGTCTGATGGAGATTGGGAAGTTTATGACACATATTGGAAGTCAACTGATTTCTTAGCATGGCTGTACAATGAGAGTCCGGTAAAGGATGAAATTGTTGTAAACGATCGATGGGGTATTGGCATACCTTGTAAACACGGAGACTTTTATAATTGTGCGGATAGGTATAATCCTGGTAAGTTTTACTTTTATATATGAATACTTAAATAAAAACATAAACACAGGTAGGTAGGTATAGTACGTGTGGATAATATGGTCATTCGGTAAATATGGTCACTTTCTTATAACTCAAATACTACAGCATTGTTTGCATAAGTGGCTTTGTGATACGATAGCTCTTCATCTGTCAATCAAATAATAAAGCGTCCAAAGGTCGCTGCTTTATCGACGCCATTTTGACTTCTGGACTTAGTATGGTGGACTATGGAGGACTAACATGGAATACCTCGTTTTCAGTAAAAAAGGTCTCTTAATGTCTACACTCACTATATGAAACACAGCAGCATTAAGCTGCTATTTTACGCTAGTATTCTGTGAGTGATACTGCTAATTGTTCAACCAGGTGCTCTCCAAAACCACAAGTGGGAGAATGCTTTCACAGTGGACAAAAAGTCATGGGGCTTTCGGAAGACAATGAGCTTGAATGATACAATGACTATGCGGGAGCTTCTGTACCAAGTTGTGTCGACTGTGAGTTGTGGAGGTAATAATATATCTTTAATTATTTTAATAATTTAAAAATAGCATTTCAATTTTTAAACGTTTATTATAAGTCGAGGTGGTCTAAAAAAACTATGAAAAATTATTTCAATAGGCTTTTTTCCCGCCAGTACAGCTTAAAAACTTTAGAACACTATATACTGTAATAATATGTCAACAGCGAAGTCTTATTATAGTGCAGCAAGTGTGCATTCAAATTAAACCTTACTCTGAACAAGACAAACTATCAGAGGCTTAGGATTTAGGTACCACGCTTATGTTAATTGGACGAGTAATAGGTAAGGCTTATACTTACTATGGTAAGGATTTGAAGGTAGTCTTGAAAGCACTGTAACAGAAGCCGGCAATGAATATGCAAGCATTTCTGAAACAAAACTTTTGAAAATTCCGCTAGAGTTGTATGGGAAATGTGTTCCTACGGATGTCTTAATCTAGCGAAGGCCCTAGTAAGAATTGTTCAGCAAAGTCCAGAGTCGCGACTACTTAAAATGTATGCCAATGCCATTTAGGACACTACAATACAAAAGGGCGGGTTAGCCATACATATTGACACCCTCCCCCCCTCTCCTCTCACTCGCTATTCGTTCGTTTCATCATTTACATCCAAGAGGACTTTGAAGACTAAGTAAACCTAAATCTTTTCTCGTTCTACAATTAGATCTTTAAATAACTTAGTTTTCATTGACAATTTAAATCGATTCGAAATGTTTTCAGTGGTACAGGTACCTATTATTTGCAGGTAATGTCTTAATTAATGTAGGACCGACGCAAGAAGGCACAATAGCTCCTATATTCCAAGAAAGACTACTCAACCTCGGTAACTGGCTTGGAGTTAATGGTGAAGCAATATATAGTACTTCCCCGTGGTTGCACCAAAATGACTCGCTTAACAGTGACGTATGGTATACGTGCCTCAAACCTACATACAATCAACGGCATCCCACAGCGAAGCCAAGGGAAAATGATACCATTACAGCAATTTTCGCCATTTTCCTCTCCTGGCCCACAAATAACCAACTGGAAATTATGGATATAAGTTCGTATTTACACGCCGGTACTTACAAGGTCGAACTTTTGGGCAGTAACAATGTTCTAAATGTAAGTAGAACTGTGACAATCTGGTAAAATTTACTCAGTTTGATGTTTACTATTGTAACGTTATTTTTTTAAATAAATGTATGTTAATTGGACCGTACTTACAGAATAAATAATAGACCGTACCTAATATAGGTAATTTTGGGGTCAATATACCTATTATGATATCATCAGTTACAACGCTATTGTTTGCTTGTGTATGTACCTACCGTATTATAAATAATTTACTTATTTAGAACTTTAAACCGTTTAAGCAATTACTACGTAAAGGGAGCATTTCTACTAATGTTGTTTTTTTAGTAAAAATTAAAAAGTAAAGTAATTGCTCTAGGTGTCCCTATTCCGAGTCGTCCCTCCGAGAGTGTTTTGGAATAGGGAGGAGTTCGCCATGCTACGTGTTGGTGAAAGTCACATGACTTCGAAATATTTATAATTTCTCAATCATGCAGCTTCCAGTTTTCTTTACGATAATTATTTTCCTTCACCGCTGAGCATGTGTGTGTGAAAATAGTACCTACTTAAAATTACTAACTAACAAATTCCTTGGTACCGGCGGGCATCGAACTCGGTTTGCTTGCGTAAAATGAAATTTAAGGCTTTTTAATTTCAAGACCGCTCCTGAACGTAATCCTTGCCTCGAGAACTTAATTGTGTGGTACCCTTATACCACAATATACGGTTCTAAGCCAACTGTATCCATCTGGTTTATTTAATATTATAAAATAGCTTACAGTTCATTGTAAGCTCTTTTTTCAAAGTCAATCATTTATTTATTGTAAAAAGAAATATCACCGTTTTACCTTATGGTTTTTATTTCAGTGGAAAATTAAAAATGGAGTGACAAACATTGAACTTCCAGACAAGGCAAAAATTCAGTCGGAATACGCATGGGCTTTAAAAATTAGCCTCAAATAGCAAAGTGGAGAGATTCTTATTAAACACTTATAAATACTGTTTATCGGCCTCTAAGTAGTGTTCAAACATCGAGGAACGCTATCACTATCATTGTCTACTCAACAACGCTTGACCCTTGTTGCCCCGACGCGACGTAACAGATATGAATAATAAGTATAGATACCTAAGTGCAAAGCAAATATGTAGTTAATTCATTGTATTGTGCATACCTTATAAACCACTACAGTTTATATCTCTTGTTTGTTTTTATATTTCTGTAAGTAAGGTACACTAGTTTTACTAGTTTTATAGTCTGTCTTTTTTATAGGATGAGGGTGACAAACGAGCACACAGCCCACCTGATGGTAAATGTGTCTCCTTTGGTTGTTGTGACCCAAAGACATCTACATAGATGAAAAAAGAAGATGATAGATCTTGGATTAAAAATAAAAATGCTTATGCTTTGTCACCCCTGAGGACTAAGATTTTTTTTAATAGAATTAAGGTGACAAACGAGCACACAGTCCACCTGATAGTAAGTGGTTGCTGTGGCCCATAGACATCGACATTTATCCTCGTTTGCGAATCAAAATGCAGATGCGTTGTCACCCGTGAGGACTAAGATGGAATGCCTCGTTTCTAGTAAAAAGGGTCTCCGGTTTTCTACACTCACCATACGAAACACAGCAGCGTTAAGCTGCTATTTTACGCTGGTATTCTGTGAGAGCGTGGTCCTTCCCCGGTCGAGCCGACCCATTCGTGCTACAACCATAATATAGCTGCAGCATGGCTCTACCACGTAGAGGAAAAAAAGATGAAATACAATAATAATAATATACGAATACAAAGAAATTTAATGTAAGATGGAAAATTAAAACAAAATATTATACCTATGTCCTTCTCCTTATAACACCACATGACGATCATGTGGTGTCATAAGAGGAAGGACAGCGGTTGTGCCAAGTATGAAAAAGGTAATCTATGCGCGAGGCCTGTGTTCAGCAGTGATAGGCTACAATGGCTAAGCGGAAGGGCTGTGTTCGGCAGTGAACTTTGTAGGCTGTAATAATAATAATAATTTATTTTCTCACCACATTAAATTAACAATATCGATTTTTGACAAAAAAAATGCACAAAGTAATGTGAGAGACTGATGCCTAAACTAGGCGACGAACCTGTATTTCAGGTCATGAGGTCTCCCTCCCAGTTGTCAAATACAAAGGTATGTAATCTTAGAATAGATATTTTAATAACCATGATACGTTATAATTTATTTACTTGTGGTAAGTATTATTATAAGTAAATATTTAATAAATTTAATTTGATGGATGTGTGTGTCTCTCTCTCTGTGTGTGTGTGTGTGTGTGTGTGTGTGTGTGTGTGTGTGTGTGCGTGTGCGTGCACGTGTGTGTGTGAATGCGAAAATTACAACATTTACACAAGTGTTTTAAAGAGATCTTCCGTATATTTATAGCCCCTTTATAGTAACCATTCATGGACACATATTTTTTGCTTTTATTTTAGGTAGGGCGTGGATATTAAGTTCCTTGTTAACTTTATTATACAGATTTCCGCCAAGATAGCAAAAAAATCTCCTAGAAAAGTACAGTGGTCATAATGAGAGTTACATACCCGGTCTTTGCGTCTCGTGTGCTGTGAATTTTTTTGATCATATTTTAATTGAGCATGTTTTTTTAGTACCGTGTATATAATAAACAATTGCCGGACTGTAAGAACTTTGGAAATTTTATAAAGTTGACTGGTTGGAAATTTAAAGGGAAGAGAGTTACTTACTTATAAGATTAGGCTTTGCGATCTTTCAAGTGGGAGAAGCGATGATTTGGTAGCTCCACCTCAGCACGTAATACAATATATTATTAAAGATTGGCATAGAGCAAAATAGACAGATTTAATAGTGTTAGAATCTGCTACGCAACGGAGTTTTTTAAATATATGTGTTAATTTCCGTATCCTATTTGAAAGTGTATGTATATGCTCATGAAAAGTTAGCTTATCATCCAACAAATGTAATGAAATATGGAATATAACTGATACGAACGGCGAGGGGAGCCGCCGCCCCGTCGCCCCTTCATACCCCGTTGCGCCCCGCGCACCCCGCACACCGCCAGCAGATCACGCGATGTCGCCGACCAATCAGCGCGCGGCATTACCTCACGACGCTACTCACATACTGAGACGCTCTCTTGCGAGATATAAGAAGGGCGTTTTGGTCTGTGAGCTGTTCATTTCGCATTTGTAAATAGTTTAATACATTATAGTCTACAGTACCATCTTTTTCTTTAGCAGTCCCTAGTGTAGTATACCTCAACATCAGTCAGTCACATAGTTAGTCAATACAGTCCACTTGCAATAGTAAAAATCATACAGTCCACTTCTGTTCCTATTAACCGGTTTAGTGCGGGTGACACGCCAGGCGTGCCATCGATTACTTTTGTGTCTGACGTATGACACGCGAGTCGTGTCTTTTTATAAATCGTTATAACTCGCTCAAATTGCTTTTTTGGAAAATTTATCCAGAACAAAATATTCATTATTTTGCGAGTAGTTGATGCACGCAGCTTCGTTTCTGGATATTTTGAAAATTTGAAATTTTTAGGGGTTGACAACCTTTTTTTAACGTGTACATGGTACTATTTTTACTTTGTGGGTTTTAAATCATGTTATTGAAAAATTATCTAATAAGTAACAAATTATAGCACTCATTGCGATCGCTCACAAACTCAAGTTGTGAATAAATTTTTGGAAAACAAGTCTCCTGTTAAAAAAAACAATGCGTTTGTCTTATTGCTTAATTTCGCTTAAAATGGTTGAACTGCCGCCTTATTACTATCATATGGCCGAATAGACCTACGAAGTACCATGTACTCTTGTGATATGGTATAAGGTTTATTTTTGTTTGAAACAGTTTGAAACCGTTCATGCATAAAAAAAGTTCGCTAATAAATTGTCTTTTGTCAATCCGCCGCTGTATAGCGCCGGCGTTTTTTTCCTTTTGAAAACACTTGTTTTGCTATTCTTACTTAACATTTGTAAATATCAATGAATGATATACCTTATTTTTTTTTCTAATTAAGGTTCTTCATTGTTTGATATTTACAAATGTTATTATCAGGTGAAAATTTAATTATAAAAAACCAATGTTTCCAGGGTGATTTAGCTGTACCTACTTATATAAATGATTTTTTTATAACAACAAAAATAGTACAAAAGGTTTGTAATCTCTTCATAAAAAGTCACTTTCTCTCAATTTCAAAGAAAACGCGTAAAAAACACGTAGTTACCCCACTAAAAACAAGTATCCTTCCATTTGTAACTTATGTTTGATGTCAAATAAACTTAACTAGGTCTAAACAAGTAAAAAAAGCATAAAAATTGTCTGTGGTGATTAACACGCCCAGCGTGTCATGAAATATTTGTTCGCCGCCACAGCTAAAATTTGTCGAAAATTGGTGCCGCAACGAATCGGTTAATAACTTTTTGGATGGCTACAACGTGGTAGAGCAATGCTACAGCTATATTGTGACTGCAGCACGAATGGGTCGGCTCGACCGGGGAAGGACCACGCTCTCACAGAATACCAGCGTAAAATAGCAGCTTAATGCTGCTGTGTATCGTATAGTGAATGTAAAGAACCGGAGACCCTTTTTACTAGAAACGAGGCATTCTATCTTATTCATCAGGGTGACTACGCATCTGCATTTTGATCCTTAATCGATAATAGATGTCTATGGGCCACAGCAACCACTTACCATCAGGTGGACTGTGTGCTCGTTGTCACCCCTATTTTATAAAAAAAGGAGGATTCCTATTGATGTTTATGTTGTGTGAACTCAACACCGTTTAAGTTATTAATGAAAGTCCGTCAGATTTTTTTTTCTTGTATAAATTATCATCAATAATTTTATTTATTTTTTTCATTAAAATTAAACGAAACGCTCATGAGACGTGCACTTTTGGGTATTCCAAATTATTTTAGAATTTAATAGCACAGATGAAAATAATGAAGGAAGTTACAACTTCCTCCTTTCCAGAATCTGCTTCGACAATTCGGTTTAACCAATGAGAAGTAATTAAGTGAAAACTTCAATATCATAACCGCCTTTACGTACAAATTAGATATTCGTATTATATTATATTCTGTATATTGATATAGGTACTAATAGGTATATTCCCCGTGTAGTGGCGGGTAAGAATACCCACTACCCCATATCTTCCCGTGGGTGTCGTAAGAGGCGACTGAGGGAAACTGAGGCAGAAGATGGGCAGCAGCATCTTTCTGATAACAGCAAAACAACAACAAAAAAACTGCGGTTGCCAACCCGCTCGCCAAGCGGTATTCGCTGAAGGTCATACAGATTTACGCACCAACTTCGGCAGATCCCGATGAGGAGGTGGAGCAAATGTATGTGGATATATCTAGAGCCAAGCATTCCCCTAAAACCCACTATACGGTGTTGATGGGAGAGTTCAACGCAAAACTAGGCACAAGACAGAACGGTGAGCTGAAGGTAGGGAAATTTGGAATAGGGCAACGGAATCCAAAGGGCCAGCAGCTGGCCGACTTCATGAAGAAAGGGGGACTCTTTCTTCCAGAAGCGGCACCACAGGAAGTGGACCTGGTCGAGCCCCGACGGTTCGACAAAAAATGAGATTGACTTCATTATGACGACCAGACGACAACTTCTCAGTGATGTCTCAGTGATCGCGAGGGTGAAAACTGGTAGCGATCACCGAATGGTTAGAGGCACAATGAACCTAAACGTTAAGTTGGAGAGGTTTCGTCTAACGAAGTCAACGCTCCGTCCACCTCGTGCTCTAATCCAGTTTCCGAAACCTTTCAACTCGAGTTACGAAACCATTTTCAGTGTCTAGAAGATTGCAATACTGTGAACGATATAAATGACAAGCTCGTGGAAACTGTCCATGCGGTAGGAGGTAAGTTTTGCAAACCCGCCGCAGAAGAACACGAAAACTCTCCGATCACACTCTTAATCTCATGGCTGTTAGACGGGAAATGAAGCTGCAGTCTTCAGCAGATTTGACAGCATACAGGCAACTGAACAGACAGATCTCCAAATGCATGCGGCGGGACTTACGCAACTTTAATACTGCTCGTATTGAAGAAGCGATCGAGCGGAACCAGGGCTCCAAAGTCTTTGCAAGAGATCTGTCTGCCAGAAAGAGTCGACTGTCAATGCTGAAGACCCGAGTGTGGCAGCGCTGTTTCCGGGACAGCTGAGATTTTGAGTGAGATTAAGTGGTTCTATGGGCAGCTGTACACAACATCGTTGGAGCCAGACGTGAGTAATGATCCAAGAGCAAATCTTATCCGACACTATTCTGGACGTCAGTCTGAGCGAGATTAGAATGGCTCTCCAGCACTTTAAAAACGACAAGTCGACGGATGCAGGTGGCTCAGGACCGTGCTTTGAGGCATTCCTTGGGGGAGGCCTATGTTCAGCAGTGGACTTGTGAAGGGCTGTAATGATGATGATGATAATGTATGTTATTATATTCGGCAATTCTATTTTTTTCACCTATCAATGTCGTAGGTACTCAATAGCGAGTTGTGGTCGAACTCGGACACCATTTTTATACACACTGCTGTTCTAGCAGTAGTTGGTTGTATTACTTTATGCAAAATAAGTACTTACGTGGTGTAAAATAAAGTAAACATTGCTTAAATATAAGATACAGTTAACTGAAGGTGGATCACTCCGAATAAAGCTTATTATACTCGGAGTGATCCACCTTCATTCAGTTCGCCCAAAATTGGCGCAAAATTTCTTGGTCTTTAGTAAACGTTTCTTTTAAATAAAATCACAAATCAAACAAACATATTTATTCGATAATATTTGCATAGTTTCTAACATAGGTACTTATGGCCATTTAACCTATAATGATTACATTACCTTAAACTAATCGAAAATGAAATTGTGCAATAGAAATACATAGGTAGGTACATACAAGGAAATATCATGGGCACAGTAATATCAATTAAATAAACATAGTACTATATATAGATACCTCTTCATCGACAAATCAACAGGAGATACATTTCTATGCTAAAATTAAACTTTTTGCGACACAAAATGTTTAATTTAAAAACTAAAACAAGATTTTATTACAAAGGAACAATAATAAACATAATGTTCTTTACGTTAAACACTTTAAAACATGGAATATCAAGAAATATTAATAAAAAGTAGTACCTACACACCAAACATACCCTATACGGCTGGCCCATTGCCACTTTAGCTCACTCCGATGGGCTGTCAGTTACAATTGTTCTTCTGCGGATATCATCATTACGGTCTTCATCCCGTAAAGAAATTAATGACATACATATACCATATACAAGAACCTATATAGTGCTATAGCACTATGCCATTATAGCTTGAAGAATCGGAAACTGAAGAGGAAAAAGAAGAGCAGAAAGATTATAGATTTTCGAGAGGCAGCCTCGTACTGGCAAGCAAGATGGATGCAGGCAAAGCACCGAACTTTGTGGTATTCATTGGGGCATGCCTATGTTCAGTATTGAACTTGGCAGCAGTAGTAAACATACTTCTGCATAAAGCTGGATTTTTTTAATTTTTTCTGAATATTGCTAATTGATAAGATTTATCCAACCTCTCCGACAATTGAATAAGTCAATATTTTACAGCTGTAGTGTTCCAAAAATAAAACACAATGTATTAAATAGTTAATTAATTTAAAAAAACGTAGTAAAAGATAAAAAAAGAAATACATATAACACCTCTTGGGGTTATCCGCTATCAACGTAAGACAACACAGAAGTATAGGAATTATTAGGTAGATTCATTTCATTATTTTTCAAATAACTTATAGATGTGAGTGTGCTATGTTTTATGCGTGATAATGTATAAATTCTGGCATATAAAAATAAATACGTAGTTTCAATATTATACTAATATTAACATACATTTACAGCTATTATATAAAAAATATGTAATTTAAGAAAAAGCTATAGTGAAAATAGTAAGATTCCGTTTATCTTTCAAGTGTTTGAAAGCTGGCTTGTACACATACATGTATAATTTTTACACATCGAAAGCTTTTAGAATCCAATTCCAATCCAAATTATATATTCGCACTACTGAGAAAGTTCTTAAAATAGTCATATTACATATATTGCATAGAATGTTAATATTGAAGTAAGCTTTGTATATATTTTTTTTATTTTATACCATCAAGCACCATTGATTACGTATGTGAAGCACTAATACGAATATCTGTCTTCCGAATATTTTGAGTTTTTCATAAAACGTTACTCAACGGTGTGTGCGCCATTAATAATAATAATGTCCTCCAGGCCGAATTTTCTAGCCACCTGCGTAGGGCAGAATTATAGCGCCAGAGTGTATGCGCGAACACAGGTGCACTCACTATTCCCTCACTCTCATAGTCCGATGAGAAGGAAATCCGACACGACCGGAGCGAGATCAGGCGCAGGACCTACGGCTTTATTCCGAGGCACGTAGGTGAAACACCGTCATCTATCTGACTCCTGACTGCTACTGAGAATTTCTTGTCAGAAAAACCCAATAACTAATTTTGGGCCGACCCGGGATTTGAACCCAGGGCCTCATGATTAGCAACCGCGTTTACGACCACTAGATGACTAGACCCACGAGGCAAAGGCACCATTAGCGCCAATACCGTAATCGTACGGGAATTATCTAATATTTTAGGCCAGAAGTATCCGCCGGGCTGCGTGTTGGCGGACTTCACGACTTCGATTTATATTTTATTTTTGGACTGAATCCACTACTCCATATTATCCCATGGGTATCTTACGAGGCGACAAAGGGAAACTAAACCGAAGACGGGCAGCATCTTTCTGACAACAACTCAAAATAATTAAAAGTGCGATTGCTAAACCCGTCTGCCAAGCGTGGCAACTATGGCAAACGCTCATAATATGGTAAATATGACGCAATCTACGGGAAGGCCTATGTTCATAAGTGGACTTTGATAAGTTGTAATGATGACGAAGATAATGAAACAATATACTACGTGCACACATATTACAATATTATATAATATAATCGTAAAATTGCTGCTCTTTAGGTCAAAAAATAAAAACTTGTAGTTACTAGAATTCATAAAATACTCAAAATATTCAGAGTATCGGTAAGTATAAGGTAAAGCATTACTAATAAAAGATAAAACTTATTTTGCACTATACGTGGTAACTTTACAGTTTCACAATTTTTATAAAGATTAATAACTGCATATTGATATAATACTTATTTTTTAAATTTTATTGCTTGAGTCTAAGTCACAGGTTATATTATGTAAAGTATTGTACAAGTTACATGCTACTTACTATACGTTGTGTAACTATGTTTTGAAATGAAAAATAAATGATTACAAAGTCACGATAGAGAAATTTGAGTGTTTACAGAATTGTTAGTGAAAATGTACATATCCCAAATGTATTTTAAAGATTTGGTAAAAAGATAAAAATTTATTTTAGAAATATAAGTGGTTTTTATTTACCAGGATTCTGAAAACAGCATAATATATAGTTCATAACTTTTAGTTTAAAGTTCATGTTTTTGTACTTGTCGCAAGCCTTTGAAGCAACTTTTAATATATTTTATACAAACGAAAGCTTTACACACTTTAATATTAAGTTTCGTTAACAGACGTGATAACCTGCTTCAGATTTTTCAACATTTTCCACATATTAAACATGTCTACTTACGATCTAATATGGCTAAATAATTAATAACTAAATATATTTTTTATATTTACATACATGTACGCACCGTATATCTTTTATCAAAGGAAACCGCGTACACTTGCGATTTGGAATGTTATGGAATCATAAAAATATTTTGTTTGTCATATCAGTATTTACCTTTCAGAAAGCTGAAAAAGAAAAATCAGGGTATTTGAGAATAGGCAAGGGAATTATATTGACCTTCCAAACACTTAGTTAAATTTGTTGGAAGATAACAAAGAATTATACTTAGGTAGAACATGATACAGAAATGAATTAAAATTACATACAAGTATGAAAAACAACTATTTGTCAGAATACTTGGAAGATATTGGTCAACGCCATTTTGAATTTCTAAAATAAACAAAACCACAAAAGCAACATAATATAGAAAGCTAAAACAACTTGTTCCATTCAAAATTACTCGCCAAAAAACTGTGTTGTAAATAGCGGTATCCTTTGAGGTTGTCAAAGATTTAAAAATGGTTACATTGAAAAAAAAATAGGGTAATAATCAATATTATCTTTGTAATTACATTTCTTTCGGCTTCTTTAAATTTTCTCTTGCAATATTGTGTCGTTATCAAAGCTAACGAAGAGTAACACTGTCAAAAAACTTAACTGTAATATACAATTAATGTTGAAATATTTCGAAATGATCTAAATATCTGTAGCTTAAACAGACATAGATACTTAAAAATAAATAATTCGTTGTTAAAGATGTTTAAATAAAAAAAACAAGTATAAATATGCAAGGTGCTGTTTTCGATGACATCGCTTCACGATCGTATGCACTTAATTTCTATATTCTTTACAAATATACAGAAAAAATGCGAAAATTGTTTAGTGCTTTTTCAAAAGAAAATTTCGTTAAATGCGCTTATAAAATGCGAACAATTTCTAAAAATCATTTAAAAAACAGCTTTATAGAAGAAAGTCATGATATATCTATAAGCTATAATAAAGACTGTGATCGATCCCTTTGCCTAAGAGCTTCAAGCTGAGGCAGTAACGGCTCCTGCCTATTGAATAACTCCTCCAGAGCAGGCTCTGAAAGTATTGTGGCTAAGAACTGTTCAAGCGTTATAAACCATACGCTGTCGGAGGACGGCTCGTTTTCCTTTGACGGTGACAGCTGAGACGACGATCCTTCTAGTTCAGCCGTTTTGTTGCCATTTGGGTCCAGCTGTGATTGTGATATTAAGAGTTTAGTCTATTGCATGTATTCAAAACGTTTTAAAAAGTGTTTGGGTGTGATTAGATCTGCCCTAACTGCCAAATTCGCACGCACGCACGCACGCACGCGCACGCACACTACCCACTGGCGCTAATGCTCTTCACTTGCTCGGACGCGTGCACTCACACGCACACACAGACTTCCTTAAAAACAATAGAATCGAACTCTATGGAACTCAAAACGCGGAAGAGGATAATATGTTAAAGTTAGGACTTTCAAATAACTGACATTACAAAAATGTCTCTATCAAATCCAATAAATTTTGGATTAGAAAAATTTAAAGCAGGGTACATTTAACATTATATTTGCAAGGAATGGAAATTAAATCGAAAACTAAATATGTTCTTCAGTGTTTTGCAGATCATATTAATCAGTTAACTATTACAAAATTGGCAGAGGACGCCTTATTGATTAGAGAATTGTACATCCTATATATAAACATGTTGTATGCTGATAATTCCATGTTCCTAATGAAAATAATGTAAAAACTACAACACCATTTTGTCGTTCCATTGAATAAAAGGTACGAAGTGTCAACATCAGTTCAAAAGCGATCGAAATGAATTATGCTAGTGTGACCACGGGGTATGATGTTAAGCGTGATAAAACTCTTTCATCAACTGCTACTCTAGCAATAATTATAACGTTTATAACGCAATTACGTAAAGAGCAATGGCAGAAAAATAGTTGACAAAAATTATTGCGTCTAGAAATAAGTTATATATAAAATGAGTTTTATTATTTTTCTATGATTTTTCAAATAAAATGTGTTTTAATTAAAGCCACAGAAAAAAAAAACATTTTTGGGAATATCAAATGACTTAAATCATTTTTTTTTTGGAGTTTATGGCCTGGTATCTAGACCTTTAGGCCAAGTCTTAAGTATTTTTATTCGGTTTATTGTAATTTCCCCACTCCTTCATAGTATACTGCTTCACAATATGTTGATGCGTCACATTGTGCAGTTCTTGGGAGATTTTGGCGGCAACTTGATCCAGCAGACAGCTGATAGTTGGCGATGGTATCTAAAGGTGCCTATGCAAACTAACAGCTTATCTTGAGAATCCATCACCATCAGAGCACTTGTTTCACTGTTTCCACTAATAGTTCACATGCGTAGACACTTAATACACAAAATCGCAACACTTTTACATATCAAAGTCCACTTCAAACCATTATTTAAACAATAATACAGGAGCAGCAAACCGCCGCCGGTCAATTTCCCGCCAAAACTCACTTAAATCATTTTACTCTATTCAAGTGTTGTCATTTAGTATATTCATACTATTTTCGTATAAACTTTGTAAGACTATCAACACAACACACAAAATATTTTTATATTAAATTATTATAAGTAATAACTGTACTATCAGTAATAATAAAAATAAAAGTGATATGGCTAAGAATAAGTCTCTTACAAAGAATTTCCTACAATAATACGTTATCTCAATCATAGTACTATGTAACAATTCCATTTAATGTTATGCCAACACTAGCTAAAGCAAAATTTCACTGTGAGTTTTGGCGGGAAATTGACCGGCGGCGGTTTGCTGCTCCTGTATTATTGTTTAAATAATGGTTTGAAGTGGACTTTGATATGTAAAAGTGTTGCGATTTTGTGTATTAAGTGTCTACGCATGTGAACTATTAGTGGAAACAGTGAAACAAGTGCTCTGATGGTGATGGATTCTCAAGATAAGCTGTTTGTTTGCATAGGCACCTTTAGATACCATCGCCAACTATCAGCTGTCTGCTGGATCAAGTTGCCGCCAAAATCTCCCAAGAACTGCACAATGTGACGCATAAACATATTGTGAAGCAGTATACTATGAAGGAGTGGGGAAATTACAATAAACCGAATAAAAATACTTAAGACTTGGCCTAAAGGTCTAGATACCAGGCCATAAACTCCAAAAAAATTTCACTGTTTTTTTTTACTGGCTTTACGGCTCTGGATTCTAGCCTTTCTGAGAATGTCACTATGATACAAAGGCCCTGGAGCCATGCCAGAAATATACATTTACACTATGCAAATGTATAATAGAGATACAATAATCTAAAAACTCTCAATTATGTATTATGTATTAAGCTAACATCAAACAACCACAGGAAGCATGACTTTTTCCAAATGACATAGGACATAACCTAAAAAGGTTCAAATGTAAATATCTTTTTTTGAGGCCTTCTCAGGACAAAATTCTTTAACAGAGTTATTAAGGGACTGACGCTTAACATTTTAAGATATTTTTGGTATATAGACGTTACCATTTCTTCTCAACTAATTTTATGTATGAAAGTCTGCCATTGTTCTTTCACATTAAGCGACCAACGCGGGTTAGATGCCCGCCGGCACCAATGAAATTGTTAATTGCAATTTTAAGTGCTGATTTGTTACGTGCTCGGCGGTACAGGAAAACATCGTGAGGGAAACTGCATGTCTGAGAAATAAGAAACATAATGTTTTGAAGACATGTGAAGTTCGCCAAACGCATTGGGACAGCGTGACGTATATAGGCTGTAAATTTAACTTTATACAGGGTTATTTTGCAATAACCGGCCTAATTTCCTGACAAAGTTCAGAAAAAGTAATATAGATAAATGGAGAGGAAAACTTAATTTTACTTAAAAAAATCACAAATATTCTGTCCTTTTTATCTTTTAAATTCAAAATGGGTGGTAATGCATTATTTTAACTGATTTTACTGTGCACACACATTCGTAAGGGTCGATCGGTGGGCAGAAACGTTGTTGGCCATAAATCATACACAATTTGGGATAATTTCAAATAAATATAGAAGTCTTATTTACTCGTGTTTTCAAAAACTGCAATAACGGTATATCATTATTTATATATTTGTTAAGTAAAAGTTTAAAATTTGGCTACTCTTTAAAAAATAACCCTGTATAACGGAGACCAAGCAACGACGGTCGGTAATGGAAGTTTACATATTATCGTGTATCATGTGAGCGTACAAAGCTTCGTTATGATATACGCAGGTGCGATCGTAGCATTACTCATGTATATTAACTAATAAAAAAAAGAAGTTGTAATGAAAGCGTAAATTGCAAGTCAATAGTGTCCGAAACTACTATTTAAAAAGAATACATCCCCCCCTCTTCTCACTCTCTCACTCTCTCTCCCTTTCTCAGTTTATGTGTGTTCTGAAGTTTTTAAACGAATATCTGTGGCTTGCAATGGAATGATTTTTTTTTACTAAACGTAACTATTACCTGAGCAACGACGGGTTGTTTGGCAGCAGTAGCAGCTAAGAAAAGGCTGTCTTGGGATATCTCGCGATCTAACTCCGGCCGATGTGTTAATTCGCCCAATTGAAGCAGTAATGTACCTTTAGTAAAATACAATGAAATTACAAAACTTATTAGGTGAAATATAAATAAATTTTCACTAATGTCTGTTGTTACTACAGAGTTTGTAAGCTTTAGCCATTACCGAAAGCCTAATATAGATTTAAAAATGCTAGTAATTAAAAATGACTAGTATCATAATATTATTGTAATATTGTCAGCGTGCGTGTGCAGCGTATGCTGTACAGTATGCGTTGTATGTGTGAGTAGTTTGTCATATGGTGGAGGTGTAAGAGAATGCATCACATCCCGTGAGTGTACGTGTGGAGCGGTGCACTGACCGGCGCGCGCCACGGCCTCGTACAGCGGGCCGCTGTGCTCGGTGAGGCCGTGCAGCGTGGCCAGCAGGCGCAGCGTGTGCGTGTGCGTGTGCGTGCAGTGTACGTGTGGAGCGGTGCACTGACCGGCGCGCGCCACGGCCTCGTACAGCGGGCCGCTGTGCTCGGTGAGGCCGTGCAGCGTGGCCAGCAGGCGCAGCGTGTGCGTGTGCGTGTGCGTGCAGTGTACGTGTGGAGCGGTGCACTGACCGGCGCGCGCCACGGCCTCGTACAGCGGGCCGCTGTGCTCGGTGAGACCGTGCAGCGTGGCCAGCAGGCGCAGCGTGTGCGTGTGCGTGTGCGTGCAGTGTACGTGTGGAGCGGTGCACTGACCGGCGCGCGCCACGGCCTCGTACAGCGGGCCGCTGTGCTCGGTGAGGCCGTGCAGCGTGGCCAGCAGGCGCAGCGTGTGCGTGTGCGTGTGCGTGCAGTGTACGTGTGGAGCGGTGCACTGACCGGCGCGCGCCACGGCCTCGTACAGCGGGCCGCTGTGCTCGGTGAGGCCGTGCAGCGTGGCCAGCAGGCGCAGCGTGTGCGTGTGCGTGTGCGTGCAGTGTACGTGTGGAGCGGTGCACTGACCGGCGCGCGCCACGGCCTCGTACAGCGGGCCGCTGTGCTCGGTGAGGCCGTGCAGCGTGGCCAGCAGGCGCAGCGTGTGCGTGTGCGTGTGCGTGCAGTGTACGTGTGGAGCGGTGCACTGACCGGCGCGCGCCACGGCCTCGTACAGCGGGCCGCTGTGCTCGGTGAGGCCGTGCAGCGTGGCCAGCAGGCGCAGCGTGTGCGTGTGCGTGTGCGTGCAGTGTACGTGTGGAGCGGTGCACTGACCGGCGCGCGCCACGGCCTCGTACAGCGGGCCGCTGTGCTCGGTGAGGCCGTGCAGCGTGGCCAGCAGGCGCAGCGTGTGCGTGTGCGTGTGCGTGCAGTGTACGTGTGGAGCGGTGCACTGACCGGCGCGCGCCACGGCCTCGTACAGCGGGCCGCTGTGCTCGGTGAGGCCGTGCAGCGTGGCCAGCAGGCGCAGCGTGTGCGTGTGCGTGTGCGTGCAGTGTACGTGTGGAGCGGTGCACTGACCGGCGCGCGCCACGGCCTCGTACAGCGGGCCGCTGTGCTCGGTGAGACCGTGCAGCGTGGCCAGCAGGCGCAGCGTGTGCGTGTGCGTGTGCGTGCAGTGTACGTGTGGAGCGGTGCACTGACCGGCGCGCGCCACGGCCTCGTACAGCGGGCCGCTGTGCTCGGTGAGGCCGTGCAGCGTGGCCAGCAGGCGCAGCGTGTGCGTGTGCGTGTGCGTGCAGTGTACGTGTGGAGCGGTGCACTGACCGGCGCGCGCCACGGCCTCGTACAGCGGGCCGCTGTGCTCGGTGAGGCCGTGCAGCGTGGCCAGCAGGCGCAGCGTGTGCGTGTGCGTGTGCGTGCAGTGTACGTGTGGAGCGGTGCACTGACCGGCGCGCGCCACGGCCTCGTACAGCGGGCCGCTGTGCTCGGTGAGGCCGTGCAGCGTGGCCAGCAGGCGCAGCGTGTGCGTGTGCGTGTGCGTGCAGTGTACGTGTGGAGCGGTGCACTGACCGGCGCGCGCCACGGCCTCGTACAGCGGGCCGCTGTGCTCGGTGAGGCCGTGCAGCGTGGCCAGCAGGCGCAGCGTGTGCGTGTGCGTGTGCGTGCAGTGTACGTGTGGAGCGGTGCACTGACCGGCGCGCGCCACGGCCTCGTACAGCGGGCCGCTGTGCTCGGTGAGGCCGTGCAGCGTGGCCAGCAGGCGCAGCGTGTGCGTGTGCGTGTGCGTGCAGTGTACGTGTGGAGCGGTGCACTGACCGGCGCGCGCCACGGCCTCGTACAGCGGGCCGCTGTGCTCGGTGAGGCCGTGCAGCGTGGCCAGCAGGCGCAGCGTGTGCGTGTGCGTGTGCGTGCAGTGTACGTGTGGAGCGGTGCACTGACCGGCGCGCGCCACGGCCTCGTACAGCGGGCCGCTGTGCTCGGTGAGGCCGTGCAGCGTGGCCAGCAGGCGCAGCGTGTGCGTGTGCGTGTGCGTGCAGTGTACGTGTGGAGCGGTGCACTGACCGGCGCGCGCCACGGCCTCGTACAGCGGGCCGCTGTGCTCGGTGAGGCCGTGCAGCGTGGCCAGCAGGCGCAGCGTGTGCGTGTGCGTGTGCGTGCAGTGTACGTGTGGAGCGGTGCACTGACCGGCGCGCGCCACGGCCTCGTACAGCGGGCCGCTGTGCTCGGTGAGGCCGTGCAGCGTGGCCAGCAGGCGCAGCGTGTGCGTGTGCGTGTGCGTGCAGTGTACGTGTGGAGCGGTGCACTGACCGGCGCGCGCCACGGCCTCGTACAGCGGGCCGCTGTGCTCGGTGAGGCCGTGCAGCGTGGCCAGCAGGCGCAGCGTGTGCGTGTGCGTGTGCGTGCAGTGTACGTGTGGAGCGGTGCACTGACCGGCGCGCGCCACGGCCTCGTACAGCGGGCCGCTGTGCTCGGTGAGGCCGTGCAGCGTGGCCAGCAGGCGCAGCGTGTGCGTGTGCGTGTGCGTGCAGTGTACGTGTGGAGCGGTGCACTGACCGGCGCGCGCCACGGCCTCGTACAGCGGGCCGCTGTGCTCGGTGAGGCCGTGCAGCGTGGCCAGCAGGCGCAGCGTGTGCGTGTGCGTGTGCGTGCAGTGTACGTGTGGAGCGGTGCACTGACCGGCGCGCGCCACGGCCTCGTACAGCGGGCCGCTGTGCTCGGTGAGGCCGTGCAGCGTGGCCAGCAGGCGCAGCGTGTGCGTGTGCGTGTGCGTGCAGTGTACGTGTGGAGCGGTGCACTGACCGGCGCGCGCCACGGCCTCGTACAGCGGGCCGCTGTGCTCGGTGAGGCCGTGCAGCGTGGCCAGCAGGCGCAGCGTGTGCGTGTGCGTGTGCGTGCAGTGTACGTGTGGAGCGGTGCACTGACCGGCGCGCGCCACGGCCTCGTACAGCGGGCCGCTGTGCTCGGTGAGGCCGTGCAGCGTGGCCAGCAGGCGCAGCGTGTGCGTGTGCGTGTGCGTGCAGTGTACGTGTGGAGCGGTGCACTGACCGGCGCGCGCCACGGCCTCGTACAGCGGGCCGCTGTGCTCGGTGAGGCCGTGCAGCGTGGCCAGCAGGCGCAGCAGGTGCGTGTGCGTGTGCGTGCAGTGTACGTGTGGAGCGGTGCACTGACCGGCGCGCGCCACGGCCTCGTACAGCGGGCCGCTGTGCTCGGTGAGGCCGTGCAGCGTGGCCAGCAGGCGCAGCGTGTGCGTGTGCGTGTGCGTGCAGTGTACGTGTGGAGCGGTGCACTGACCGGCGCGCGCCACGGCCTCGTACAGCGGGCCGCTGTGCTCGGTGAGGCCGTGCAGCGTGGCCAGCAGGCGCAGCGTGTGCGTGTGCGTGTGCGTGCAGTGTACGTGTGGAGCGGTGCACTGACCGGCGCGCGCCACGGCCTCGTACAGCGGGCCGCTGTGCTCGGTGAGGCCGTGCAGCGTGGCCAGCAGGCGCAGCAGGTGCGCGCGCGGCAGCGGCGGCGCGGCGCGCGGCGAGCCCGGCGACCCCGCGCCCGCCGGCCCCGCCAGCCCCGCCAGCGCGCACGCACGCACCGCAGCCGCTTCACTCTCTAAACAAACGCAAGAGACGTACGTAAAGGCACGAAGCGTGAGCACAGCCTTTTCATGTGCAATAGTCTTTTTTTTAGTTCTTTTTGGTGAAGTATAAGGGCGCGGGGTGGGTACGGTGAACATTCCTTCACGTGATTAGTCCGTTAGTTAACCTTCATCATTTAATGGATATTCTATGTAATTGGATTTTATACGTGGTAGAGCCATGCTGCAACTATATTAATTGTATAGTTGTAGTTGTAGCACGAATGGGTCGGCTCGACCGGGGAAGAACCACACTCTCACAGAAAACTAGCGTAAAATAGCAGCTTAACGCTGCTGTGTTTCGTTTGGTGAGTGTAGAGAACCGGAGACCCTTTTTACTGGCAAAGAGGCATTCCATCTTAGTCCTCACGGGTGACAACGTATCTGCATCTTGAGTCTTTATTGAGGATAGATGTAGATGTCTATGGGTCACAGTAACCACTTACCATCAGGTGGACTGTGTGCTCGTTTGTCACCCTATCGTATAAAAAAAAATCACGGGACATTCAGCTGCAGTATATTGACTATATACGCACAAATGCTGTCACTCTATGCTCACGACTCGCGGAGCGATTTATTTTTTCAACACAACCATTCGACATCGTTTATAACTATTGGTGGGATGATCGGGCGCTTATTTATCTTACGCTTAAATTTTTTAGCATTTAAGATTAATATGGACATGAACTTCTAAATTAAATTTATTTAATTGAATTCCGCGACCGCGGGTTTTACTAATATTTCGTAAATATACTAAACTAAAATTAATTACAAGACTAAGAATATTACTTGAACTCTTGGATGTCCTGCATGAAAGTCCAGGTCCAACATTATTACTAGACTAACGGGCAGAGATGACGTCATTTTGATAAAAACCCCGATTTGTACGTAGTCAGAGAAATGTTTCTGATCTGTACAGAAATGTGTAATGACGCTATTCTTTACAAATTCGCGCCACTTACTTCTATAGACGTTGAAATGTAGTATTGAACATATAAGTGGATTTTAAAGGTTATAATTTAAAATTAAAAATTTTGTACAGCCGACTTCAATATAAGTTATTTAAGAATAACTTAAAAACTATTGGTCTGACCTTGATCAAATTCATATGGGACCACACGAGAAGTACCAGCTTTCAAATAAAAAAAGAATCATCGAAATCGGTTCACCCAGAAAAAAGTTCTGAGGTAACACACATAAAAAAAAAAAACGAAAAAAAAAAACATACAGTCGAATTGAGTACCGGCTCCTTTTTGGAAGTCGGCAGAAAAGAAATAGTTTAAAAATTGATAATTTAGGGAAAATTTTGATTATTTATTTTAATTCATGAAAAATAAATAATCAACAAAAAACTTCTAAACAAGTAGAATCTGAGGTTGACGATGTAAACGTATTTGCGTCATGTGTACATCAACCAGACGCAGACAAAGAAATGCCGTAACTCTTTATATTATAACAAAACCGACCTTAATATTATGTTACGAGTATATTTGATTTTAATTAAAAATGGGTGTTTTTATATAATAATCATGAAAACAAAACCATTAGTGGGGGGACAACGGAACTTATTAGGTTTCGATATCCACCACTGAGGGACAAAGTAACTTATTTCTTCCCAGTGTCCACCAGTAGGGTCCAATGGGAAGATTGGCGGATATAGCAACTTTTTTTCCAATGTCCGCCAGTGGGTGACAGCGAGAATAGATGAACAAGTTCTCATATAAATTTTGTTTGTAAATTGTTTGACTATAATGAAATAAAAAAATCTTTATGTATGAATGTATTCAATGAAACATCAAATTTACAATTGGTCCTACGAAATATTTATACGTAGCTAACATTTTTATTAATCTCAGAACCTTCTAGCAACCCCGCATGCGGGATTCAAAAAGGTACGTCCATAATAATCCTTCATTCGTGATATAGAATATAATATAATAGCAAATCACCGAAAGCCTTCTGGAACTTTGTTAACCGATTCGTTGCGGCACCGATTTTCGACAACTTTTAGCTGTGGAGGTGAACAAATATTTCGTGACACGCCTGGCGTGTCAAGCGCCACAGACGTAATGTTCTTTTTTATCGTTTTTTCACTTGTTTAGACCTAATTAAGTTTAGTGGAAATCAAACATCAGTTACAAACGGAAGGATACTTGTTTTTAGTGGATAACTACGTGTTTTTCTACGTGTTTTATTTGAAATTGACTTTTTAAATGCAGAGATTACATACCTTTTGTACTATTTTTTTGTTTTATAAAAAAAAAAACCATTTATATAAGTAGATACAGCTAAATCACCCTGGAAAACCTTGGTTTTTATTAAATTAAATTTTCACCTAATAATAACATTTTAAATATCAAACAATCAAGAACCTTAATTTGGGAAAATATAAGGTTTTTCATTAATATTTACAAATGTTAAATATTTATTAATGTTATAGAAATGTTAAAGTAAAGTCGATCTGAAAACGTCTAATTAGTAAGAATAGGAAAACAAGTGTTTTCAATAGGAAAAAAAAACACCGGCGCTATACGGCGGCGGATTGACAAAATACTATTTATTAGCGAACCTTTTTTAGGCATGAACGGTTTCGAACTGTTTCAAGCAAAATTAAACCTTATACCATATCACAAGAGCACATGGTACTTTGTAGGTCTATTCGGCCATATGACAGTAATAAGACGGCAGTTCAACCATTTTAAGCAAAATTAAACAGTAAGACAAAGGTATTGTTTTTTTTAACAGGAGACTTGTTTTCCAGAAATTTATTAGACTATTTTTCCACAATATGATTTAAAACCCACAAAGTAAAAAGTGTACTATGTACAAGTTAAAAAAGGTTGTTAACCCCTAAAAATTTCAAATTTTCAAAATATCCAGAAACGAAGCTGTATTCGTGAACTACTTGTAAAGTAATGAATATTTTGTTCTGGATAAATCTTCCAAAAACGCAATTTGAGCGAGTTATAACGATTTATAAAAAGATACGACTCGCGTGTCATACGCCACACACAAAAGTAACATATGGCACGCCTGGCATGCCATCAGCACTGAACCGGTTAAGAGTAAAAAATCTCCACATTTATATCCTTCTAATATGAAATTCAGACAGTATTCTTCAAGCAAAAGTGAAGTAATTTGTGATTTTTTCAATCAGTTTTTTCAGTCTAACTCTCTTAACGATTCTGACACAATTAATTTGAATATTATTGACTCGCAAATTGATCAATCCCCTGTTGATATCAGTTCCATCGAGGTGCAAGAAGCAGAGGTATCCAGGCTTTTAAAGCCTATGGACCAGACGGTATCCCGGCTATCTTCATCGAACGTTGTGCGGACTCTCTTACTTTGCATCTCAGCATTCTGTCCCGCTTTCCTTAAAGAAAGGCATCTTTCCAAATATTTGGAAAAGTGCGTTTATTACTCCAATACATAAAAAAGGACCTAAGGATGAGGTATAAAATTATCGTCCCATTTCCAAGCTCCTTTTATTCGCTGAAGTACTTGAAAAAATAATTTACAACCAGGTGTATTCATACCTTCTCCACACATTTAGTGAAAATCAAGATGGTGTCTTAAAAAGCAGATCCACCTAGTCAAACCTTGTTGTTTGTTCCAACTATATAACTAGCTTTATGTCTAAACCAGCACAAGTAGGTGTAGTCTATACAGACTACTCCAAAGCATTTAACAGAATCGATCATTTAATTCTTCTACGTATACTCAGGGATCAAGGGTAACTTATTTAGATGGTTTACATCATACACCAGAAATCGAAGTCAATCTGTCGTCCTTGGTTCGTTCGTCTGCAATCCATATATTGCCGGGCGTACCGCAAGGAGTCCTATTGGGCCCTTGCTCTTCTTATTTTTTATCAATGATATCGACACGTGTTTTAAAAGTTCCAAGATTATTCTTTACGCTAACGACATAAAAATCTTATGTCCTATTACAAATTTGGAAATTTATTCTAGCCTTCAAAAGGATCTCTGCAATTTAGAAGCGTACTGTTCTAACAATAAACTCGATCTGAATGTTTCTAAATATTTTATCTGCTCATTTAGTCGTAAACCTAATCCTATTATTTATTAATTATAACTTACACCATACTTCTCTAAATAGAACCAGCACTATCAGAGATCTCGGTGTTACTTTTGACTCTAAATTGCTGTTTGACAATCACGTTGATGATATTGTTACAAAGGCTAACAAAGCGCTGGGTTTCATATTAAGATTATCGGCAGATTTTAAAAGCATAAAAACCTTTAAAATTTTATATTGCGCTTTTGTACTATGCTTCTGAAATTTGGAATCCAAAATATAATATATATGTTGATATTATAGAGCGCATACAAAAAAGATTTTTGCGTTTTCGTCAATTTAAATAAAAAAAGTTTATACCCAACTATACTCTTCGATGTAAAAAAATTCACATATTACCTTTATATGAGCGTAGAAATATTGCAAATCTCTCTTAACTCTTTAAAATTATGAATGGTAATGTTGATTGTTCTGAACTATTGAGTAAAATAGGTTTACGTACCTCATCATCTGGTTTGCGGAAACCTACACTTTTATCTGTAGCATACGTGAAAAGTAATTACAGGCAAAACTCTTTTATTATTCGATCAATCAGATGTTTTAATGCTACAGCACATAATCATAATAGATATTGATTTATTTCATTCCAGCATTCTCCAACTTTCACTTTCCAACAACTTCTTTTTTGATAATTTATTTATAGTTAAGTGTACTGTTACTTTCCCTATACTCGTATATCTCTGCTGACACACTCTTGTTATATAAAGTATTATATAAGTGAAAACTTGTAAATGGCCTTAATTTTTATTATAATTATATTATTTTTGTAAATTAGCTGTAAGTTTTCCAAGCAAATAAAAAAAAATATATATAATTAAATAATAATAATATAAAAATAATAATAATAAGCGCCCGATTATCCGACCATGATTTATAACACATATATAGTGAAATCCACACTAACGCAACTGCGGAGAACGGAATGCACCTTAAGGCGCGGCGGAAGGCGTTATAACATTGCGCCTCCCACGGATGTAATATGTCACGTTTAATTATTATTTGCGCGGGCTATTAGCTAATGTTAAGTTTGTCTAAATTGGCATTTTCGTGTTTAGAAAGGAGTAGTTCTTGTTATGCATAGGGCATTACAAATTAAAATAAGACCTCATTATTTTAACAAAAAAGCATCTGTTTAAATACTGATGCCTGTTTTTGTTTAATCTGACTACTGTATGACGAATTACGTCAATACTCAGAAAAAGTATACTACTAACAATCTCCGGATTTATGTTTTGCATTAGAAAATCGCAAATAAAACAACAATATTTGTCTCAAACAAACGCAGGAAGCGCGTTCTCGTATAATCTAACCAGCGTTGACCGGCGCAGACGCCGGCCGTGCCGGCATGCTAAACCCCATCCGTCTGCTATTATTTTTTTCCCGCTCATCTCAGACGCCCTAGCGTGACATCTGACTAACTTGTATTCACTACTTTACATGAGTAGTGCCTTGATAATTTGTCGGTTTTTAATTGTAAATTATATTTATTACACTATTCGAGTAATAACTAAGTCATGTCAATAATACAATTACTTCCAATTTAAAGTCATTCAAATTTTTTATTTCATTTAAAATTATTATTTAACTATAAAAACAATGACGTCGTTCTCACAAAATTTGTATAGTTTCTATTCTTCAAGTCACATAATAAAATGATCTTTATTTTATTCGACATAGACGTTACGAGTATAACGTTCAAAACTCTCGGTAGTGTTAACAATGGAGCCAAAGATAAAATTCATTATCATTGTGCTGCATGTGTACCATCCATTAACAACCTTTAGTTGCTTAAAACAAACTAAAACTGTTTTTAGACCAATATTTACCCTATGACTAATTTAAGAATGTATGGAATAATATTAAGAAAGTTTTGGTGGATGCAGCCACCGAAGTATGTGGTGTAAGTAAGAGAAAGAATGAAAGGAAAAGTAATATGTTGTGGTGGGATGATGAGGTACGGATGGAAGTTGAAGCAAAGAAGAGAGCATGGCTAGATTTACTAGCAACCAAAGCTGGTAATTCTGGCGGTATGAATAACGAGATTGAAAGAAAAACGGCAGACTTTAGACGTATAAATAAGAGAGTAAAAGAAGTTGTTGAAAGGAAAAAGCTAGAAAGGATAGATAAGAATGATAGAAGGATATCTGATAACTTCCAGGAAAATATTAAAATGTTCTGGAAGCTCGTAAGAACTGCCAGGGGAAATTCAAAACAGCCTAGAATGAATGGTATACGAGACGAGAATGGCTACATGCTGAATGATGAAGTTTCGAATTTAAAGAGATGGAAGGAATACTTTGAAAGCGTGTTTAAGAGTGAAGAGTCGTCTGAAGTAAGTGAAATAGAAATTCCGGAAGAAGTGGAGAGAGGTAGGGAGATAGATGTAGATGAAATAATGAAAGCAATGAAAAGCATGAAAGCAGGTAAGGCAGCCGGATATGATAGAATATCACTCGAAATGCTAAGGGCTGGAGAGGGTGTGGTTGCAGGCCTGCTGTGCACCTTGTTTAATTTATGTTGGGAACTGAAGCGGGTACCGGAAGACTGGTGCAAACCCGTTATTGTCCCATTATATAAGGGAAAGGGCTCGCAGCAGGACTGTTAAAAACTACCGTGGTATCAGCTTGTGAGTCATGTGTCATCAGAGTGGACAGGAATGTGTTATGGCAAACACTGAACTCATTTGGGTTGAGCGCTGGCTTGATACAGGCATTAAGGTCTCTTTATAGGGACTCTAGTGCTTGTGTCAGGATCAACGGAGTCTACTCGGACTGGTTTGGCATTCATAAAGGTGTCAGACAGGGATGTGTGGCTTCCCCGTGGCTGTTTAACCTATTTATGGACAGTTGTTTGCAAACTTTGAAAGATGAAGAATGTGGGTTGAGAATGGGTGAGTTAACCGTCAAATGCCTTTTGTACGCCGATGATCAAGTCATATTTGGATCGTCGGCGGCCGAGTTGCAAATGATGGTTACTTTAATGAATTGGTCATTGAAAGAAAGAGGTATGAAAGTGAACGCAAGTAAGACGAAAGTGATGGTTTTTGAAAGAGAAGAAAGTAAAACATGTGAATTAAGAATAGAAGGGGAGTTGATTGAGCAAGTGGATGAGTTTGTATATTTGGGATGTTTATTTAGCAGGGATGGTAGATATGATAAGGATATAGAACGACGAGTGAACGCAGGAAATAGAGTGAATGGGGTTCTACACGCTATTGTAAGGAGTCAGAATGTGTCAAATAAGGCACGTATGGCAATTCATAATGCTGTGTTAGTCCCTACTTTAATGTATGGTAGTGAGTTGGGTCTGGCAGAAGAAGCATGAGAGTAGAATAAATGCTGTAGAAATGCGGTCGTTAAGGAGTATGCTAGGGCTGAATCTGAATGACAGGGTGAGAAATAGTGTGATAAGAGAAAAGTGTGGTTTGCAAGATGACGTTGTGACAAGGATTAAGAAAGGAATGCTTCGGTGGTTTGGTCATGTAGAAAGAATGAACGAGGAAAGAGTGACAAAGCAAATTTATGTTGCAGAAGTGAACGGCAGAGTCGGGAAGGGGCGCCCTAGACGAAGGTTTATGGACTAAATCGACGATACATTAAAAATGGGCCAGATTAGGAGTACCCTCAACCGACGAGCGTGTATACGTAGATATATGGATGTAAAGGAGGCGACAGAGGTGTGTCAGGATCGCGCCAAATGGAAGTCCGTAGTCTCTGCCTACCCCTCTGGGTGACAGGCGTGAGTGTTTGTACTTGTACTGTTGTTGTTGTTGTTGTACTATTTTTTTAAATGTAAAATTTGCCATGATTTTAAACATAAAAGGATCCTTTCGATTACGATGAAAAGGAGCCTTCATACTCGTAGATTACTGTATATATACTAGAGATAGATGCAACAACTCAAATTTCATTTTCGTTATTGCGCAGTGCTTTGTCTAATAGATGGCGCTTAATTCTTACAAAAGAAGGAACTTGAAAAAAAAAAGGGGAAAAAATAAACACATCTGGATCCGAACCGGGGTTTATTGGTTTCAGGACCGCCCGATTTCCCACCTGAGCTATTATAATCTTGTACGTAGTGGCGAATTTTACCTTCGTATTCTAATGATATTTTAGCAGTTTTTCATTGCCTGAAAACACAGATAGAACGGCATTTTCTAAAAATAAATCCTAGCTAAATCGATTTATCGCCCCCGAAACCCCCTGCACACTAAAATTCTTACCAAATTGGTCATTATGTAAGAAAAATTAATTATTATGAAAGAAAACACATGCAACGCACGAGAAATTAGAATAATGTTCAATAAATATTAATAACAATTTAAGCGTAACCTACCAGTGACCGCTACTAACTACGAGACTTAATAGATAAGTGTGCCTTCTAGTGAGATTAAAATAAGTCTAGCCTAGCGCTTCGGAATGTAGATGGAAGCACATAAAACGTATCATTTTGTTCATAAAATAATGTTCTAAGTTGCATGCCCAGGAGCCTTACGCATGGAATCGCAGACCTATACTTGTATTTGGCGTGGACACTTCAGTGTCTCGCTTTATAAAGCGAGTGCTGCCATCAAAAGTCTATTTCCATAATGTTAGGGTTTTTCATTCAAACTTTACAGCCTATCAAAATCTACTGTTAAACATAGATTACCGCATAAGAAGGATATTGGCCATAGTTGCTACGCTTGGTAGATGGGTTGGACACCTAAATTTTTTATTCTTTAGTTATTATACCATATACTCATATTATTCAAATGTATATTTATATATTATATGAGTTTAGTATATATATATATCATGTCTGTGCATGGATTGATATGTTTACATAGATAATGTAAAACAAATTTATAAGGCAAATAATTTTTGTGTATACGTGATTTACCAGGCTTACCGTAGTTACTGTCTGTGGACTTGTCCATATAATTGCCATCGCTGCAAATTTCGCTGATGGATCGTTGCATGCCTAAATTGACATTCGGCTCAGGTGTGGACGGATTCTCTAAGCTGTAAAAATTTTGCATCAAGTAAGCTACTAAAAAAAAACTAATAATCGTATTATGTGGTATATTATATAATATTCTACAATTTCGGAAGTTTTACTACAAGTTTTGATGGGACTATAAATAATTTACTTTATGCTTTGCCTAAATATCTAGGTACTATTTCGGGATTTGGATCTCTCAGATCTAATGGTCTGCGGTGACTGAAGTTCTGTCTGGGGGACATTATTATTATATTATATAATAATTTTAATAAGCTGTAATCGGAACGGTATAAAGCAGCTAGCGAGTAGCTGGTGTAGCTGGTGTAGCTGGTGTAGGTGGTGTAGCTGGTGTACCTGTCGAAGTAGGAGATGGCGTCTGCGGCGAGCTCCTCGCCGGTGTGCGTGTAGGTGGCGTCGCGCAGGTGGTGCGGCGCCAGCAGCGGCGGCGCGTGCGCGCAGTACAGCGCGCGCAGCCGCCGCGCCGCCTCGCCGCGCGCGCTCAGCCCCAGCGCCACGCTCAGCCCGCGCGCGTTCACCATCCCGTCCTCGTCGTCGTCCACCAGCTGCTCGCACGCACAAACTATTTTTATTACTTCCGTAATGGAGTCGCATGATTGTACTTTCGTGAAATAATAAGAAATTATCCTAAATTAATTTATTCCAAAACTCGCACGACGTCTCGTGATGCAAACACCAGCGCTCTTAAAAAGAAGTATAATCCCGCCTCCAGATCCTTCGAAAGAGTCATTGCCAAGGCAAAGTCAGAGCACAGCGGCAGATTTAACTAAAAAGCTAGTTCGCTAAAAAGCTAGTTCGCCTTCCTTCCGCCAAGGCTGTCCAAAGGAACTTCTGTCAACCAGCTCTCCCATCTTTGCACAGGGAGTACGATTTACTGGTCCATGTCGCAAAGGAGAAATCTGATCTGCTAAGCTCTCGCTTTGCGTCCAGCTCGATTCTCGATGACGGGGAGAACACACCACCGACCATCCCGCGGTGTGCTCCATGCCGGATGTGCTCGGTGTGCAAAGCACTCCTCTTACTGGAAGTAAACAAGTCTAGTGGGCCCGATGGAGTCCCTCCTATTGTGCTGAAGACATATGACTACGAAGTTCGCACAGGTTTTATAACGTCTTTTTCGGTATTCCTATTCCCTACTCGTAGTCCCGAATTCATGGAAGATTTTCATTCAGCATTGGTGCACCCGATCCCTAAAAAGGCGACTGGCCTGGGTTTTCAGTAAAGGGTTTGTGATTTATTAACGATAGTTATTAGGTAGATGGTATGATGTTATCTCGCCAGGGGGCGCTGCAATGAACATATTTGTGCAAACGAATGTTACCATTTTTCTCCAAAACGGTTTGACCGATAAGTTTTTCTGTAGAAGGTTTTTGATTTATTGGCGATGTATCGGAATCCTCAGCATCGATATATCGAGTGACGTACAGTTTTGTGGTCACTTGGAAGAGAAGGCCAAATTGGCCTTTGAAAAGCTTGGCGTTCTCAGCAGAGTGGGACAGTATTTCATGCTGGCACACTGCCTGTAACTATACAAGATGCAGGTTTGGCCTCACATGAAATACTGTTACTATCTCTGAGCTGGGGCTCCCCAATGCCAGCTCCTTTGATCGAATCGTCGGCGACCGAGCTCTTTCTGATCGGCTAACTCACTCGCACTGTGAAGAGATGTTGCATCTCTTTGCGCATTTTATCGCATTTACCACGGGGAGTGCTCTGAGGAATTGTTCGGAATTGCTCGGAGGATTGTTTCAGCCGCTCAATTTCATCATCGCACATCGTGACAAAACTCGCGATACCATTCATACCATCTGCATGATTGGTGCTCTACCGCTGTGCGATTTACGAGAGGTATTCTTCTTCGCATAACTTCCTTGTGGAATCGACTACCACCAGCGATTTTGCCGGACCGATACTACTTAGGGACCTTCAAGAAAAGAGCCTATTCATTTTTAAAAGGCCGGCAACGCATCTGCAATTCTTAGTATTGCAGTTGTTCATGGGCGGCGGTAGTCACTTACCACCAGGTGTGCCGCATGCTCGTTTGACCCCTCTCCTATAAAAAAAAAATATATAAATTGCTGCTTATTTAAGCTATTCTTTTAACAGGTGAGGCAGATAAATGCGATCTTAAGTCTCGTCTCCCAATGGGGTGATGACAATTTGGTCACTTTCAAAGCCGCCAAAACGCAGGCCTATATGTTCTCCGTATTAAGTAGTCCGTTTGAAATGCATCTATAGAGGTTACTGATCATCTCGAGCTTCTCGGCATATAGTTAAGTACTAATCTTAATTTTGGCGACCTGGGTATTTTAAACAAGGTGAAGCGATACTTCACGCCTGGACAGCTTCAAACTTTATTCAAAGCTCAAGTCCGAACATGCATGGAATATTGTAGTCATCTTTGGGATGGCTCAGCAATAAATCAACTTGCCGTACTCGACTCAGTGCAACGCAGAGCCAAGAAGCTTATCGGCGACAAAAAGCTGGTGGAAACTAAGCTTCACAAGTTAGCTCACCGCCGCTTAGTTGCTTGTTTGTCGGTCTTCTACAGATTGTATTTCGGAGTGTGCCCATGAGCTTCATAAGCTCATAACCGCCATCTCCATTCTCCTATCGGAATACCAGACGTACCATCCACACTTGGTTGATATTCTGAATATTCTCACTAAGCGCTGTAAGTCATCTTTCATAATGCGCACAGCCAAGGAGTGGAATGTCCTGCCGGCGTCTGTTTTTCCGAGTGCATATAACCGTAACCTCTTCAAGGTGCGTGTTAACAGCTCCTGAGCAAGCTCGCTCCATCGTAGACCTCACCTTTACCCTCGGGCCAGATGGAGGTCAAGAGTGAGCATAGTTTAATAATAAAAAATTCTATATTGAAATTGGGAACAAGGATGGCAATAATCACCCAATACCCAAACAATTACTACAGCAGCAAATACCACTAACCATTCATTGTAATAGTTACAGTTACAGTTTGAAGCTGGTCTTTCATTTTTCATGGCCATCGTTATGGTCATAGTTATCGTTACGAACATGGTCATCGTCAACATCAACGTCATCGTCATGATCACCGACAACGTCGTCGGCATCGTCATCGACATTCTTTAATTGGCCTGTGGTAACAAGTAGACTGAATGAACATTCAGTTCAGGCCACTTTTGTATTTGGTTGTGTGTTTGTTCAGTTCTAATATTATAATTTATAATAAATATTATAATTATACAAGGGGAAGTCAAAAAGTTCGCGGAATGGTGGGGGCGAGGGTGAGTTTACTCATCAAGGCAGGCGCTAGTTGAAGGACACATTGTTAGTATATATACCAAGTTTCAGCGTAATCAGGTAAGTCAGGTAGCTTTTGAGTTATCAACGAGTAAACAAGTCAATCGGAAAGAAACTAGCCACTATGGAGAGAATCGAATATCGCACCGTCATAAGTTTCTCACCAAACAAGGAAAGGTAAAATAAAGATGTCAGCTGTTTATGAGGACTCCGCTCCTGGGAAAACGATGATTTATAAATGGCATGATCTTTTCAAACAAGGGATGGACTCCATTGAAGACGAACCCTGACCTGGACAGCCGATTGAGGCTACCACGCCGGAAATAATCGAAAAAGTTGAAAAACTTGTATCGGAAGATGCCCGGCTAAAGAAAAAACAGCTTGCAGCATTAGTTGGAGTATCAGAAACAACCATTTTAAACATCCTACATCAACACCTTGGCATGTCTAAAGTCTGTGCTGTGAGAGTATATTTCCTGTGAGAGATCTTTACCTTGAACATCATAGCCGTAACGGCTTCAGCATTTTCACCTTTTGCCCAGGGTGACAGTGCAGTAAACAGGTTCTTGAACTGTGTGTAGTCGAGTCTGTACGCTTCGTAAGGTGCTTCCAAACGTTCGCATGGTACACGCTTTGCCCAAAATAATTCTTCCCGAATAACACTCAGCAGCTCCTAAAAATGATGAAAAAAATGTGTTAAGGCGCAGGTTGAGCAAAATGTCGCGCCAGTCGTTATTTGGGCAGTTTTTAGAAGCTATCTACTTTTTATTTAAAAGATATATCAACAAATAAAAAACACATTATATTTCTACATAATCTTGATTCCATAAAAGCTATATCCAATTTTTTTTTAAAGGAATAAATATTAATATAATCTCCTTACAACGAAACCACATAAATGTGAAATTATTATTGATAACATGCATCTCCTCGTAAAGTAAGTATTATTTTATTTTGCGATTTACACCAATGGATAGGCAATTCATTAATGAACATTTCTATAGTAAATTTTTTTTCAAAAGACCAATATTTGATTTTATTAAGAAATTATTTTAAAATCTGGGCATATTTACTGCTCACGGGCTTGGTGAAGTCAGTGAGCGCTGAGCTCTTCGACGTGAAGCCCGTGTCGTTAGAGCGTCGACCAACGCATACGCCACGTCATATGAGTCGATAATATTATTACTTATTAGGTTATTTATAGGTAGTATTATTTGTTTGTTTTGGGTATAATTTTTCGTATTAGTTATACATATATTTGTTGTGCTTTTTACTGCGCGATGAAGCTTTTTGCGTGTATTTTCTTTGAAGTAAATGCAAATAAAAAAATGAAGCACCATTAGCATGTAAGGTTCGAATCCATAATTAAAATTTCGACAAATATTATAATTTACACTATAAAAGGCTAATTCAATATTATCACCCAACCACAATATCTTATCAGGTATAGTGCTGCCTCGTTGGTCTAGTGGTTGTAGTAGTGCGACTGCTGATCATGAGGTCCCGGGTTCGAATCCTGGGTCGGGCCAAAAAGTCAGTTATGAGTTTTTCATTTATGTTCTAAGTTATAATTAGTATTACTAAGTTATAGTTTTTTGCTAAAATATAGTATATTATTTATTGCTTGTTTTTTCTTCTTTTTCAAAAAATAATTGAGTACATAAGGTGTTCTAAACTTATAATTCGGTAAAAAGTACTAATATACCTACTTTTTACTATAAACTAAAAATTTTTAAAACTAAATTTAACTAAAAAGACTAAACTGACCATTTATTTTTTAACTCATAACAGGACATGGGTTTATTTATACTCTAAAAACTATAACTTTATACAATTAGTGTTCACTATAAAATTATATTCGGTATAGACGGTAATTATTAAATGCAACATATTTTTTTTAATTATTAATTACATTTGTCAGTGGATTAAATTTGCTTTAATAAAGTTGGTGATGATTTTAAATAAAAATAAAATTCTGCTCAAGTTTTTTATTGTTATCTTTGTTAACAACATCGCCTTTAGAACTCTGGAACCGTAAGTGTTTCTTTCAGACGTCCACAATTTATGCAAAATAAAAAAATACTCTTTCTACCGGAGCATTCGTACCAGGTAGACATAAAATATATTCGATTAAAAAAACTATGTTGAAGATTGTTGACTTTGAATACTTCCATCCAACGAGTTACGGGACAATTTTGTGTCCCGGAGCTTTGTTTGGGGACAATGGGACAGGAGACCGAGAAAAGGGACAGTCCCGTTCAAAACGGGACGTATGGTCACTTTAGCTATAACCCGGCGACCATGAAGCAAATACAAAGTTAGTTTTTGTATTAGCTTCATGGTGGCGCAGTGGCTTAGCAATCAGTTGTTGCGCTGGGGGCCGCGGGTTCGAATCCCGCATGGAACAAGTATTTGTATGGCCTACAAATAATTGTTCCGGGTCTGGATGTTTGTCTTTGTGCAATATTTATGTTTGTAAACTGCCTCCACGACACAGGAGAAAATCCTAGTGTGGGGGTAACGTTTTTTTTACAACTGAAATTGAAAGATTGAACCCTTATACTTCTTGTTGATTTTTGTATTACCTTTATTAAAGTTACCCTTATGTATAAATAAATATAATTACGTATGTAGAAATAAAATTGATTTTCATCCTCATCAATCATTGGGGTGAGGATAATATCTGCTAGCATAAGTAATAAGCAGGCTAAGTTACAAGGTGCTCAGTTCAAAAATTAGTAGGTAACTTTTCAATACGTGACACGTAAAAATTAACAATAATCAAAAACACATATGCGAAACATCCTATTTATTTATTTATTTTTTATTGCACCAAATATTTGTACAAAAGCCGAGCTATCTATTTATTTACCTATAGTGAATAGGTATCTTTTAAACTCACAATTTTCAATGCTTCAGTTTTAATATACTGGGTGGCGCCCAGGTTATCACGTTAAATAGCACAACAGTTAATACAAGTTGATATATGTCTGTTAAAATAATAAAATAAACAATAATAAAAACTAATAAAAAATGCATCTTTCAAACAAAATAAATAGGGTAAAAAATCACATAAAATAAATCATCCTTGATAATATTACTTAACTGACTTGAAATGACTTGTAGAAGCGGCAACGTCGCGGCCAGCGGTTCATTGTTCATGCGACATCGATATAGGTAATTATATTATAATACCTAGGTCCTAGGACTTGCCCATACATAGGTAATTAGGCACGCGTAGGGCGATGCTAATCCGATGTTATCAACAAATCACAAATTTCATGGTATTTTTTTATCCAAATAATCACTTTAACCTTGAAATCACTCAAGTTTATGAAACAAATCAAATTTTTAAATTTTCAAAATGTCCGCCGTGTACCCGAATGCATAATTGACATCGTCGCATGATATTATTTCGGACTTTTCGAAAGAGGGCACCATTGGCTGCAAAATTTTTTATTTTGTCGAAAGCCCGCATTATTCTTATTTTTAAGTCCTCGACAGTCGTTACTTCAGTAGAGTACACCTCATTTTTTATGTAACCCCATAAAAAGAAATCTAACGGTGTTAGATCCGGAGACCGTGCTGGCCACCGAGAAGGTCCGTATCTGCCAATCCAGTTCTCTCCGAACATCTCAGTGAGGCGCTGCCTGGCAGCCACCACTGAATGAGCAGGTGCTCCATCAAGCTAGTACCATAACCGGCTATTGGCCCCCAACGATAGTCCATCAACGTAATCCGCCACTGTGTCGTCAAGCAGTTCCAAAAATTTAGGCCCATTAAGGTTGCCTTCGATAAACACGGGACCAATTATTTGATCTCCGTGTATTCCAGCCCAAACATTAACGGCAAATCTATATTGGTGCATAGACTCTCGACACAGTTGCGGATTTTCTTGACTCCAGTATCGTAAGTTCTGCCGATTCCATATTCCGTTACGCGTGAATGTGCTCTCGTCAGTCCACATTACGTTTGCTAAAAAGTTAGAGTCATTAGCTACTTTGCTCAGGAGCCATTCACAGTAGGCTTCCCTAACTGGCTTATCTCTATCTAATAAAGCCTGTACCTTTACGTATTTGAACGGCCGTTGCTTGTTTTTTTTTAATATTCTGTGAACAGACTTGTGGTGTACACAGAATTGGCGAGCTGCTCTACGGAGACTTGATGTTGGATTACGAGCGAAATAATTTAATATTCGTTCTTCCTGAGCCACGGCGACTCGCGGAGGAATTTCAACCTGACGTGGAATCAAATTTTCGCCGTCACGTAATCTTTGGACTGCCCGTATAAAAATCCGTGAGTCTGTAGGACATACACGTGTGGTATTATACCTCTCTCGGTATGTTCGTAATGCCAGGGACGCGTTTTGGTGGCATTCTCCATAAATTAAAACCATATCGGTGTATTCTAATGACGTAAAATTGATACGAGGCATTTTAAAATAAAAAAAGTTATACGTTTAAAAAAATAAAAGCGTCCAATTGCGCACGGGCTGACACACCACTAAGTTATTAAATATCACTTATCTATTATTAACGAGTCCTATCACAAATAAAAAATACAAGACAGTAAAAGAAAGCGTCAAATTTCGCACAAATAGTCACACCACCTCCTCAACACAATTATTATTATAGTATTAACGTGTCCTATCACAAACAAATCAAGAAACTTATGAAAATATCCACAAAAAAAAACTTTAAATTAAAAGGACGTGTACGCGAAAAACTAAAATTAGGTCAAGCGATTAATGAACCGTTCCCAAGGACGCCGGCGTCGGACTAAGTGACTTACTGTCTTACTTTATCATCGCACGCGCCAATCGACCACATCCCACCCTCCCAACACCCCGTCCCAATTCTTGTCGCATCGCGCATAAGAATTATGCCTTATTTTGTTACATATAAGTACATTTTTTGCTTAATTTATTACTTTATTTGATTATTTAAAATTGGCAACGTTGCACTATAATACAATATAGGTCTCTTGGCCTTCACGGGCCATGGGTCTTTGAACTTCTAGTATTTATCAGGTGATATCTGATGCATTTACATGATGTTGTTTAATATTAAAACAAAAAAAAGGCTACCGCGCCCAGAATGTTAATTGTTATATATTTTTTTAGTTGTGTATGTTTAAAGAACTTTGTATAGAATACGTCTTTTCATTTAACGTGATAACTTCATCGTCACTTTGTATAATTAATTATAAAATTTCATAATTAGATAATATATGAAAATACATAATTCTAATATAATGCAACTAATATATACAGAATAAAAAAATTAAAATACATTTATCTTTGTACGCTATGTGTATTTCCATAAAATAGTTTATTGATGTTGAAAAAATAATACTACTTTCGTACAATAGGTGGCGTCTTACATATTTCTTCCGGCGAGCCGCTCGCTACAGCTACGCTTAGGTCAAATGCTCAAGGTCGTTCGCATGGAGTAGCCCCTTAAGTAATACTTCTTTTCGTTTTTATTTCTTTTTGAGTTGTCATTGAAGCAACATATGGGATTATCGGAGTTGTTAAGATGTCTCGCGTCATTAAGCTCCTCGAAGCTCCGAGCTCCGCAAAAATAAGACGTATTGTCAACATGGCTTTTCACTTCGATGGTATACCACCATGGAAGTACATAAAGGAAGCCTTCAGAGATTGACAAGACTTGAAGTGAAGATCTACACCAGTTTGCAAAACAAGACCATCCAGAAAAACCAATAGAAAATTCTGGGAGTATTTTTATATTTCTTTTAAAGTTATGTTATAGTTATTTTTATTGCAACTAAATTAGTACAATGTCAAACCTTCAGCATGTGTGAAAGCATTTTTTCGAAAAAGTTTTTCTAGCAGTGGTTTAAACAAAAACCTATAAAGAAAGAATAGATATCTAGATGCATTTGTACTACCTGCAGCTCTGCGGGATCTAACAGCTTGTCCTGCTGCAACGCACGCAACGTGTTCTTCTCCAGGCTGTCCTCCAGCTGGCGCACCACACGTAACCGGTGCTTCAGCCGCAAATGCTCGATACATTCTCCACTCACGGTCGCACCGTACGATCGATAAGACTGGTACACCAAATCTTGGATTTTTATCGTCTGCAAGTTTAAAATTCTCTTAGACAAACAAAAATTGAATATATATTATACTTTTTATTTTTATTTAGTTATGTAATGCTTTTTTATTATATATTATGTTATTATTATAGTATTATGTAGTTTGTAGGCATAAACGATACAATGGCAAATAGATACAAAATTATACATTGCTTGCAATACGTGGGTACCATCTTGTACTAGATGAGTGATCACGCAATGTATTGCGTTTACTGCGGAAGTCGCGTGCGTCGATCCAAAGCTGAAAGTCGGCAAAATCCATACGTATTGATAGTGTTGTAACCAAGTTGTAAACAACGTCGATATGAAGAATGTGTGTTTGATACGAATGATTATTATCAGTAATATTATAATTAAAATAACTTTGTTTATTACCACCAATTTTTGTTTACTGCGGGTTATTAATTTAGATATATAATGAAAAGATACATTTAAAATTTTATTTTTAGCTTTCCAACAGATCCTGATACGAGAAAACTGTGGATTAAAGTAACTGGTACAATTTAATGGATTTTTTATTATTTAGATTATTTAAATTTCATTTTGCTGAAAATGATTACATAACAAAAAAATTCAGGAAAAAGATACTTAAAATCAGGAGCTTCTCCGCACAAAAATTGCGTTATGCCTTGTTCTTGTAAGTAGTACTGTTACTGTGTACAAGTAAGTAGTATATAATTTATATTTTATAAAACGTTATTGCTGCTTTTGAATTGCGTGCCTTAAAATAAATCGACGTCACCTAGATCATCTTTTTTTTTTTATAGGATAAGGGTGACAAATGAGCACACATTCCACCTGATGGTAAGTGGTTGCTGCGGCCCATGGACATCTACATCTATCCTCTATTACAAATCAAAATGCAGATGCGTTGTCACCCGTGAGGACTAAGATGGAATGCCTCATTTCCAGGAAAAAGGACCTCCGGCCACCTGCACTCACCAAGCGAAACGCAGAGGTAAACCTCTACTTGACGCTGGTATTCTGTGAGGTCGTGGTACCACCCCGGTTTGAGCCGGCCCATCCGTGCGACAGCAAAAGCTGCCGCGTGGCTCTACCACTGTTGTTTATTGTTATTATTTATTTTATTATTATTATTTTAATCTTTTGTGATTATTACTATATAAGGCCATGTTTATTGGGTTTATGCAGCCATAAAGCTGAAAATCCATGGTTTAAATATATAGAGTTACAAAATGATGCTTTTTTCGTTACGCTTACTTCTCTAATTACAGACAAAACTAATTTTTGTTTTTTAAGTCTTCACCAGCGATACCGTGACGCAAGCTGCATTTAGCAGCGACATAACACAGGCTGCGTTTACCGTAGATGAAAATACAAGTCAAAACAACATAATGAAAGAGCAATGGCAGACTTTCATACATAAAATTAGTTGAGAAGAAATGGTAGCGTCTATATACCAAAAATATCTTAAAATGTTAAGCGTCAGTCCCTTAATAACTCTGTCAAAGAATTTTGTACTGAGAAGGCGTCAAAAAAAAGATATTTACATTTGAACCGTTTTAGGTTATGCCCTATGTATTGTTGCCCAAAATCGGTCTTGGTCTTGCAGTCTTGGTATTGTTCTTGCATTTTTGCAAGACCAAGACCAAGAACAAGACCGCCTCTTTTTAGCAAGACCAAGACCAAGACTGACCGTGCAAGATTTGCGCAAGAACAAGACTAAGCTTGCGAGACTCTTGCGTCTTGCATTTAGGACTAAGTGTCGTCTCAGGGAGTATAGGAGTTCGGGTATACGCTTAGGTACTCTATGAGACGCAAAAAAATATAATTAAAAAAAAATTGGAAAATTGGACTTATGCGCAATACGAACAATACCATAAATATACATAGCGAGTGAAAATATCCATTAAAAGAAAAAAGAGTGCATCCCTAGTTTTGACCATCGGCACTTTGATAGTGCGCGGCGTCTTGTTGTCGGCGTCATCAAAGGTCGGATACTGACCTGTCAATGAAATTGTGCAGCTATTTGAAAGTACAAGGTCAAGATACACGTGCCGGCGGCTACTATTGATATCGCATAATCGCGCCACACGCACTACATTTGTCACTGTTTGATTGCCGCCACAGAGTACATGTTTCAAAGAATAAAATAAGTTTCCGGGTGCTCAGAATGGACACGAATACATTATCCTGATCTCGCAAGAAATATTGTAATTAGATAATAGGTAGGTATCATAATAATTTATTCTAGTAACTAATTATTATAAAATTAACTATATTGATTTATAATAACTACTTACTATTATTGTTATTATTATTACCTAAAAGATAAACATGTTCAGTAAGTTCACTACAAATCTCGACTTTTGCAAGTGTGTGTTTTTAAAACACAAAGTGCTCGAATATGTCGGCACACATTTGATAAATATGGACACCATAGCACTTTTAAAACACTTGAAATGTGTAGAAATGGATCTGGATCTTGTCTTCAAGGCTTAGTTATTAAGGAGTTGAAGAGGTACCTAGGTAAACCCAGAGCCGTCATCTCGGAAGACATTTTAGACTGTTGGAGGACGCATGAGACAAAATATCGGATTTTATCGAAGATGGCTCGTGATTTTCTTTTTATACCTGCAACTTCAGTACCTGCTGAGAGATTATTTTCTAAAGCATCATTAGTAATTAGAAAACATAGAAATAGGTTAAGTGATGAGTCAGCCAGATGGTTACTTTGTATTAATCTGTCAAGCCTTTGAAGTACACATGAGGCAATCCAAGGTCAACTTTGTAGAACGCTCCAAAGAGTATGGTAATATTTAGAAAGGACCCCTCAGAACCAAAGAGTATATGATCACTACACTACGTTTAGTCAGAACCATAGTTATTGTGCTCATAACAATTATTTTTTAAATGTTATTTAGATGAACTATAAAACTAAAATTTTATTAGAATTAGTTTCGTTATTAAATTACGCTTCTTTAAATTAACAGAATTTACTTCAAATGACGAGTTTCCGCCTCGCGTCGCGTTTACGTCACATACTTTAGTCTTATATCCTTCGCCGCGTGAGTGTAAGAGGCAACTAGAAATTTTACAAAAAATTAAGTGGGTACAATAGAAAGTTTTTTGTTAGTTTTTATACAAATGGTAAGTAATTACACTGTTTTAAAATTTAATTCCTTATATTTTGCTTCGTAACAATTTCATATATTTTATAAAATTGCCATTTCAAATACTGTGTCGTTCACGTATCACTATATTTAATAGCCAGAATTAACTGAAAAGTAAATAAAAAGTGTGAGTTATCACAATAAATCATGTAATAAACACAAATTTTCATATCCCACAAAGTCCAATGCGCGAAAATTACGTTTTATGTTATAATTTCGATATATAGTGAACATTATGGCGAAGTTGTTTTCAACAATAACTAAAAATAAAAATGTGAATGTGAAGCACCAGCTTTCAAATAAAAAAAGAATCATCGAAATCAGTTCACCCAGAAGGTTATGAGGTAACACACATAAAAAAACACAGTCGACTTCCTTCTCCTGTTTGAAGTCGTTAGAATATATATATATATATATATATATATATATATATATATATATATGTATATATATTGAATTTTAACATAATATAGCGATTCGTTAGATTTGCCTTAGTTGTAAAAGTGAAATAATATTTACTTTTTTTTCTTTTCAGTAGAATTGTTTGGTTTTGTTATTTAATATTGTTTTAACCATTGAACTTATTTACGCAACTTTTGTTTAATAAATTGTTTGATGCTGTTTGATGACTTTTTTACACATAATTGTTTACCACCGGCGGATTTTCCGGACCGATACGACTTAAGGACCTTCAAGAAAAGAGCTTACAACTTTCTAAACGGCCGGCAACGCATCTGCAATTCCCCTGGTGTTGCGGTTGTTCATGGGCGGCGGTAGTCACTTACCATCAGGTGAGCCGCATGCTCGTTTGCCCCCTCTTCTATAAAAAAAAAACCACAAAAATATTTTTTTAAATAATAAAATTAATCCCTCCCTCTCCTTACAGTTTCATTCCACTGCTGGTGATGGACCGTTACATCCTATAAAAACCCCCAATGAACATAGGCCTCCACTATATTCCTCATAGAGGGTATACTTGTCATAGTTGCCACGTTCTGTTCCACGGTACACGTACCTTGTTGTATTGAACAGTGGATCAGTCGCCTCTTACGAAACCCACGGAATAGTATGAATATTCATACACCGCCACTACACAGTAATTGATAATTTCTCGAAACATTTCATTTATCGACAAATCGTCTTGCAATCGTCGTCACTCTAGCGCTCACTTGACCTTCATATAAATAATCCGATATTTTAATTGTTGATAATTTTTTATTTTTGGATATGAACATAGTAATGACTCTAAGTTATTTTTACCATTTTTTTTAAAAATCGTCTGGCCTGACCTACTATACTCTTTGGCTTGACCATAGTTCTAACTAAATATGTCCAATAAAATGTCAAGGTCTGAGAGGTTAATGCTTTGTCAAAAGAATAAACATAAAGTAACAGTAATGTCAAAGCTGTTGTGTATATACTGTGAAGTAATTTAATTTGCATCGTATTTTATTTTTTATTTAAATAAATGGTATATTGTATAACTCTTTTATTCCATTTCATATATGGTGAGGGTCCATCAATCTCTTTCTAGAGAGATAATGTTATTTAAAATACAGTGTAGTTATAGCCATTAATTTGTTTTTATATGTATGTTTAACCATGTTTTAGCACATGTAAGCTTATTAAATGTAAACGTTTATTAAGAAACTGACGCCCGTGGTCGTGGGACACTCAGTTGGTTGGAGCATCGGCACGGATCGCTTAGGTCGTGGGTTCAAACCCCACCCGGTGTCAGTTGATTTTTCGAATTTCTCATTAAATGTTTAGACATTTATTAATATGGTTGGTCTTTACTATGGCTATGTTAATTCAAGCTCAATATGTACCTACTCTGTTACGTTGTTCTAAGATCTAAAGTAATGTTTAATAAATAGTAATAGGCTAATAGGTCATTGCGAGACTTGCGAGACTCTTGCTGCAAGACCAAGACCAAGACCAAGACTCGGAGCGCAATACCAAGACCAAGACCAGGTGTATTGGCGCAAGACCAAGACCAAGACTTGCTAAGTCTCGTCTTGTTCTTGCATTTGGGCAACACTAGCCCTATGTCACTTGGAAAAAGTCATGCTTCCTGTGGTTGTTTGATGTTACGAGTAGCTTAATACATAATACATAATTGAGAGTTTTTAGATTATTGTATCTCTATTATATATTTGCATGCTATAAATGTATATTTCTGGCATGCCTCCAGGGCTTTTGTACCATAGTGACATTTTCAGAAGGGATAGAACCCAGAGCCGTAAAGTCAGTAAAAACCAGTGACATTTTATTTTAGCTAGTGTTGGCATAACATTAAATGGAATTGTTACATAGTACTATGATTGAGATAATGTATTATTGTAGGAAATTCTTTGTAAGAGACTTATTCTCAGCCATATCACTTTTATTTTTGTTATTACTGATAGTACAGTTATTAATAATAATAACTTAATATAAAAATATTTTGTGTGTTGTGTTGGTAGTGTTACAAAGTGTATACGAAAATAGTATGAATATACTAAATGGCAACATTTGAATAGAGTAAAATGATATAAGTCATTTGATATTCCCAAAAATGTTTGTTTTTTCTGTGGCTTTAATTAAAATACATTTTTATTTGAAAAATCATAGAAAAATAAAAAATCTCATTTTATATATAACTTATTTCTAGACGCTATAATTTTTCTCAACTATTTTTCTGCCATTGCTCTTTAGAATTTTTCAATCAGCTAACTTACCTAAAATGCCGTGTAGTGGCGGATGCCGTGTAGTGGCGGTCAAGAATATCCACTACCCCATATCCTCCCGTGGGTGTCGTAAAAGGCGACAAAGGGAAACAGGCAGGAGATGGGCAGCAATCTTCTTGATAACAACAAACTAACAATAAAAAAGAAACTGCGGTTACCAATCCGCTCGCCAAGCGTGGCAACTATGGCAAATACCCCCCTATGAATGACAGTAACAAAGAAACGGCCCCCAGTCCCCGGCGGCCCCGCTATTCCTGGCTACGGTGGCGACCATGGTAACGGCGGGGCAGGGGGTGTTAAGAATCTCCGGTGGAGGTTCGGTTGCCACCTTAGACGACTCGACCTGGCAACGTACAACGCACGCACCCTGAGGACTGACGAGAAGATCCTGGAGCTGGAAGAAGAGATAGACAAGTTGCGCTGGCATATTATAGGACTATCCGAAGTCCGAAGAGAGGGGGAGGACACGGTAATCCTCGAATCCGGCAACTTGCTCTATCACCGGGAGGGCGACCATCTGTCCCAAGGAGGTGTCGGATTTATCGTCCACAAGTCTCTCGTTAACAACGTTGTAAAGATCGGGAGTGTGTCGACGAGGGTTGCGTACCTTATACTCAGAATCACCAAACGGTATTCCCTGAAGGTCATACAGGTTTACGCACCAACCTCGGCACACCCCGATGAGGAGGTGGAGGAAATGTATGAGGATATCTCTAGAGCCATGCATTCCTCCAAAACCCAATATACGGTGTTAATGGGAGACTTTAATGCAAAACTAGGCACAAGAGAGAACGGCGAGCTGAAAGTAGAGAAATTTGGAATAGGGCAACGGAACCCAAGGGGCCAGCAGCTGTCCGACTTCATGGAGAAAGAGGGACTCTTTATGATGAACTCTTTCTTCCAGAAGCGGCCCCACAGGAAATGGACCTGGTCGAGCCTCGACGGTTCGACAAAAAATGAGATTGACTTCATTATGACGACCAGACGACAACTGTTCAGTGATGTCTCCGTGATCGCGAGGGTTGAAAACTGGTAGCGATCACCGAATGGTTAGAGGCACACTGAACCTAAACGTTAAGTTGGAGAGGTCTCGTCTAATGAAGTCAACGCTCCGTCCCCCTCGTGCTCTAATCCAAAGTCCCGAAACCTTTCAGCTCGATTTACAAAACCGTTTTCAGTGCCTAGAAGACTGCAATGAAGTGGACGATATGAATGACAAGCTCGTGGAAACTGTCCATGCGGTCGGAGATAAGTTCTGCAAGACCCGCCGCAGAAGAACACAAAAACTCTCCGATCACACTCTTAATCTCATGGCTGTTAGACGGGAGATGAAGCTACATTCTTCAACAGACTTGACAGCATACAGGCATCTGAACAGACAGATCTCCAAATGCATGCGGCGGGACTTACGCAACTTCAATACAGCTCGTATTGAAGAAGCGATCGAGCGGAACCAAGGCTCCAAAGTCTTTGCCAGAGATCTGTCTGCCAGAAAGAGCCAACTGTCAAAGCTGAAGACAGAATGTGGCAGCATCGTTTCCGGGACACCTGAGATTTTGAGTGAGATTGAGAGGTTCTATGGGCAGTTGTACACGTCATCGTTGGAGCCACACGCAAGTGTGAGTAACGATCCTAGAGCGAGTCTCATCCGACACTATTCCGAAGATATCCCGGACGTCAGTCTGGGCGAGATTAGAATGGCTCTCCAGCACCTTAAAAACGGTAAGGCCCCAGGCGAGGATGGAATTACAGCGGAGCTTCTGAAAGCGGGTGGAAAACCGGTACTTGAAGTCCTTCAGAGGCTCTTTAATTCCGTCCTCCATGGTGGCCTTACACCGGAGGCGTGGAGCAGAAGTGCGGTGGTCTTGTTCTTCAAGAAAGGTGACAACGCTCTCTTGAAGAACTACAGACCGATTTCCCTTCTGAGCCGCGTCTACGTGCTGTTTTCGAGAGTCATTACGAATCGTCTCGCGCGCAGACTTGACGACTTCCAGCCTCCCGAACAAGCCGGTTTCCGAAAGGGCTTTAGCACCATAGACCACATACATACCCCTTCGGCAAATTGTACAGAAGTCCGAAGAGTACAATTTGCCACTATGTCTGGCGTATGTGGACTATGAGAAAGCCTTTGATTCCGTCAAAATTTGGGCGGTGCTGCAGTCCCTTCAGCGGTGCCAAGTTGACTGTCGGTATATCGAAGTGTTGAAGTGCTTGTACAGTAGGGCTACGATGGATATCCGAGTACAGAACCAGAGTACGAAACCTATCCAATTGCAGAGAGGTGTAAGACAGGGTGACGTCATATCCCCGAAACTCGTCACCGCTGCATTGGAAGACGTTTTCAAGCTTCTGGACTGGAAAGGATACGGTATCAACATCAATGGCGATTACATCACTCACCTTCGATTTTCCGACGATATAGTCCTTATGGCAGAATCGCTGGAGGATCTAAGCACTGTGCTCAATGACCTCAATAGTGTTTCCCAACGGATAGGTCTTAAGATGAACATGGACAAAACTAAGATCATGTTTAATGTCCATGTCACACCTATGCCGGTAGTTGTTGGGAACACTAAGCTCGAAGTTGTTGACGAGTATGTTTACCTGGGACAAATAGTCCGGCTAGGTAAGTCCAACTTCGACCGAGAGGTCAATCGACGGATTCAACTCGGTTGGGCAGCGTTCGGGAAATTACGGCACATCTTCTCGTCAGGTATACCTCAAACCTTGAAAACGAGACTGTACACCCAGTGCGTGTTGCCAGTGATGACATACGGAACTGAGACGTGGTCCTTCACTGCTGGCCGGATGAGGAAGCTCAAGGTCGCTCAGCGAGCTATGGAGAGGGCTATGCTCGGAGTTTCTCTGCGTGATAAACTTAGGAATGAGGATATCCGCAGTAGAACTCGAAGAACCGACAACCGATGGGGAAGAAAGGTTCTCGAGTGGCAGCCTCGTACCGGTAGGCGAAGTGTAGGGCGTCCCCCCACGAGATGGAGTGACGACCTGGTAAGACATGCAGGAAGTCGATGGATGCAGGTGGCTCAGGACCGTGCTTTGTGGCATTCTTTGGGGGAGGCCTATGTTCAGCAGTGTAATTACTTATAAATCTTTTATCAAGGTCATATTGTAAGATTTACATACTATAATTTATAAAAAATAAATATTATTCCACTGACACATGGTATTAGTTGGAGTCACTTAAATAAGAAAAAAGCTATTTTACCTTTGCAGCGGTGCGAGGCTCGGTGGACAAGGCCATAGCCTCCTCGTTGTAAATGCCTTCAAGGTACTCGCTTAGAACCTGCATTGCTTGCCCGTCTTCAATGCACTTTAGCAGTTTCTCGCGGTTTATGTCTAGAATTGTCAGTGTCACCTGAAATTAATAAAATGAATAATCAATTAAGTGCATACAATGCACTTAGTGTTCTACCAATGTGTTAATTATTGTTTCGTTAAAAACATTAGGGTGGTGAATTGTTCCTAGCAACCGGTAGACAGCAATTTTGAAGCATTGTTATCGAAAATATTCCGTAAAAGAAATATATTATATAATGTAATTCTTATCATATTTCTTTGAATTTATACCTTTTTACATACTTTTATGATTTTTTAAGATTTTTCTTAGATATAACCTTGGATTTACAAATAAATGGAAAATAACAATGTAGACACAACAATGGAATACATAGATTTATAAAACGTGCTCCGACAAGCATTTAATAGATGTCCAACATGAGTGTAACACTCATTTAGCACGCAATGCACTATTTGCTCAAGGTGACTATTGCTTTAACATGAATTCGAAAATTATGTTTTTTCGTCATTCACCGCCATTTTATCTTAAATGTAATAAGTTTGGCTGTAAAGTTTGCAGGTTCAAATCCCGGCCAGTGTTTATATTTTTGTTCATGTGCATTTTTTATTCAAAACACCTTAACTATACAGAAAATCCTAGTGAGAACGTAGGGTTTAATTTAAAAAGGAGAAAAACATGTGATTAAAAAATTATTAGCAAAAAAATTCACACAATTCGTTATTTGTAGATATAAAATGAAATATCCATTAAATAATATTTTTTTAAATAAGCTTTTATTAGAATTGTTAATAAAAAAAGAACTAAAAAATGATAATTCCTGTTAATAATTATGCTATCATTTGGTTCTTAGAAAATAATATAAAAGTTATAACTATTTATTACATGGTTTTAAGTATTCAACTTTCGTAAAAATAGTTTGTGTCATTTTGAAGTAATTAATTGAAATAATTATTTAATAGTTTAAGATTTAGTTTACAACAAACTAACCTGGAAGATCACTTTGGCACCATCGTAAAAGAAGCAGTCCATGACATTAACCGCGCACTCGTAGGGCATGACGCTGATGAACAGCGTCAGGAACCAGGACAACGAGATCATTTTCATCATACCCAGCTCATCCAACTTCGCATGCAGCTCAGGCAAATGTGTTTTGGTCAAGTCGTCCAATACTCCTTGATCCACCTGTAATTTTTACATACTTATTTAGTCCTGTTATTAGTTTAAAATATATTAGGTTTATAAAAGGCAACACACAATCTCAACCTCCATATTTTGCAAGATTAAATAGCGTACATTAAACGCCCACCTTATAACATACTTAGACCCGAATGATCTCCTTAGCGAAGGACAGTATTAGTTATACCATAATTGACAGGGGTTACCTTTTAGTGTATACCACTCTCATATAGGGCAAGGATTTAAAGAAAAAAAGGAAAAGAAATTGCCATTACCCTCTTTGTCTCAAAGGTCTTTGATAGTCTGGCATGCTGGCGTTTTATACAAGGTTTGACGGCTTGTGAATCTTTCATTTAAATCATTCTTGAGCATGTGAATGCAGCACTGCATGCAGCACTGCAGGCAACCTCCAAATGGGACGTTGCCAGTCATGTAAGCTTACCTTGGCTCTTTTCCGAGATGTATCACTAGAACACATCGACCACCTTTAATTGTTAGGGGTAAGATTTCCTCGAACCTGAACTTTTGGCGGTTCATTAGGATCAACGCAGCTGTAAGGAAGTTAGGCGTCATGCCCTACGAGTGCGGCGGTACTTTACGCCATATAAAGCTCAAGTCCAGTCACGCATAGAGTACTACTACAGTCTAAGGGTCTGTCTGAGAGGTCTATGCTTGAGGTTTCACTGCGTGATCATCTTAGAAATGAGGATATTCGCAGTAGAACCAGAGAACCGTCATAGCCCTACAGATTAGTAAACTGAAGTGGCAATGCGCCGGCCATATAGCTCGAAGAACTGACAACCGAGTGGGAAGCAAGGTTCTAGAGTGGCAGCCTCGTACCGGTAGACGAAGTGTTGGTTGGCTCCCCTCTAGATGGAGTGACGATCTGGTAAGACATGCAGGAAGTCGATGAATGCGGGTGGCTCAGGACAGTGCTTTGTGGCATTATTTGGGGGAGGCCTTAATTCAGCAGTGGACTTGTGTAGGATTGTAATGATAATGATGATGAATAGAATAATTTAGCAAAATCAAGTCCGGTAAGCATGTTTAGCATATTGTTTTATTTGGGGGGTGCTTGATAGAAAACCGCCCTGAGTATCAACCCACGCTACGGCGCCACTGCCCGCAATTCTTGCAATATAATGGGACTTTGCAGCACCCATTGTCACGGTGGTACTGAGGTGGTTTAACGTCCCAATACTTCAACCTTACAGGTACTTGATACAACTTTAAATGAACACCTTTAAGGTTCTATTAAAAATTAAATTCAACTCTTACCAAAGCACCCACAACCCTTGTATTGTAATAGTCAGGCAATAGAGTTTCACATATAGTTGCCAGCAGCCAAAAGGCTTGTTCTTCAGGACAGTAGATTAGCAAGACCGAGGCAACAATGTTCATCGCCTGACAATATCCGATCGTAGGATTTTTAAGCGCGTATGCGCAAAGTACACGTCTTAATGCCGAAATACCTGGAAAATCAAATAAATGTATAGAATAAATTTCACCTTACAGTATACTTAGAAAAACTAGTTTTTATAAGAACATGTAATTCATTTAATAGATTTTCTAAGAACTATGATAAGAGAGTTATTTTTGTACTAACGGTAATTCTATTCGTAAATTAATAACATCGATGTTTAGTAATTGTGAATTCTAAAATATGTGTATGAATGGTAAATTGCGACTATTTTTTTTTATAGAATAAGGGTGATAAACGAGTACATAGTCCACCTGATGGTAAGTGGATGCCGTGGCCTGTAGACTAAGAATCAAAATGCAGATGCATTGTCACCCCCGAGGACTAAGATGGAATGCCTTGTTTCTAGTTAAAAAGATCTCCGGTTCTCTACACTCACCATACGAAACACAGCAGCTTTAAGCTGGTATTCTGTGAGAGCGTGGTCCTAACCCGGTCCTGCCGACCCATTCGTACTACAACTAATATAGCTGCAGCGTGGCTCTACCACATATAAAATATATTGTTTGTATATACTATATATTAAAGTTACAGCCTATTTAGAGCCAACAGCAGGGCACAAGGCTGCTTTCATTTTGAGAGTATTACACTGTATGTATTTACTTAAATCGATAGGCAATTTGTGAAAACTTAATTGGCTTATTTTGTGACTCAGCTATTATGTTCTACACTATATTATTAATGATTAGCTGTTAATTTTACAGTTATATACATATAAATAAATATACCACTCACCAACGTCGTTCTGAAACGCAGGATGTTCAGGGAGCGATCTGTGGAGGTCTCTTTCGATCTCATCATTAGCCTGATTCCTTGAAGACAATGCCTCATTAACCAATTTTGCATATAAGCCTTTATTCTGCGCCTTTTGAAGAATCGAACCCGAAAACACACTCCACAACTCGCCCCGTAAAGATTCCGGTATACCGTTAACCACTAGCTCATTTCCCGCGATGGTTTGGTACATGCTGACTCCGCGTCCTACTTCTGACATGTGATCTTCCCATTGTTTTTCCTGAAAAAGTATTTGAAGTGAATTTACAATTGTTTTAAATAAATCCATAATGGATAGAAAAATAATATAAATAATTAATAATTTATAAAAATGTATTCCAATAAAGACTGCATGATTAAATTATGAAGCTTTTTATAGAAAGAACGTTAATCAAAAAAAAAAAAACGGCAGATAATATTGTTTCAGCTTATTTTATTGCATACTAAAAGGGTGGAGGGAATTTTAGGGAGGGAAGCTAACACTCGTAAGAGAAAGGCATTCTGGTTCTAGTCTTAAAAGAAGTAACATTTAAGGAATAAAACGCAGAAGTAGTTGTTATTTAATTATTGGAAGACTAATACTGAAATTACATGTAAACGTATTAGCTATTATATCATGTATACATGTGTGATGTATTTAAAGAGAGATAATATAATAATATAAGCGGGTAAGGAAAGAATTGTCAGTCTGCTTTGTGCGACTAAACTGCCTGCTACGTAATTCGTATTTTATTGTATATTTAATCCTAAACAGTACAATTTGGCGACGATATAGTAATTCACGCGTATTAAAGTTGTTTCGACTTACAGTGATATAAATTAAGTCGATTGGATAAAGATGGCAAATGGCGGAAACGTTAATATTGGCGGCAGTCTTATTTTCGACCACCGCGTACAGGAGTGGAATATATTCAAAAGTCGTTTTCAGCAGTACTGTACTGCGAATAACATCACCGAGGAATCGGATAAGTCTGGTGGGAAACGACGGGCCCTGTTACTAACTGCGCTGGTGGAAGATACGTATCGGGTGGCAAGAGATCTTGCCTTCCCAACTGAATTAGAAAACATAGAGTACAAAGTACTACTAGAAAAGTAAAGTGTACATTTTGTCACAAAAAAATGTTCATTTGCGGAGAGATACAAGTTTTATCGAGCAGAGCAGCGACCTGGCGAGGACTTGGCGGAGTGGGTTGCGCGGGTGCGTAGCCTGTCTCAGTACTGCGGCTTCACTTTTGAGCTGGAGACGGCAATGAGAGACCGTTTTGTCCTGGGTTTGGAAAACGTAAAGGAGAGAGAAAAGTTATTTGCTGAGAGTATCATGGACTTGACCTTTAGCAGGGCCCTGGAGCTGGCACAGAGTGTGCGGTGTGCGAGATTCGCTATGCAGAGCACTAGCGTCACCTCACAACTAGGCGTTCCCGCATCTCCTCAGGATGTGTTCGCGATGCATTCCCGTGGTGTAAACAAGTGCAGTGTTTGTGGTTACTCAAATCATAGCAAAGATCAGTGTCGATTTTCGAGTTATTCATGTAAGAAGTGCCATAAAAAGGGCATCTTCGTAGAATGTGTAAATCTTTAATTAAACCTAATAACTATATCGCGGCGAATGACGATGACATCGTTCAAGGTATTTATGATCTATTTACTATTAAGTGTAATAACGGCGAGCCGATGCGCCACATGGTTTTCATAGGTGAGACTGGCTTGGTTTGTGAAATTGATAGTGGTAGTGCAGTGTCGATATTACCATTTAGAGTTTATGAAAACTATTTTAAGAATAATTATAACCTAAATAAAAGCAAAGTAATACTAAATTGCTATAATGGTAGCAAAATTTCTCCTGTAGGTTTTATAACGGTACCCGTTACGTACGAGTCACGTATTGAACACATTAGGTTATTTATTATTCAAACAAATAATAAGCAACCAGCACTATTAGGGCGGGACTTTATAAGCGCTTTTAATTTACAGTTATGTACAGCGAATTGCAACAACCTGACCATCAACACAAATTATGACAGTATATTAAGAGAAAAATATGCCAAGCTATTTTCAAGTGAATTAGGAACATTTAATAAGTTTAAAATTCACTTAAAATTGAAATCCGACGCCGAGCTAAAATTTTTTAAACCACGTCCTGTACCTTTAGCTTTAAAACCTAAAATGGAAAAAGAGTTGAATCGTTTACTAGACTTGGGTATCTTAGAAAAAGTGAATCACTCAAGGGTGGCCACGCCCATTGTCCCAGTTTTAAGATCAGACGGGGATATTAGAATATGTGGCGACTTTTCAGTAACATTGAATAAAGTTATATTTATGGATAACTATCCGTTGCCGCGCATTGAGGACTTGTTTGCTAAACTTCACGGGGGAGAACAATTTTCGAAATTGGACCTTTCTAGAGCATACAATCAGTTGGTTTTAGATGACACGAAAGAATTAACCTGTATAAATATTCACAAAGGATTATTTAGGTACACCAGATTAGTGTTTGGTTTGTGTTCTGCGTCGAGCATTTTTCAACAAACTATGGAGAATTTACTTGCTGGTATAGAGGGTACGGGTATATTTCTTGATGATATTTTGGTTACGGGCCCCACAAAAGCAGTACATATGGAACGTCTAGAGCAAGTATTAAGTAGGTTACAGGATGCAGGGTTACGGTTAAAATCAGAGAAATGTGAACTATTTAAAGACTCTGTTGAATATTTAGGTTTTATTATCGATAAAACGGGTCTCCGAAAATCAAAACAGAAAGTAGATGCTATATTAAAATGCTGTAGACCTAAAAATGTAAGCGAGTTAAAGTCAGTTCTAGGCATGATTAATTATTATAGATGTTTTGTACCGAATACATCTGCATTACTTAGGCCTTTGCATTCCTTACTTAAAAAGGGGGAAAAATGGAACTGGAGTAAGGAGCATGACAAGGCGTTCGAATTGATAAAAAAAGAACTAGCGTCTGACCGAGTGCTGGCTCACTACAACGCGTCGCTGCCGACTATAGTGACGGCAGACGCGGGTCCGAGCGGTCTCGGCGCGGTGCTCGCGCAGCGTCAGCCTGACGGCACGGAACGCGTCGTAGCCTATGCCTCGCGTTCACTCACTCGGGCGGAATGCAATTACGCTCAAATCCAAAAGGAAGCCACCGCTATTATATTTGCAATAAAAAAATTCCACCATTATTTGTATGGCCGAACGGTACCGTTTATCCTAAGGACGGATCATAAGCCCTTACTAACCATTTTCGGAAACAAAAAGGGTATACCTGACATGGCGGCTAATCGGCTTCAACGGTATGCGATCTTTTTATCTGCCTATAATTTCACATTAGAGTATGTTAGAAGTGACAGCAATGTGGCTGATTTCTTATCGCGATCTGTAAATCAATTACAGAACGAAATTGATAATGAATGCTCGGATCTTGATAAAACATTGTATATTAATGTTATAGATAACTCAGTTTTAAAACCAATAACTGTGGAAGATATAAAAAAAGAAACATCCCGTGATAATCTTTTAATAAAAGTGTTAAGAGTTTATGCGTAACGGATGGCCTCGGAAAGTGTCAGATCCCTTATTAAAGCCATATTTTAATTGTCGGTCAGAGTTAGCCCTAGAAAATGGTTGTATCCTGCGGGGCCACAAAGTAATCATACCGTCAATATTCCGCGAGCAGCTATTAAACGAACTACATTCTTCACACTTTGGCGTGGTAAAAACCAAAGAGCAGGCCAGAGCCCGGATGTGGTGGCCACATATAGATAAGCATGTTGAGGAAAAAATAGGGTCGTGTTCAGTGTGTAATAAGTTTCGATGCGCACCTCCGCGCACACCTCTTGCTTCCTGGCCCTACCCGGCACAGGTATGGGATCGTTTGCATATCGACATTTTTTCGTTATATGGTAGGAACTTTTTAATTGCAGTCGACGCATATTCTAAATGGGTAGAATGCTACCAACTTACTAGTACCAATAGTGAGGCTATTATTACTAAGCTATGTGAGATATTTAGTCGGTTTGGATTAGTAAAAACCATAGTATCGGATAATGCCACAAATTTTTGTTCTGATGAAATAAATAATTTTTTTGTTTCTAATGGAATACAACATCTGACTATCGCGCCTTATCACCCCCAATCAAATGGGCAAGCAGAAAATAGCGTTAAAACTGTAAAAAGAGGAATCAAATTAATTATAGAGGAAAATGGATTAAATAATCAAATTATTTCAAAAAAAATTAATAAATTTTTATTTGATTATAGGAACAGTCGGCATTGCACTACCGGTTTTTCTCCAGCTCAATTAATGTTAGGGCGCTCCTTGAGGTGTCGCCTCGACCTGTTATCAGTCACTACTGAATCGTTACCGCTGTCATCGACATCCGCCGTAAAAAAAAAATGTTTTGTCTCAACAGATCTCTCAATGTAAGCAGTATGGGGGCCGTCGTACAACTTCTTTTGCTATTGACGATAAAGTATTAGTTAAGTGTTTTTATAATAATGGTTCCAAGCATGTGTGGAAACTTGGAAGAATAGTTAAGTTGGCTCTAGAATGTATGTGGTAAAAATTGAAAAATCATGTAAAAGTTTTAAAAAACATATTGATCATCTAATAGCTTATAAAGGAAATTGTACATTACAAGATGACGTAAATACGGATATTTCTTATACCGATAATGACGTCATAGATTATTATACACCTTCTGAAACTGCTCGGGATACAGCGAAAGAACAAAATGTTCAAAATACCTTACAATGTACTCATTCTATGAACGATTCCTCAAGTAGCGGTCTATTGCCCCCGGAATTAGAACTAGGGGAGGAGAGGATCGTTAGCGTTGGGCCGAGTGATACGGTTAGTGCGGTTGGTAATGTCTTGACAGACTCAGCTCTTCCAGAATCTGTTTCTGTACAGGCCACGTCCAACCAGGCTGTCACAGAGCATTCAAGGGGTGTCCGTTCTACTAGAAATAAGAATCCTATTTATAAAGTTTAGTTTACATTTTATTATATAATTCTGTACTATTGGTGGAGGGAACTGTGATGTATTTAAAGAGTGATAATATAATAATATAAGCGGGTAGGGAAAGAATTGTCAGTCTGCTTTGAGCGATTAAACTGCCTGCTACGTAATTCGTATTTTATTGTATATTTATTCCTAAACAGTACAACATGATATCATAGCTAATACGTACGGATAAGCACGTCAATGGTTCCAAACTGTGGGAAACTTCAGGATTGCTCTCATGAACATTACCGGAACAAACTTGTGTCTGAAGTCGAGACTTTGTTGAACCAAGTCTCAGACTGAGGGCGACTAAATCTAGTCCAGTTCAATCCCCAGAAGACACAAGTTTGCGCGTTTACCGCTAAAAAGAATCCCTTTGTCGTATCTCCTCAGTTTCAAGGCACTCCCCTTGTTGCCTCAGCCAGTATCAGAATCCTCGGCGTCGACATATCGAGTGACGTGCAGTTTCGTGGTCACTTGGAAGAGAAGGCCAAATTGGCCTCTAAAAAACTTGGCGTGCTCAGCAGAGCGGGACAGTACTTCATGTGGGCACACCACTTGCAACTTTACAAGGCGCAGGTTCGGCCTCACATGGAATACTGTTCCCATCTCTGGGCAGGGGCTCCCCAGTGCCAGCTCCTTCCACTTGACCGCATCCAGCGCAGAGCGGTTCGGATCGTCGACGACCGAGTTCTTTCCGATCGGCTTGACTTGAGATATTGCATCTCTTTGCGTATTTTATCGCATCTACCACGGGGAGTGCTCTGAGGAATTGTTCGGACTAATTCCAGCCGCTCAATTTCACCATCGCATATCGCGACAAAACTCGCGATACCACCTATATCATCTGGATAATTGGCGGTCCACCACTGTGCGATTTAGAAGAAGTTTTAGGTATCCTTCGCACAACTTCCTTGTGGAATCGATTACCACCAGCGATTTTTCCGGACCAATACGACTTAGGGACCTTCAAGAAAAGAGCCTACTCCTTTTTAAAAGGCCGGCAACGCATCTGCGATTCCCCTGGTGTTGCAGTTGTTCATGGGCGGCGGTAGTCACTTACCATCAGGTGAACCGCATGCTCGTTAGCCCCCATCTCCTATAAAAAAAAGAAAAAAAAAGAATTGTCTGATGACCCCACACTATGCCCCGCCTGTACAGTCTAATTTATATTTTATCAAATATAATAAGTTACAGCATTCTCATCATCATCATCTTAACAGCCAGTCAAAAGTCCACTGCTGAACATAAGCCTCCCCCCTACATTGCCTCATAGTTGCCACTCCTGTTTCTGTTTTCTTCTATCGACCCCCACGGGATGATATGTAGTAGTGAATATTCTTATTGCAAGACCAAGACCAAGATCAGGATCATAGATATACTAGCATTACCAAGACCAAGACCGAATGAACAAGAACAAGACCGAAACCTAGACCGAGAATGCATGACCAAGACCAAATTGCAAGACTAACCTAGAATTTGTAACTTCCGTTGTAAATAGGATATATGAGAATATTTGTCGATGGCTATTGTGTATCAATACATGGTCATCAGATAAAAATAATAAATAAATAAAAAAATATTATACTATATTGTATTATAATAATATATGATTATTAAAACAAATACGATAAAAAAAATTATTATTGTAAAATAAAGTTTAATTAATTAAAGATATTAATTGTTGAATTTTTATAATTTAATGATTTCTTATATTTACGCGAACACTACACATTTAAATAAAAATAATTTTACGGATTTTATCGCGTATATTAACTTATTTTATATTCCCGACGTTTCGGGTGCTTTCCAGCACCCGTGGTCACGGGGGACTGAGGTGTTTGACGTCCTGATGTCATATCAAGGACATTCAAGGAAGCGCTAAGATCTTAAATCAGGCAAGTAAAAAGTTGTTACGAACGGTGATTCAGCAAAAACGGTTCGATTTACAATTCATAAATATTACCATAGAAAATTTGTCCAGTGAGTTAAAGACAGTTTTAACATTTGATTTTAATAATTGCATTGAAACTTTAAACAAACGCGAAATATGGAAATATAATGAATGCAAAGACAAACAAATAGAAAAATACCAAAAATTAACAATCAAATCAAATGCAAACAATAAACAACGCACTGTCTATAATTTGTCAAAAGAAACACTGGACGAATCTACAATAAAAGTATTGTCGAAAGGCTTGAATTTTGCTATAACGCCGCAAAAATCCCGTACGAGGAAATTATCTGTAGTCTTGAGGATTGTCTGTTTAAGAATAATATCGGTAAAGAGGATTTAGAGGCTATACGTCAAGACATTTCGTCCTTGTTACGTTGAAGTTGAGCGCCGAAACTAAATCTCCCCAAAGACGAGTTTAAAGCGTTGTACAACTTACGCAACAGACTAGAGCTCACGCTTCACCGCGCGGATAAAGGAAATGCTACGGTAATAATGGACACGTCACAGTATAATTTCAAAATACAACAACTTTTATCGGACGTAAGTACATACAAAAAGTTCAAAATAGACCCTACAACTAATACACTTAAAACAACTACTGATTTAATAAAGAAATACTCCGAAAAATTAGATCTCGACGTGAATTCGACAATACCATCATGTGCCAAACCACCGAGGTTGAATGGGTTACCGAAAATACACAAACCAAACGCTCCACTACGTCCTATAGTAAGCCAGATCGATTCACCAAATTATAAGTTGGCTCAACACTTTGCAAAAATACTGTCACCACTAAGAGGACATACCAGAGCACACACAAAGGATTCATACCATTTTGTTAGTGAGATAAAAGACCTACATCTCGCTGACAATGAAACTATGGTCAGTTTTGATGTTCAGTCACTATTCACATGCCTACCTATTGAAGTCTGCATCTCAATTGTTACTAGAAAGCTAGAAGATAACAACATGCCTACAGAATATGCACTATTACTCAAACACTTCCTCACATCTGGCTATTTATTGTGGAAAGAAGAGTTCTACATGCAAGTAGACGGAGTGGCAATGGGCTCACCTGTATGTCTCGTAGTCGCCGACATATTCATGGAGGACTTTGAGGAGAAAGCCCTTCTTACTGCTCCTGTAAATCCAAGATTCTACAAGCGGTACGTAGACGATACTTTCACAATTTTACCATCTGACAAAGTAACTGTAATTTTTAACCACCTTAATTTTATAAACACTAAGATAAAACTCACAATGGAGTTAGAGGCAAACAATACTTTTAGCTTTCCTAGATGTTTTAGTCATCCGAAATCCTGATAACACTATTGGTCACACTGTGTACAGAAAAAATACCCATACCAACCGATATTTAAATGATGAATCTCACCATCATCCTTCACAGTTAGCTACCGTGGGAAAATCTTTGTTTTAGAGAGCACGAGGGATCTGTGACAGAAAACATCTGGCCGCCGAGCTTCAGCACGTCGAGCAAGTACTGCAAGACAACAAGCTTCGGGTCCCGCGCCTACGTCACAGTGACCGAGTGAAGCCAGCCACAGTCGAGCGTGTGCCTGCTGTACTACCCTATGTCAGAGGAGTCACAGACAAGGTTGGCTACATCTTGAAGCGAGCTTCCATTAAAACATACTTCAAGCCGCTGAAGAAGATTGGTCAATTTTTACCATCCTTCAAGTGTCATATCCCTCTACAAGATACAGGAGTGTACAAGCTGGATTGTGAATGTGGTCTCTCGTACATAGGACAAACAAAAAGATCTATAAAAACCCGCGTTAAAGAACATATAGCTGACATGATGCACCGACGTATCGGGAAGTCTGCAGTTTGTGAACATGTTCAAGATCGTCCCCGCCATTACATTAGATTTGATAGACCACAAATCCTCGCAAAAGAACACCGATTCCTCCCAAGGATGATTCGCGAGGCTATTGAAATTAAAAAACATACTAATTTCAATAGAGAAGATGGATGGGTGCTGCCATCTGCATGGGATCCCATAATTAATACCACTGCTAGACTTCAAGATACTGTAAGCTCATTCTGCGTAAATCGAACCAAAAATTAATATTAAAAAACTGAAGGTAGCCGCCGGGCTAACTATGACAGCAGGACGTCAAACACCTCAGTCCCCCGTGACCACGAAACGTCGGGAATATAAAATAAGTTAATATACGCGATAAAATCAGGATACGTTATCAGGATCATTCTTGTATGTATGTAGAAATAACTTTTTTTTAAAAACTCGAACAGTAATTTATTTTATTTTATTTAAAAAAATAATTGTATGCAAATTTTATGTGGTTTTATTACCTCTGCATTGTCTGGGGAAAAAGAGGATTGTCGAAGACTCCGCTTTACTTAGCTTTAGCATCGGCTAGTGTTAGTAAGAGGTAATAAAACCACATAGAATGAAAAAAAGAAATTTTTTTGATAAATAAAAAAAAATATGGTCGTGTTTTTAAAAAAAAGGTATTTCAATAGGTTTGAATACTGATCCTGACAACGTACTTAACGGGAACCACAGGGTTTTTGTTACATGTTGTATAACAAATACTATTAGAAACACATGACTATTTTCGATATTCACGTATTAGTATACTATGTACCTACCTATTTATTATTATAAATAACATGCACGTGGGTGGAAGCTTGAGGTGCTGTCCAAATCAGATAAATATTACCACATTTTTATATGACCATATGTTTATCATTATTCCTCCACGACATGCTCAGCCCGTAAACAGTCTTGCCCGACATGGCTATAGTAGAAAGGGTTTGCCGCAAGAGACCAAAACATTCTTCTCCACACACAGGCCTAAGTCGACTCGTACGATAACCACGGGATGAGATAGATTGATGGATTTTCCTGTGCCGCCTAGTATACGCGATTCGCGTAAATATAAAACAGATAAACAATTACGCTCTTCACAATGCCTACCTTTTTCTGCTGTATCTGTTTTATAGTAGCAGTCTGATGCGTCTTGAAGAGTGTCATTAGTGGCGGCTGGGGCGTCCAATCAGTTCCCTCCTCTCTTCTATCCAACGCTCGGTTCGCCTTCTCCCTGTATACATCACTGCCCATTCACGCAATTAAAATAATGATATATAAGGTAAATAATATGCCATTTGTTAGTTGCCCCGTGTTCTATGGAAGTTCTTGTATCATACATAGATGAAACGATAGGAAATGAAGCAATATTATTTACCAATGTTAGATCAGAAGCACCAAGAAACAGTAAAGCTTAAGAATATCTTTAGGATTTTATCAAACATAAACTTTTTTTATAATAAATGTTACATTTTTATTGTGGTTAATATTATTTTTTGTTTGTTTTAACGACATTGAATAAAACTGCATAAAATTACGGATTCGGTGAAGATTTCCGACGTTAAAAGATGTATAGCGCTCCCTTCTCCGCTGTATATTTGTTCAACACGAATTAAGCGTATTACCAGGAAATAAAGGATCTTAATAAAAATGTAGCCGAGAATCATTCAAGTCATTGATTCAATATTATATGGTTATCACTGAGGCAAAAAAGAACTCGAACGTCAAAGTTTTCTCCCGACGATTAAATTATATTATAATTAATATAATTTTCTCGATTCATGTAACGTATATGAAAAATCCTTTCGATTAGGAATTAAGTTAAGTATTTCCACAGCACATTTGCTGATTTTTTTCCAAGTATAACATACTATTTCAAGAAGTATCAATTCTCGAGCGTCAAAATCATGTCTAAAATACGAAATTTTTGTCCAACCTGGTCGAGTTTAACTTTACTTATTTTAACTCTTGACAATTCGAGTGATTTGAGGCAGAAAAAGTATTTTTAATTTTAAAAAGTTTTATTCATTATCGTTTTAACGACTTTTTATTTTTATATTGTTACCTATGTACATAAAACACATCTTAGTTTTAATTTTTACTTTTTTAATTGTAGTGAAAATCATCTTGGTCAATGTATTTTACCCTAACTACAGTAGTTCATTTATTTTGTCCTTAAAGCATGGTATGAGCACCATTGATGGGCATCTTTAAGTACAATAAATAAAATTGAAGTACTTGTTATTTATTTATTAGCTATTTGTGTTATTTGCAAGACGTGAATAACCATTTAAAAATGTTTGTCTGCTTGTCTGTCTGTCTGGGCTAAACTTTGGAATGGATAAACCACTTGTAATGAAACTTCACGTACAGATATGGAAAATTGATAAAATAAGTGGTCTTTGATTATCTTAAATCAAAGTAACACCACATTAATAAATATTTTTAGAGAATAATCAAAGTTGTAAGTGTGTAACGGCTATCAATTCGTTAGCAACTCTACTTGCATACGTGTTTAAGTTAAACGGGTATTTTAGTATTATAGTTTATTGTTAATAGCAATAAATTATAAATATAATAAGCTATTGATGCAAAGAACTTTATATAAGAAACAGAAAATATTTGTAAATGTATCTATTAGCACATACACCTGAGATACAGGTTTATCCTAGTTCAGGTGATTGTTATTGTAGACGATTTTAAATTAAGACATTATTTGAATTAATTGTACAGTTTCTTGAAATAAATTATTATTATTATTAATGATATTAATAAGACTATCTATAGAATATAAGTTTAGAATTGTCTTATAGTTACGGGATTTTGTATTTACTGACCACAATGTATTTTATAATTAAATGAGGAATAACATAAACTAAAAACTTTCATTATCAATGTAACGCCTAGTATTATACGTCATTTTAGTGATAATAGTCGTTAATGAGTACTAATAAAAACGTCACACCACATATACTATATCAATTAGTTTATTCTTTGTTAATTTTGAAAAATAACATTTGCTTGATTAGTAAATTATGACTGACTTTCAAAGATTCACAGCTAATTCATATAAAATTTTAATTACTAGTACAAGCAAGTTAATACTTAATATATATATATATTCTATATGAGAATATGTTGTTCACTTTTCAATACACTGCAAAAAAATCAATATTCTCATTAATTTTTATGGTAACTTAAATTATATTTTTGAAAAAAATCGAATTTCTTAATCTGTGTAATTTTGATTTTGAAATTTCGATTTGTACTTCTTCGCCTAAACCCTGCCACAACATTTTATAAAATTAGTAATATATAAATCAAATGAACCATTAGAATTAAAAGTTAATATTAAATAGGCCTTCACTTTTTCAATAAGCAATATTTGACCGCATGCACCATGAAAAAAGCAAATTTTCGCCAAAATTAAAATCGTCTTACTTAGGCAACTTGGCGAGCAGTTCGGATATCTTGTGAACGAGGAAGTCACGGTCCGATATATTGCCGAAGAGAAAACTTGTGTGGTGCGCGGTGGTGATGAGTATGCTGCCGGAATCTCCAGAACTGCCGGCGCCACCTGAATCCGCGCGTTCAACTTGATGCACATTACGAAGTGGAATCGTCAATCTAACAAGATGATGTACCTGATAAAAGAAAACTCTCTAGTCAGTTGGTTTAAATAAAATATGTAATGATTAAAATTGTTAAAAATTAATATGCTAAAACCCGCGTAATAAAATGAGCTCTGAGCTCATTTAACCGCTAAGTGACTTAGACAAAATCTACTTCACCTGAGAATGCCTCGTGTAGAGGCGAAACACGTGTCGTATTATCGAAGGTGGTGTGTCTTTTCTAGTGTAGTGGTGTTGGGAGTAGTGGTGCTGAGAATAACGGTATATTTTTCGAAACATTTTCGTCTTAAATACCTAAAAACTTATTTGTTTCGTTTATGTTCGAACGGAATCATAATAAAAACGTTTATGAATAGAACGAAATTTTAAATCGTTCTTGTTCAATAAAACGTTTTTAACCATTTTAAACAGTTTTTCCCATTTTTTGGCCCTGCAATACGACACAAAAATTCCTTATAGGTTTAAACTTGTCGTGGCACGCGCCACTCATTTAACTTCCTGCGGAATAAACCGTTTTCACATTACGTTCCCATTTCGTTTTTGTTCCGAACAAAATTTTATACAAGGAACCGTCCCAAACGTTTTAAAAACGTTATTTTTTATAACGTTTCCGAGCCCTGTTGAAAATGGTGGTGAGGAAAATAATGCACGTAATTGAGGGAGGGCGGAAAGTGCTTTTCAAACTAGGTAAGACACATCATTTTATTTTATACACGCGGATTTTAGCAAATTAATTTTATAAACTTTAATATAATGAATTTCCGCAAAGTAACGTCTGATTCTATTAATTATCTAATTATTGATGATATAACGAAAATGAAAGGAATTTCTTTATATATTTTATATAACAAACATTGCTAGGCTATACATGACCACAGTAGTTTGTTTGTCGCTCTTACATTACACTATGCTCATGCCATGTCCGCAGATAAGTATAGTATGTTCTTGACAAACGAACGTACAAACCTAAAACCTTTAACATGGTAGAACCACGCTGCACCTATATTTTGGTTAGACTTACTGACATGTTTAAACAATGTTTTTAAAATTTCATTTATAACTAAAATTAATAAAATCATGGCATGGCAAAGTAGAAAGTGTTAGAAAAAATTACTTTAAATTATTCTTGTACCAAAAACAGTAAAAACATTCATACAAACATAAATTTGTATATATGTATTAACTGATGTAATCAAAAAAGAGGCTGTAATAGGTAACCATCTAGACTCTGAATTACCCACCCCCTTTTTAACCTTAACCTTTATATATTTTAAAATAGGGATGCATAAAAGCATGCCCCGACTTCGCACAGGTGATATCTGGATTCTACAACAGCGCGATCCACCGGGTCCAACTATGCCTTATAAGTTATAACGTTGACAAAGTTTTAGCGCAATCCGATGAACGATATGGCAGCGCATAAAATACGAACAAACAAATATTAATTTTTATATATTAGATATATAGGAAACACAATAAAGTGTTAATAAATAAATATGAGATAGTTATTGTAGCAAACAGTATTTTTAGACATTTTGGTCAAGCAAACAAAATAAGAAGCCAAGACCATTACGTAACTCTTAAGCACGCGACAATAATTCATGATAACACCAGATTATTGCCCTGAGCAACACGTCGGGCACATCTGACTTGTCATAACTTATAAACACAAGTAAGATAATGGAGGTTGCATAACAAATAATTGCTATGCGTCAAGAACGAACTTTAACATACTTTAAATGCAACAAAATAACTGTTGTTAAAACAGAAATAAACATTTTATTTTAAATAAACATTTATTTTCAAATAAACAGTTTACACAATTCAGGGGTTTCTTATAGAATAAAGGTGACAAGCGAGCACATATTCCACCTGATTGTAAGTTGATGCTATGGAATAGACACGTAGATTACTAGGCCTCAATTAGGAATCAAATGTAGATGAGTTATCGCACCCGCGGACATAAGTATAATGTATCATGACCAGTTGGCAGCAATAAGAAGGGTCTCCGTAATAAGCTTGTATATTATACCACTATATAAAATTTTGCACAATTACAACAACTATAGACAATAAGTTTAGGTTCTATCCTCATTATTGATGTAAAATGTTCCTGTAACGGTAGACTTTAGAATCTATTTTTTACTTCATCATCATCATCATTACAGCCTTTCATAAGTCCACTGCTGAACATAGGCCTCCCCCAAGGAATGCCACAAAGCACGGTCCTGAGCCACCTGCATCCATCGACTTCCTGCATGTCTTACCAGGTCGTCACTCCATCTAGTGGGGGGTCGCCCTACACTTCACCTACCGGTACGAGGCTGCCACTCGAGAACCTTTCTTTCCCATTGGTTGTCGGTTCTTCGAGATATATGGCCGGCCCACTGCCACTTCAGCTTACTAATTCGTTGGGTTATGTCGGTTACTCTGATTCTACTGCGGATATCCTCATTTCTAAGTTTATCACGCAGAGAAACCCCGAGCATAGCCCTCTCCATAGCTCGCTGAGCGACCTTGAGCTTCCTCATACGGCCACCAGTAAAGAACCACGTCTCAGATCCGTAAGTCATCACTGGCAACACGCACTGGTTGTACAATTTCGTTTTCAGGTTTTGAGGTATGTCTAACGAGAAGATGTGTCGTAGTTTCCCGAACGCTGCCCAGCCGAGTTGACCTCTCGGTCGAAGTTGGACTTACCAGTAGACTATTTATCCCAGGTAAACAGGTTACGAGCTTGGGGTTCAAGACAATTAAAAACTGCCGATTGAATTACCAAAATTGACACTTTAATTACAATCTAAAACCACACTAATAATAAAACACATTTGTACCACTGGTCACTTTAGTTCGCCATTATTTCGCTTCGAAGTATTCTCTTGTATCGCCAATTCAATACTGACTCGGTCGTGGTCTATACCAGCCTTATATAGGGCCTCAGATAGTCTCCAGAACCTTCTACTGTAGCGACATCTAGAATGTTCGAGTACATATCGGTCCCGAAATTTCTACAAGGATGTTGACTCTCCTAGTTCTGCTACTCGACATTAGAGGGCGCTAGTGGTGACTAGTGTTGCCATGTACAAGACATTAATAGTGGCGCGCAACAATATCAATGACTCATAAACCTTGTTTTTCCCAAATTAAGGTTATTGATTGTTTGATATTTACAAATGTTATTATTAGGTGAATATTTAATTTAATAAAAATCAAGGTTTTCCAGGGTGATTTAGCTGTACCTACTTATATAAATGATTTTTTTATAAAACAAAAAATAGTACAAAAGGTTTGTAATCTCTGCATAAAAAAAGTCACTTACTCTCAATTTCAAAGAAAACACGTAGAAAAACACTTAGTTACCCACTAAAAACAAGTATCCTTCCGTTTGTAACCGATGTATGATGTCAACTAAACTTAATTATGTCTAAACAAGTGAAAAAAGCATAAAAAAGAAAATTATTTTTACACATGGCTGATGGCACTATAGGCGTTTGACACGCCGGGCGTGTCATAAAATATTTGTTGTGCAGCTAAAAGTTGTCGAAAATTGGTGCCGCAACGAATCGGTTAAAAATGTATTCTAGGCTAGGAGTTTTTCTCTTAGAAAAGGAGAGGCATGTGCCAAGCATCAACAGCATTGGGGATTATCTTCTGTTACTCAAGGAAATAACTATTGAGGAAGTTAGGTGAAATCACAATGTAAAAAAACATACTCACCCTACTATCAAAGCATATAAAATTTTGTGATAAATACAATCTGCCCCAATTGTATCTTTTATTGTAAGGGGTCCATAATGTACACTCTTCGCTACCATCCAGTTTTTCAGTGTGAGGTAAACGAAAACGTAGGGTATACAGATTTGACTGTTTTCTTGCATCTAAGTCTCGCTTTAAGAAAGATGCCTTTTTTGGTACATTTTTACTTAACTTTGTCAACAGATCTTTATCTATGTTGAAACTACCAGACTTGTCATCAATTAACCTGAAATAAAAGAACAAAATGAAATGTAAAATATTTACAGATATTTTTATATTTTTAACTTCCTATTTGAAAATTATTGTGATGTGTAATATAAATATTTTTCCTTCTACATATCTCAAGATGAAAGGATATTGTCTTTAAACTAATTTAAATTGATGGTTAATTGCATAATGAAAATCTAATCAAGTTGCCATTAAAATTAATTATATAGGTTTTTTCAGAACAAAATTATTTAAATTAGTCACCAACTGAAAGTCCCTCCTGTAACCATGGATGCTGGTAAAGTATTAGAAACGTTGAGTATTATATACTCAACGTTTCTAATAAGTCAATATACGCGATAAAATCCGTAAAAACTAGTTTCATTTAAATGTGTGTAGTGCTCGCGTAGATCATTAGACACCGAATGGTAGTTGATAGCGAGGACACACCAAATTGTATAATATAATCCAGTTTTTATTTTATCTACCCAATTTCATTACAATTGTTTTGTGTTGTAAAGTTTACACATATATGATTGTAAACTGTTCTTTTTTCAAAAAAAAACCCACTGGATTTCTAGTTCTTGCCAGGACACAGGTATTTTCCGAAACAGTGGTAAATTAAACATAATAATGACTTTTTATAAGTATTATAATATATAATCTATATTGAATAAAAAAAGTTTGTTTCTATTTTAGTCTTTCTTAACAGATAAAAAAAATCTCTGGTTATTTTTAAGGAATGAGAATAATTTATAGAATCATTTTATAAATTGTTTTCATCGTTATTGGGCCTTGAACATAATGATAATCAGACTACTGAAATAGGTGTATGTGTTTATAACGGTTTATCAAACATCCTAACTAGACCATTGTACTTACTGTTTCATAGCAATATTAGCCAACTGTTGCATAAGTGCAAATGTCTCATTCTTCTTTACAAACATCGTGAAATAATGCTCTCCATCTCTTGTAACAACTTTAATTGAGTCTGGAAACAATATGCTATTTGTTTTTGCTAATTCTGTGACATCAGCCCATCTTATCTTGAGTGTTGTCTTCTTTCCAAAAATATATGAGTAAAAACACATGTAGTGGACTGATAGATATATCCATCCTTGGCGTGGCATTTTACCCTTCCAGTAACTGTTCAATAGAAATATGAATTTTAACTTAAACCAAATAAGGTTTTTATTGAATAATAGAAATGTTCAAATTAATTCCAATCACCAAATTCCAGTTTGCATCAAAACTCATGATACCATCTTACTGCTTGGCGGTCCACCACTGTGCTATTTTCCAGGAGGTTCTTCCTCGCATGACTTTTTTGTAGAATCGGTTACCATGAGAGATTTTTCTAGACGTTTACGACTTAGGGACTCTCAAGAAATGAGCTTACTCTTTTTTAAAAGGCCAGTAACACACCTGCATTTTTCCTGGTGTTGCAATTGTTCTTAGGCAGTGATTGACGGTTTCCATCAGGTGAAACGTATGCTCGTTTGCGACCTCTTTTATAAATAAACAGATACATATTATTATGTTTTTATATCTAATATTAAAGTAACAAATGAACTAACAAGACAAAATGGTAAATGGGTACTGTAGCCCACGTACATGTATACTTGAAACCAACCTCAAACAAATAACATTCTAACCTTCAAACTAAAACACAGTTAAAGTGTACTACAAATTGACTGAGACTAAAAGTTGACTGACCAATCATTCATCAAAATAAGAAGTCAAGTAAAACTTGGTTATTCAGGTAGTATATTACAATCTAGTAAAGTTATCGTCGTATTCCCTTCCACATTTATTAATTTTTCTATCATCTATACTAATCCATACTAATATAATAAAGCGGAAGAGTTTTTTTGTTTGTTTAAACGCGCTAATCTCTGGAACTACCAGTCCGATTTGAAAAATTCTTTTTATATTTTATAGCCAGATTCATGTGGAATAGTATAAGCTATCTAGCATTAAGCTATATTACTCAGCTAGCCTTAAATATGGATATTTGTTAAGCAAGTCAGAAGAAAAAGCACTCCCGAAATGATTTATCCGCGTACGCTGGTGTTATCGTTAGGGATACGTAAATACAATGTTCAAGAAAAATATAGACCTTTACTTCGTTTAAAAAAAAGTCCGCGATACCATATGTCTATTTTTTATACATAAGCCATAATTTGGTATTTTGTGACAAAAAAATATTGAAAATTTAAAAGTGATTTATGAGCGTTATTATTAGGCATGGCCTATTTATCCTCACGAACGAAAGTTACTTCATCATCAAGACAATTTTATGAAGATAAACTTTGTTCTTTATACCATGTTATTTGGACGCATAGTTTAAGAGATAATGTAAAATTAACATAATTCAATACTTGGCTGGGCGCGCGAACGACGCTTAAACCCTAACCGTTATAAAATGCTTGAACTAGGTCATGTCGCGCACCTCGGACACGTGAAGACGCGGGTGAAACCGCGGGGCACAGCTAGTACAATATATAAATGATACATTTGTTGTATTGCCATGTGGTAGTGTAGCTTCACTGGTGGCTTCAATGAACCCAAAACCAAATGTTATGCCATGGGTGTTGTACAAGTGTTACTTACACTTAGGAAATGCCATAAAAGTCTTATATTATAACGTATGTAATGACAGAAAAAATTAACCTATAATATTAAACCTATATAAATGTCAGTATCACCATCTAGAACTAGACAGATTCTCACTCAGTTTGGCAATGGAATGCAAAATCAATATCTGGTACTAGATTGACACCTGCCTATTAAGTGTGTGATTATGGCAAATCTTCCTCCATATGATGAGCACATTTCTTGGAGTGAACTTAACAAGCTGATGATTTTATAAAATAAAAATAAAAATAGTTTATTCAGTAAATGATCATACATTAATTATAACCAGGCACGAATTCTGTTTTTGGATATAAAAACTTGTGTAAGGAGACTCCGCTCTTCCATAGCACTTACTTTAACTACTTGCATGACCTTTACATAATAGTTGACTATTAAAATTAAAATAATAAAACTAACAACATTCACGCCAAAGGTGTGTATACACGCAAACGCGTGCGTGTGAGTGCGTGCATGGGCGCGCGCGTGTGCGTGGGTGTGTGTGTGTGTGTCTGTGTGATTGCGTGCGCGCGTGCGTGTGTTACAAATAAATTACATTATTTCATGTTACTTAAAAGAGCTTCAGTATCATCATAGCTCTTATGCAATAGCCATTTGGTTAGAACATATTTGGAATTTCGGTAATTAAGGTGATAAATATTTGTTTTTATTAATGGCGTTGTATAGAGTCGCAGACTGTTTTACATATTGCCTCCTAGCTAAAGCAGTTTTAATTGTGACAACTGTAGCTTCTACGTCTTTCCTTCTTTTGGCTGGTATAAAACAGTCAAACTTTATACCTTTGTGCAGTTTTAGAACTAAATATAAGATGTTCAGTTGCATTACAGTGAGTACATTACTTACAGCATAAAGATATTCTGTTGGAAATCTTTTAGTTTTAAAATGCATAATCTTTAACAATTTTCTCTGGGCCCTTTCAACTTCTAGAAATTTAGTTTTTGTAGCACCACCCCATACAGGAATACAATATACTAAAATAGATTGAGCCAAAGCAATATATATTTGGTAAGGTAAATTTTTCGTCGTTATATTTCTTTGTGTTTTAAATTTCCAAGTAAGTTTCCTAAGTCTATTCATGATTAATTCAATGTGTCCATGCCATGAAAAATGTTAGTCAAATATGACTCCTAGATACTTGGTCTCGGAGACTTTACTAATTAATGAAGTACATAAGGGATCATTGCATGTGTGAAGTTTAATTTGGAAATTGATGTTAGGTTGACTTCGAATTTAATTTGTAAAACATATAAAACTGGTTTTCAAAGTATTTAAAGTAAGCAGGTTAGAGTTCAGCCACTTTGCGATCCTCGCAAGTCTTTCTTCAGCAAATCTATGTATAGAATCCCAGGAATCACCAGTAAATATTACTGCAGTATCATCTGCATAGGAAATTACGTGGCCTTCGTTAATGTCCATATTAGTTAGATTATTTATGTAGGCTAAGAACAATGTAGGACCCAGAACACTGCCCTGTGGGACTCGGAATGTTATATCTGATTCCTCGCTTAAGTATTCACCTATATTTAATTTCTGCTTGCAATCCTTAAGATAGTCTTTAAATAAAGCTAAGGGAATACCCCTTAAACCCATGTCCTCAAGCCTGTGTACAAGGATGGGAACAGAAACGGTATTGAATGTTTTCTTAAGATCTAAAAGAAGTTAATTCCAAGACTGCATGTTCTGTAGAAAGTCCTGATTGAAAATTGGATAAAATATTATATTTGTGCCATCCTTGTACACGGTTGTCCCCTTCGCCATCCTTGTTAGGGAGTTATAACTGCTTTATAGGGGCATCTGGAAAGATTCCCATATGAAATCACAGATTAGCCAAGATCACTGGAACAACAAACTCATGTGCCATCTTAAGGAATTTGCTCGATGTTATCTCAACTAGTTTGGAGCTGCATTAATATGCTGTATACTTCCTGAGAGTGAGTTCCTAATAATATAAAGGATGACAGGTTGTTCATCTACCGATAATAGTAGACGCTTGCCAGGTAGCACTCGATTTGATAGTATCAGCTAAGGTTTTGCCCACATATGCAAAAAACTTATTGATATAATTTACAGATACTTATAGACAGATACAGATATATATATATATACATTGGGTTTTATTACATTTACGATACGTTATCTTATTTATTGCATTCCATATAGCTTTAGGGTTGTTATTCGCTTTAGATAATTGCTCACAATCATAATTGCGTTTTAGTTTTTTAATTAAGTTATTGCAATAATTTCCATACCTTTGATATGTTAATTGTAATATTTGGTTATGAAGATCACATTCAAGCTTTCTTTGCATGTTATTTCTATTTCTTACACACCTTAATATACCACGAGACATCCAAGGTTTGATGATACATTTATTAAACGGGATCAAAGTCATTTTAGTGTTATCTAGGGGGCATTTTCTTAATGTACTTATTCGAAGTTCAGTCATAATGTTGGGGTCATCATAAGATAAGAGATCTAAAATATTATTATTTTTCAAACATGTTAGAGCATTTTCAAAATTACTTAACATATTGGTTTTAGAGCCTTTGCTCATATCACTCACATTTGTTAACTTCAGAAAGATCATTTGGTGATCAGTAATAGTAGTATTTAATATAGCAATCGATACAGATTTAAATATTAAAATGATCTAGACAAGCATTAGCCCTTGTAAGATTCATGTGACCCGGAAGTTACCCTTGCATTGCAAGCACATTCAAGTAACTCAGTCTATTATTATATTCAAATGCTTGTTTGTTTCATTTAGGTATTATATTTATATTAATATCTCCTGGTATAATGATATTTTTAAATGATTTGAAGTTATCCAAACATTTATTTAAAGAAGTGATAAAGTTTTCCGCATTAGTAATTGAAGGTGAGCGATAAATTCCAAGTACAACAATATTATTTATATTTATTTGTAGGCACAAAGCATGCATTAATTTTACTTCTTTGACATTAAATTTACGAGAGCTTTTAACATAAACAACAACACCATCACATTGGTTAAGGTGATTTGTTGTAAAAAAGGATGTGTAGTTAAATATTTGGGGAATATATTTATTGGCATTTATTTTACATTGACTTAGAACTATAAAATAAATGTTGTTTTTTAAACAAGATAAATTTAGCATAAAGTCATCAAAGTTTCAATAAATGCTCCTTATATTCTGTGAAATGATGGTGAGATCTACATTATTTATGCAAATGTGCTTAGAAAATTTGTCTAGTTATAGTTTATTTCCTTCATAATCATTAAGAGGCTATTTTTCATGATCGGCATAGTGTTAACAATAATTTGTTATACGTGTTTTATAGCACACTTGCAAGTTATTATTTATCATTCGAATAATGCATTGATGTTTTAATATTTGCAGGTATGTATTTTTAATCATAATAGAAATGTGATATTGTTGTAAGAATAAAAATGTGTATATAAAAAATAAATTATTTATTATATAATATGTTTATCTGATTCTGATGTCTGATTTAAAATAATATATTATAGTTACATAAATTTTTTATGATTATAAACATAAAGATGAATTATATACAAACTTTTTCTACTTCAACCACAAAGACAAAACAGAAAGGGCAGAAAAAAGAAGAAAAAGTAACAATTACTTACAAACTATAATGTAACCAATACCTGCATGAGTAGTAACACACCAATTTTTCATCTTTTGGCATTGCAAATCTTTGGTGAAATAGATAGTCCACATTTTTGTAAGTATCTTCATCTGACAGTAAATAAAAACAAACTGTTAGAACATGATTTACATCTTATGTGACATTATTTAATCTCAGTGTAAGATTTTATAAATAAGTACCTTCAGTTAAAGTTTCCTGTTCAGTAGCTATAATTGAATTAATTTTACAACATACAAATTCTGTAATTTCTTCCTCCTTATCAAATGAATGTAAAGTTGGGCTTACATTTTCAAATAACCACTGCCAGTCTTGCCTAATCTCTTGTTCAGTCAGAGCTGTTGCTATTACTGTTGAAATATATGTAACTAATGTAGAATATATAAACAAAAAATGCTGAATTTTAATAGACATTTACTAACTAGTTTTTCACATATTGTTGCTTTACATTTAAGATACAAAAATAAAAAAATTCTACATGAAAGAAATCAAAAAACTTTTTTGGCAATATTATTCAATTTAAATGAAAATAACTTATCTCACAAAATTGATGTTTATAAAAGAAGCAAGTAATATTTTAGTTTCTATTACCATAATATATTTCAGAGTTAGGAGTTTGATGTAATATTCTATATGGAGCTGGTTTCGTGTCCATAACACTATCTAAAGTGCCTACTAGAAGAGAAGAAAAACCTTTCGATTTGCCATGACCTTTTCTCCTTTGAAGAACAAAGTATAAAGTTGTCTCATCACTGTCCCTATTTCAAAAAATTAAAAAATAGTAAGAGAATGAAAACAAAATAGAACTTTATGGACAAAAGATATGCAAGTGTTTTAAAAGGTAGGTAAATTACCACATAGCAGTTTTTATGAACACCTCTTGAGGTTTAACCCACATATTAAATTTTATTTAAAAAACACTAAACATCAAACTCATGCACTAATGTGCTGGGTATTTTTCATCTTCTAACAATTTTTTTAAACGATCTAGCAAAACAACCAAAATCAAGCAGAAAACAACTGCGAATTACTTTGACATTTGAGTTTGACAGTGACACTGACAATTTTTTTTTGGAGTTTATGGCCTGGTCACAGATTACTAACTAGTTTGGTAACAGATACATCACTTCTATACAAAAGCGAAAATACTTACTAAACGTAGTGGTTATATTCTCTTTAATACCTACGCTATAATGGCCTACAAAATCTTAAAAATAATATCTGATGTTCGCAGCGAGAAGAAAATGTACCATAATTACACGAGTAAAGAGTCGAGATTGTATTACCCGCTGTGCGACTCACGTGCAAGCGCGTCATCGCACGAATGAGTTAGGGTTGTACCCATGATTATTGTAATAAAACGAATGTTGCGAATTAACCATATTTTTTATTTGTCAATCAAATATATTTATACATTTTTTTCCTTCTCTGAATTATCGGTTATTAAATTTTATCGTTGAAAATGTTCTAAATCGCGTAAATAATTTTAATAAATAATCATGAGGGGAAACAGGAGCAAAGCGGATCAAAATTAATAGTTTGTAAAAGTTGTAACACGCTGCTGCTAGGCCGATTCATCATGACGTTGTCAAAATTAAGTTTTAAGTTTTCTAATTCTTCAATATAATTATTAAAAGTGTGGTGGGACTTTTAAACTCTCTTTTAGACTCACCATAAAAAGATGAATCTTTATTATAGACTTTGAAATGAGTATACAGTGTTGTTTCGTCAACATTAGGTTTCTCCTGTATTGAAGCTAGTGCAGTCATGTTTTTTGCTACACTTATATAATAAATACCCTGATAAAATAACAATTTTTCATTTGTATTTTGACTTTGACACCCATCCACTACACAATAATTACGTGGTTTCGGCATTTCGACGAGTAAGCGCGGGAAACGTGCGCGGTGTGAGGGCTCAGGCGGGCTCAGTGCGGCGGCCCTATGTCGGTTGTATCGTGGGCGATACGCAGAGCGGTAGGCATATAACGCGTGGCTTTGAGCGAGTGACGGAGGCCTGGCCTTGTATCCCACTGACTTAGAATTATATGTCTATGTGGTATCTGGAGCTTTAGGCCATGACACTGACATTTGTTGTAAGCAGGGCTGCCAATGTATGTAGTTAATTCCGCAAAAATCCAAATAAAATTCCCCAAATTCGGGAACAAAAACCTGCTGAATTTCCACAAATTCCCTTCAATAATATTTTAATCAATGAAACAAGTTTCAACTATTTAGATAATATTTATTTTTTAACCTTTGTTGCACTTTTTCCATACGTTTGATGCAAGAATTTTGCTCGAAGGATTAAACTTGACACTTCCGCCCAATTTTTTTATCCCCTCTCTTGTTGCCATTAAAGATACTACAGTATCTGTATTTAGCCGATTGCGGTTTTCTGTTTTTAAATATCGAAGCGCACTAAATTTTCTTTCGACCGATGCGTTTGAAAATGGCAGTATGAGCAACACAGACATAAAATTTTTATGTTTGGAAACATGTATTCTCCCGCAGCAATTTTAAAGCAAAACACTTTACCCCAGTAACTTTCGGCATCGATGTTATCTCTATGAATTTCAAGCCCATATTGATCAAAATCTAACAAAGCGTGAGTTCGCCACTCACCATCTAATTTTTGTGCGGTCATAAATTTACAAAGCACTGGAAATCGCTTCAGCACAGGCACCAGTGATTTAATTAGAAACTGTTGAGCTTCCGATGGATTTATAGCGAATATAATAGAAAGTAAAGGATTCCTGTAATGTCTGACGTCAATTCGATATAAAACTCCTGGAAGGTTCTATCATCATTCATCATTACAGCCCTTCACAAGTCGACTGCTGAACATAGACCTCCCCCAAGAAATGCCACAAAGCACGGTCCTGAGCCACCTGCATCCATCGACTTCCTGCATGTCTCACTAGGTCGTCACTCCATCTAGTGTGGGGTTGCCCTACACTTCGCCTACCGGTACGAGGCTACCACTCGAGAACCTTTCTTCCCCATCAGTTGTCAGTTCTTTGAGCTATATGGTCGGCCCACTGCCACTTCAGCTTACTAATCCATTGGGCTATGTCGGTTACTCTGGTTCTGCTGCGGATATCCTCATTTCTAAGTTTATCACACAGAGACACCCCGAGTATAGCCCTCTCCATAGTTCGATGAGCGATCTTGAGCTTTTTTTTTATAGGAAAAATGTGAAAAACGAGCCCACAGTCCACCTGATGGTAAGTGGTTGCTGCGGCCCATAGACATCTACATCTATCCACGTTTGCGAATCAAAATGCAGATGCGTTATCACCCGTGAGGACTAAGATGGAATGCCTCATTCCCAGTAAAAAGGGCCTCCGGCCACCTGCAATCACCAAGCGAAACGCAGAGGTGAACCTCTACTTCACGCTGGTATTCTGTGAGGTCGTGGTACCACCCCGGTTCGAGCCGGCCCATCAGTGCGACAGCAAAAGCTGCCGCGTGGCTCTACCACTGTAGCTTCCTCATACGACCAGTAGTGAAGGACCACGCCTCAGATCCGTAAGTCATCACTGGCAACACGCACTGGTTGTAGAATTTCGTTTTTAGGTTTTAAAGTATATCTAACGAGAAGATGTGTTGTAGTTTCCCGAACGCTGCGAAGCCGAGTTGAATCCGTCAATTGACCTCTCGGTCGACGTTGGACTTACCTAGTCGGACTATTTGTCCCAGGTAAACATACTCATCAACAACTTCGAGCTTAGTGCTCCCAACAACTACCGGCATAGGTGTGACATGGACATTAAACATGATTTTTGTTTTGTCCATGTTCTTAAGACCTATCCGTTGGGAGACATTATTGAGGTCATTGAGCATAATGCTTAGGTCCTCCAACAATTCTGCCATAAGGACTAAATCGTCGGCAAATCGAAGGTGAGTGATGTACTCGCCATTGATGTTAATACCGCATCCTTTCCAGTCCAGTAGCTTGAAAACGTCTTCCAATGCAGCGGTGAAGAGTTTTGGGGATATAATGTCACCCTGTCTTACACCTCTCTGCAGTTGGATAGGTTTCGTACTCTGATTCTGTACTTGGATAGCCATCGTAGCTCTACTGTACAAACACTTCAGCACTTCGATATACCGATAGTAAACTTGGCACCGCTGAAGGGACTGCAGCACCGCCCAAATTTCGACGGAATCAAAGGCTTTCCCATAGTCCACATACGCCAGACATAGTGGCAAATCGTATTCCTGGGACTTCTGTACAATTTGCCGAAGGGTATGTATGTGGTCTATGGTACTGTTACTAGCTTGGGGTTCGAGACAATTAAAAACTGCCGATTGAATTACCAAAATTGACACTTTAATTACACAACACTAATTACAATCTAAAATCACACTAATAATAAAACACAGTTCGCCGTTATTTCGCTTCGAAGTAATCTCTTGTATCGCCAATTCAATACTGCCTCGGTCGTGGTCTATACAGGCCTTATATAGGGCCTCAGATAGTTTCCAGAATCTTCTACTGTAGCGACATCTAGAATGTTCGAGTACATATCGGTGCCGAAATTTCTGGAAGGATCTTGACTCTCCTAGTTCAGCTACTCGACACTAGAGGGCGCTAGTGTAACTAGTGTTGCCATGTACAAGACATTAATAGTGGCGCGCAACATATTATTTTATTTGACACTAGAGGGCGCTAGTGTAACTAGTGTTGCCATGTACAAGACATTAATAGTGGCGCGCAACAGTACTAAAGCCCTTTCGGAAACCGGCTTGTTCGGGAGGCTGGAAGTCGTCAAGTCTGCGCGCGAGACGATTCGTAATGACTCTCGAAAACAGCACGTAAACGCGGCTCAGAAGAGGAATCGGTCTGTAGTTCTTCAAGAGAGCGTTGTCACTTTTTTTGAAGAACAAGGCCACCGCACTTCTGCTCCACGCCTCCGGAGTAGTGCCACCATGGAGAACGGAATTAAAGAGCTTCTGAAGAACTTCAAGTACCGATTTTCCACCCGCTTTCAGAAGTTCCAAATTACAAGTACAAGTTTCGATGTAATTCCATCCTCGCCTGCGGCATTGCCGTTTTTAAGGTGCTGGAGAGCCATTCTAATCTCGCTCACACTGACGTCCGGGATATCTTCGGAATAGTGTCGGATAAGACTCGCTCTTGGATCGTTACTCACACTTACATGTGGCTCCAACGATGACGTGTACAGCTGCCCATAGAACCTCTCAATCTCACTCAAAATCTCAGGTGTCCCGGAAATGATGCTGCCACACTCGTTCTTCAGCTTTGACAGTTGGCTCTTTCTGGCAGACAGATCTCTGGCAAAGACTTTGGAGCCTTGGTTCCGGTCGATCGCTTCTTCAATACAAGATGTATTGAAGTTGCGTAAGTCCCGCCCTATGCATTTGGAGATCTGTCTGTTCAGTTGCCTGTATGCTGTCAAATCTGTTGAAGAGTATAGCTTTACCTCCCGTCTAACAGCCATGAGATTAAGAGTGAGATCGGAGAGTTTTTGTGTTCTTCTGCGGCGGGTCTTGCAGAACTTAGCTCCAACCGCATGGACAGTTTCCACGAGCTTGTCATTCATATCGTCCACTTCATTGCAGTCTTTTAGGCACTGAAAACGGTTTTGTAACTCGAGCTGAAAAGTTTGGGGACTTTGGAACAGAGCACGAGGGGGATGGAACGTTGACTTTATTAGACGAGACCTCTCCAACTTAACGTTTAGGTTCAGTGTGCCTCTGACCATTCGGTGATCGCTACCAGTTTTCAGCCTCGCGATCACGGAGACATCACTGAACAGTTGTCGTCTGGTCGTCATAATGAAGTCAATATCATTTTTTGTCGGACCGTCGGGGCTCGACCAGGTCCACTTCCTGTGAGGCCGCTTCTGGAAGAAAGAGTTCATCATATAGAGTCCCTCTTTCTCCATGAAGTGGGCCAGCTGCTGACCCCTTGGTTTCCATTGCCCTATTCCAAATTTCCCTTCTTTCAGCTCACCATTCTCTCTTGTGCCTAGTTTTGCATTGAAGTCTCCCATTAACACCGTATAGTGGGTTTTGGAGGAATGCATGGCTCTAGAGATATCCTCATACATTTCCTCCACCTCCTGATCAGGATGTGCCGAGGTTGGTGCGTAAACCTATATGACCTTCAGCGAATACCGTCTGGTGATTCTGAGTATAAGGTACGCAACCCTCGTCGACCCACCCTCAATCTTTACAACGTTGTTAACGAGAGACTTGTGGACGATAAGTCAGACACCTGCTTGGGACAGATGGTCGCCCTCTCGGTGATAGAACAGGTTGCCGGATTCGAGGATTACCATGTCCTGCTCCCCTCTTCGGACGTTTTTCTTTAATTATGTTTTTATTTCGAAGCATTTGATGTAAACAGTCATATAGTCCCGTAGCAGTTCCTGATGACAATTCCACCATATCCAGAAACAAATGCTCTACCTTATTAGTGTTCTCATCAGTAAAACAGGATTGTTTTAAAGAGCTCTGATCCGTCGTTCCATCCATTATTAATGAAAAAAATATTTTTCTCCGCGTAATTTTTCATATATTATATCATAGAGTATACACGCGCGACATCAAACAGGGTGGACGTGTTATCGGTTGTAATTACAAAAATAATAAAATACGCTTATACGAACTTGATTCTTAAGTTAATTAAGTGCATAAAGTAAATCGGCATACACTGCCCTACGCTATTGTGACATTACATTGTTGGGTACGCCGCGAGTGAATATACGTGCCACGGATCAATATGATGCCAATACACTCACCTACTAGAAGCGGTATAGGCTCTGGACTTAGTGGTTCACAACCTAATTTATTTACGGGAGATTCAGCCACAGACGTTTCTACGGCAACGCAAGTTGCATTTCGTAGCAAGCGGAAACATACAGTGACCAGGATATTAAAGATGAACTGAGCGAAATACGAAAGGGAATGGCAGAAATGATGCAAATTTTAACATCGATTAACAAGAATCAAACGGAAACTAACAAGATATCGGAAGATGGCAGTTTACTAAAGGAACATGTAAAAGATCTTAAGACCGAGATGGATAGTCTTCGATTCGAAAATGAAAAAATGAAGCGTAACATAGATAACTTGATCAGTAAATACAATGACAATGACAAACAAATGGGAAAGTTAGACTCTGAAATTAAAAACCTCCAAAGTACAAAACTAATAGCTCCAGTTACCACAACAACTATTAGTAACACAATAGAAGAAACTGTAATGTCAGAACTTTCCGATCGATTGGTTAGAAGCAAAAACATAATAATAACTGGATTAATGGAAACAAAAACATCTGATTACAAAGAAAGAAAAGAGACTGAAAAGAGAGAAGTACTTAGTTTATTAAGAAAGATCTCCGATGATTGTACGGAACCAAAAAGTATTACATGCCTGGGAAAGTATGCGCCAGATAAACAAAGGCCACTCAAAGTGTGTTTCTCAACATCAGAAGAAGCTGTTTTTGTATTACGTTCTAAAAGTAATGAAAAACCGAATCCCATTAAAATTTTCCCAGATCAAACGCCTCGACAACAATCTTTTTACAAAAAACTAAAAGAAGAGTTGAAATATCGAAAGGACAATGGAGAGATAAACCTAACTATCAAATACAATAAAGGTATACCTAAAATAGTTGAAATTGCGCCAAAAAACTAACAAAATTTCATGATAGTCAAATCCCAACCTTTAAAACTATCTCTCACCAACTAGCTTCTCAGTATGAGAATATTATAATGACAAAAGACTCCTTAAAATGTTTTTATATCAATGCACGCAGTATAGTTAAAGCAGGCAAATTTGAAGAGCTTAAATGTATTTTAAAATCTTTTCAACTTACGATACATTTAATTTTAATTACGGAAACTTGGATAAAGTGTGAAGAGGAAGCTAAACGATTTCAAATATGTGGTTATACTCATTACTATAACGTAAGACCCAGTAGCAGAGGTGGTGGAGTATCAATCTTCGCTCACAACAACTTGAAACAATCTTATAGAAGAACAATGTCTTGATGATAATCATTATCTATGGATTCACGTTGACAAGTATTCGCTGGATGTGGGTGTAATCTACAGAAAGCCCGACAACAGCAATATTAATAAATTCATAGAAACATACTCAACAAAATTAGAATCGCGCAGAAGGGCAGTGGTATTTGGTGACTACAATATAGATCTATTATCCCATGAACGTACAACTTCTATGTATATGGAAATGCTGGAACAGTGTGGCTGCAAATTGTTAAATAAAATTGATTCAAAATACTCTACCCGTGTAACTCCTTCTTCGAATACTGTCATTGATCATGTTAGCACGAGTCTCAAAGAACATCAATTTCACCTTGCTATAATAGAATCATCTATGTCTGATCATAGACAGATCTATTTTGAGATCAAGAAGTATAAGCAAGATGTTTTATCAAAATATGAATATAAAGCAATAAACTACACCAAATTGTATAATACAATAACTGGAAACAGTAATAATCATGATTATGTAAAACTGGAAGAAAAAATTCTATCTAGCATAAATAAAAGCAAAACCACTAAGATCAAAGTTCTCAATCTACCACGAAGGGATTGGATTAATAAAGATATCTTAAACGAAATAAACGCAAGAAATAAATTATGGCATAAATATAAAACTAATTCAAGTAATGAAAGTACAAGAGATAATTTCGTGAAGAAAAGAGGTGAAGTAAGCAATCTAATACAAAAAACTAAAAGCGAATACTATTATAAGGCGTTTATAGGTTGTAAACACAAACCAGCAAAAATGTGGAAACTAATTAATAATCTATCTAATAATAAGCTCAAAGAAACTACTGCTCCGAATAAACTAGTCACGCACGAGGGTTATATTATTAGTGATAGTAGAGATATCTGTGAATGTTTTAATGATTTTTTCTCGAATATCGGTTCGATCCTGGCAAATCAGATATCTAAAGTTAACCAACCAGTATTAGACAAAATAACTAACGAAACTGGAAGTGATGCTGTATCCTATTGGACACCTGCAACTGTACACGAGATCAGTAAAATTATAGACGACTTAAATCCTAACACTAGTGCTGGGTTAGACGGGGTAACTACAAAATCTATAAAATGCATCAAGGACATATTTGTTGAAGAGCTTGTAAATTGCATTAATAACTGCTTTGAACAAGGCGTATTTCCAGACAGTTTAAAAGTAGCAAAAGTACTTAACTCCGATATATAAAACAGGAACTAAATCAGATCCCGGAAATTACAGACCAACCTCAGTATTACCAGTACTATCTAAAGTTTTCGAACGTGCGTTATACAATCGTCTTGCATACTACTTAAATTCTAAAAAAATACTATACGATAAACAATACGGTTTTAGACCGAAATCGAATACTCTTTCGGCAACAATAGATTTAGTCACAAAAATCAAAGTTAGCATAGACAAAAAACAATTAGCACTAGGTATTTTTATAGACCTTAAGAAAGCGTTTGATACGGTTAGTCATGAACTGATACTGAGTAAATTAAAATATATTGGTATCTCTGGTTCTGCTTTGGATATTTTTGCATCATACTTATCCAATAGATATCAAGTTGTAAAAATTGGTTCTAATCAAAGCAAACCAAAATTAATAACTTTTGGAGTACCCCAAGGTTCTATATTAGGGCCGTTGCTTTTTCTGACTTATATCAATAATATTAAGGGTATTGGATTAAAAGGTAACATAACGTTATATGCAGACGACACATGTTTGTTTTACTACGGATATTCGATTGATGTATTGATTGCCGATGCTCAATCAGATCTTAATATATTGAATACTTGGTTTCAATCTAACCTTCTTACTATAAATATTACCAAAACTCACTACGTAATTTTTACATCAAAAAATAAAAAAAATTGGTAACTATCAGCCTTTGACAATAAATAGTGAACTAATTTCTAAGGTAGATCATGAAAAATACCTTGGTCTGTTGTTGGATAACCATTTGACATTTAAGTCTCATATAAATAATATTAAATCTAAATTGGTTTCTCTTACTGGTGCACTGCGAAATATAGTGAAATGTTTTTTTTTTTTTTTTTTTATAGGATCGGGTGACAAACGAGCACACAGTCCACCTGATGGTAAGTGGCTACTGTGACCCATAGACATTCTACATCTATCATCAATAAAGACTCAAGATGCAGATGCGTTGTCACCCGTGAGGACTAAGATGGAATGCCTCTTTGCCAGTAAAAAGGGTCTCCGGTTCTCTACACTCACCATACGAAACACAGCAGCGTTAAGCTGTTATTTTACGCTGGTTTTCTGTGAGAGCGTGGTCCTTCCCCGGTCGAGCCGACCCATTCGCGCTACAACCATAATATAGCTGCAGCATGGCTCTACCACGTAGTAAAGTGACGTGGTTTCCCACGTGACGTGCGTTACACTATTTATAATTCGTTAGTCAAACCACACATTGAATACCTTATAGAGGCGTGGGGCACAGCAGCAAAAACAAATATAGAAACAATACAGGTAGCACAAAATAAACTGGTTAAGGTACTATTTAATTACGACTTTCTTACTCCAACGGCCCAAGTTTATAAGGATATTAAAATCATGAATATATCACAAACATATAAATATTGTACTTGCATTTTAGTACGTAAAATACTAAATAAAAGCATTCGTACAGAAATAACATTTACAAAAAATAAACCTATAACAAAACTAAGACCAAGACTTTACAGAGAATTAAAACTACGTACAGCACGTACTAACTACGGTAAAAAATGTATTTTGAATGAAGGTGCCTTAATCTACAACAAACTACCAAAAGAGATAAGGGATGCCAAATCTATGACAACCTTTAAAAAATTACTAAAACCTTATTTTCTAAACACATAATCTAGGTGATTTGGTACTTCGCTTAAATTGTAGTTAATCATTGGATGATTAAAATATTAATACGTAAACTAAAATGCTAAAATGTTATTAAATTGGCATTATATTTGATTCAACTTAATACAATTATGATTAATAAAACTTGAATGTGAATATGTGTGTGTGTATGTGTATGTGCATATATATGTATTGGTATGTAAATAATGTATTCAAACATGTATATGTACGTGTATGTGTATGTTTGTATGTGTGTGTATGTGTATGTATGTATATGTATATGTATGTGTGTGTGTGTATATTTGTATATATGTATATACTGGTAGAAAGTTTAAAAAATATATCTAAGAAAGCTTATATAGCATTGACCAAGTAGTAATTGCGCTCAATTAAGGATGCATATCACTTCCAGTCTCGATAGTTCAACGTCAATTCGATTAAGCGAAGCATAATGTCGGTATATGAATATTTTTGCACTCTGCAGTCGAACCAAATAGTGTAAATGAATGCTATTTTTAATCGTTGCATTTTACGTTTATTATTTTACTTTGCACTTAAAACTTTTCTTTTTGTTACATTATTTACCTTAGATTTTAAAGAAAACTGTGTCATTTTGTTTTATTATCACTTTGTTTGTGTGTCGTGCCGTTTGAATTAAGCTATGTAATATTGTGAACATTTCTCATGTAAGTGAATTATAATTCTTTTGAGAAATAAACATCTTAAACCACAATTTCACTAATAAACGATTCAAATATTATAATAATATAATAAACAATTTCTGTTCTAAAGAGAACTGAACGTCGTTACAATGTTGCATCAGTGAACCCTTTTTCTTTTTAAACACTATGGATGTTACATAAAAAAAATTAAAGTCGATAAGTAGATTCGAATGCAGTGATTATGTATGTACTTGTGAAGGAATATTTCACCATAAATGACGAATAACCACATTGTGATGATAATAAAACATCTTATTCTTTTAATTAACTAAAGAATAAAAAAATTATATAAAAAAAATTAAATTATCATGTCATGTCACCTTTACATGACGCAGTCTTTTGTCGTTGTGCGAAGTGACTGTGCGGTGCGTTTGTGGTGTGCTCTTTGTTATTTTCTTCTAGCCCGGTTTTTTATTGGACGGATTTTACTTTGACGTTTACCTGGCTTTATTGGACTCCGATTGCTTAACGATTAGTAAACAAGAACAAAAGTCTTGTTTTACCATGTCGAAACGAGGAAAAACGCTAAACAGTCAATCTCGCGAACTAGTGGTGAAATTGTACAATTATTTTGAACGTGAATCAGTTAACAATGCGCCTCTTTTACCATTGATACAACTGAGAGAGCGTGTTGTCGAAACACTGGGAATAGGGAAGAGAACAGTAACTCAAATTCTCAAAGAGAAATATAGTCCATCAGGCTCAGAAGATAATACTTTACGTACACTGAAAAAAATAAATAAAGAGGGACAAGAAAATTGTTGGCGTTGATAACTTTGATGCTGCTGCAATTCACAACCACATTTATGGATATTATTCGAGAAAAGAATATCCTACACTGAAAAAGCTATTGTGTTCGTTCAAATAGGCAGGCTTATTTTTTGGCGGTAAATCGTGTCTATTTAAGACTCGATTGACTTTAGTTTTAAAAAATCTAACAAGCGGAAAATCCTGCTGGAACAATTTTAAAGAGAATAACATTCTTACATCAAGTAAATAAAATTAAAGATTGGGAAAATGTCATGTTAATTGACGAAACATGGTTGAATGCAAATCATAGGGTTTCGCGGACATGGACCGATGATATAGCGGCCTCCACCTCAAAAGTTTCATCGGGAAAAGGAGCCCGCCTTATTATATGTCACTCGGGCTTAGCTTCTCAAGGTTTTATACCAGACTTACGGTCTAAGACTACAAGTGATTACCATCAGGAAATGAACTTTGAGGTTTTTAAAGAGTGGTTTGAGAAACTGCTAGTCAGCTTAGAAAACCAATCGAAAATTTTCATGGACAATGCACCGTATCATTCTCTACAAGTTGATAAACCACCAGCTCAAGCAAATAAAAAGCAAGAAATTGTCTCGTGGCTGTTAAGACATGGTGTGGAAGCAAGTCCAACTTTATTGAAAGTTGAGTTGTTAAATCTGGTAAATACAAGTAAGCCGTCCAAGCCCCGCTATGTAATCGATGAACTAGCCCTACAGCATGGACACGAAGTTATTCGATTGCCTACCATTGCCAGTATAACGCTATTGAGCTTATATGGGCACAAATAAACGGTCATACATCGCGGAACAATACTGAACCACCCTTCAGTACTGCTAAAATGCTGACTCTGCTACAAACTGCCTGTGCAGAAGTCACTACAGAAGACTGGAGAAAGGTCGTGGAGAAAACAAAGGAAATAATTTTACAAGATTTTGAACGAGATGTGAACATAGACAATATTATTTAAAACGAATTAATAATATCTCTCAATGCTGACAGTAGTGATGAAGATGACAATACTAGTTACAGTTCTGATAGTTCAACTGAATAAATGCTATTTTTTGTTGAATTATGTACTTGTCTTATTTTGTTCCTTAAAAAACAATGGTCAAATTTCTACAGGAGCTGGACTTAACTTTTATTTTTCATGTCCCAAAACAAACTATAGCCAGATTGATTTGTTTTTATGTTGTAAACACCATCCCGTTTTAAAATTATATCTAAATAGCCACAATGTTTTATAATAACGTCAACAATATTTTTGGGGTTAGCATAAATAACTACCTTTTATCCCACTGATACGTAGCCTAAAAGTGTAGTAAGCGATAAGCGAGGAGGGTAATTAGCAATCTCGTTTCCATTTATTTCGATTTCTTTGAGATCATTATCATTAGTATCACAATCCACAACAACGAGTGAAGCAAATAAGATGATACGAATTATTGCCGGGTGACAATCAATAGCGTCGACCGATGACCACAGATTATGTAACTTGGCGATGACAAATGACATTCCGTTGTTCGTAATTGAACAAAACGCTTAGCTTACTATGAAGCTACATAATTATTTTATGACATGAATCCAGTACATAATAAATCAATATAGTAGTTGATTTGATGCCTACATACTAATTGAATTGAGTTACAGTTAATAACTATTCAGAAAAACGTAAATAATTATAATGTTTGAATACAAAGTCCTTTCGTAAGCGAAATGAATCGTCATTACATGCGTTCCAGTGCGTTCTTAAACCATTATTTTAAATAATTTCGGAACAGTTACAAAAGAAAAATAAATGGATAACTCTTTTTTGTGGCTACTTAGATAGGTATTTTTTGTGTTTTTAAGACCTTAAAAAATAAGCGTATTTTTCATAAATATGGCATATAGTGACGCCATCATTTCGTCGTCTGGTACGATTTGACCAACCTTCTTTACGATAGAAAATAATGATGGGACAGGGATTCGACTGCTATTCTTTTTTATAAAATTACAGTACCTATTCAGTTATTGTGAAAAAGCACTTACAGGTACTGTAATTTTACTCACATATGTTTGAAGTCCGTATCGATTCATTCACTTCAATCGATGTTTTTAAGTCACCTCAATATAAAGCTAAAACTGACAAATGTCAAATGTGATCTATTAAATTGGCCCTACTATTAAACATTATTTATTATAGCTGTCGCCTTGGTTCTGTGTAAATTCATATTTTAGCTATAACTGAGTCTGCGAAAATATTTTTGAAGAGTGGGCCCAAGATGTCGCTAAATGATATTGGTATATTATTTTCAGTCAACGTTCCGGCTAATTTTAGTTCAGCTTTTAGTAAATTTATTTCTAAATCCGTCACTGGCAAATAATTTGAAATTTTTGGGACATTCTGTATTTCTAATATTTTTTTCTTATGGCGATCTGAATTCATATGTCGAATCAAATCACTTTTGCGCTATGATCGACACCGAACAAAACATATGCTAAATTATTTCCATCTTTCATTTTCGAATCTTTGCATAGCCAACTCAAGAAATTAAATCGTTAAATTTATTAAGGCGTTTTATTTTTTTAATTTGTGGATTGTTTGACTTACTTGTTGCCAAGCCTACTGAAGTCAAACTGGAACTGGGAACAGCATATTCTACTTCTATAGTAGAAGTTGAATATCTCCTTTTCGGGTTTCCTTTTACCTTCAAGCTAAAAAACAAAAATTAGGATAGTTAAGTTAATTATAATCACTGCGTTTCTGACAGATTGTAACCTGCTAAATGAGTTTCATGATCGCGCACAAACAAATAAATAGGCTATTAGTTACCTTACATTTATTATTTCTTATCTTATATATATATATATATATATATATTAATTATCTTCTTTGTTTTGGCTTTTCATTAACCATCTATCCATATTTGCACAAGATCGTATCGTTACGGTACGACGAAATACGAAATCAATTGTAAAGCTGGCATTTAAGGGCCTATACTACCTCAAATGGCTTAGCATGATCCTCCGTTATGCCTAAAATACTGCAGCATTGATTTTGAAATAAATATATAGTGAAGTTGAGGATTAATGTTAAGTACTGTCTTAGACGAAAACACGATTCCATAAAATTTTCACGATAGAAAAAAAATCCAAACTTACCTCCAAACCGAAAAATAAACCGCTGGTATTCAAAAAATAATTCAAATTAGATTATGAACCTTTGCATACTAACTGAAATAACTATAAAGCAGTGCTTATCTTTATACTTTTTTTTTATTTATCACTATTTTTACCGTAAAAAGAAATTACATAAACTTTCGTCGTTTTAAAGCTTGTTCCCTGCCGCCCGACACCGCCGCTCAGCCGCTCACTCTCCACAGAGTACTTTTATATATACTGTCTGGAGGTGGGCAAAGTGTATCATTTTTGGGATTGGAACATTTGCATCTTGATCACTGAAATGTTCTGAAACACTGATATGTTTCATTTGGCTCATTTGTATCATCGCCTCAAAAGATATAAAAGAAAGAATGTTCCGAATAGGTACATTAAGTTACGTCGCGGGCGTTTATTACTGACTAATCCGAGAAAAATTATGTGGCAACCATGCTGAATAATATAAGTGCTTAGATTATTTATTGTGTACCGTAATAAGATTGTATATAAAATCGATTTTCCTTCATACTTTAACAAAAATGTCACTATGGCAATTCATTATTTACAAAAATGTCCATTTACACAAAACAGCAATGTCTATGTACACAGAATTTACTCGTAAAGTATCATAACTCTAAACTTTACGATGAAAAGGAAGAAAGTAAAGTTACAATAATCACTACGCAAAGAAATCCTAAACATAACTCAGTATGTTTTCGTAAACAGGCGCTAATGAATATAAACAATTTGACAAGTGCCGCATCAACGTAAAATGTCAACTTGTTAATGCAAACGTTACATACAAAAAACGACCGTATAGTATTTGAGACATAAGCGCCTTAGTGGTAATTTTTTACGTGCATGAATAACGTCAGCGAAAATCCGTACGAGTTGAGGATACACTTCTTATTTGTTATCTCTATCTGACTTGTGTGGATTATAATTATTTCGCCCGCTCACTCGCCACTCGTGAGTCAATAGTTAAGTTAATCATTGTCTCAGTCTCTCTCTCTCGCTCGTCGTTCAGTCGCCTCGCAAGCGACGCGTCGCGCGAAATGAGCAAAGAGCAAAGTAATGTTTCACTGTTCCAGATACAAATGATACATTTGAAACGTTGTTACTGAACCAATCTTTTGTGTCACTTCAGTGATTCGTATCAGTGAGTCGTTTCCGTAAAGAGATACACACGTCTATACTGTCACTCTCGCTTCGGCTTTCGAACGGGAGAGCTGTGTCGCTAGGACGACGTAAAATTAAAATATTGAAATAGATACTTAGGTTTATAGTGTTGCCGCAATGGGAAATAAGCGTAATAAAAATAAGAAGCGACTGGGTTGGCGTAAAGAAACGGACAAACATATTATAATCGTAATGAAGTATCTACCGACCTATCTACTTACAGTATTAGTGATTACGAATATGTAGAAATTTAGCATATGACACGTTTGGACAATATACAACAAAATATAGGTATCTATGTAGTAATTGTTTTTTATAACGTTGCCCAGTCCAGGATTTCTCCTGAATCGGAGACGGTGCGATTACAAACACAAATTCTCACAACTATCTGTAGGCCATAAAAATATTTTTCCCTATGGGGATAGAACCCGCGACCCGAAGTGCAGAAGCCAAGCACTTAGTTAGTAATAAAAAATATAAGTGTGTTCGGTAAGTACCTGCCTATCTAACTGTAAAGAAATAAAACTGTAACTTACTTATCCGTCCTTACGTTATCATTACTCCGTGGCGCACAGGCTTAGCAATGAGTTGCTGCGCTGGAGTCCGTGGGTCCGAATCCCGCACGGAACAAGTATTTGTATGGCCTACAAATAATTGTTCCGGTTCTGGATGCTTGTAAACAAGTTTAAATGTTTTATTAAAGATAAATTGTACAAAAAGGAAGATTATAATATAAATGAATATATAAATTAAAATAACCCCTGGGAATGAGGTGATCACCACCACCACACACAATTTATTGTAAATTTAAATATGTTTAAAAAATAGTCCCGCTAGGTTTCTTGCTGGTTCTTCCCAGGACAGAGGTTTTTTTATGCGAACCAGTGGTAAATTAAAAAATTACTTTCAATAAATATTATACAACTAGCTGTGCCCCGCGACTTCGCCCGCGTAGAATTTCCTACGAATTCATGTATATCATTTTTTTTCGCGCGGAACCCTAATTTTGTCTTTGAGTAATGTTACCATCGTATAAATATTGAATAATATTGACATTAATATTTTATTATAGTATAGATATTAATGTCATTATTTATAAGATAGTAACATTACTCAAAAACAAAATTAGGGTTCCGCGCAAAAAAATTGATATCCATGAAATCATAGTAAATTCCATGCGGGCGAAGTATATATATATATATATATATATATATATATATATATATAATAGCTGTTCCCCGCGACTTCGCCCGCGTGTTATTTGGGGTTTTAATATTTTTGCGCGGAACCCTAATTCTTTTTCGAAAATTATTGTAGCCTAAGTTACTTCTTGTGACATCACCTATCTATCTGCCAGTGAAAATCCCGTTAAAATCGGTCCGGCCGTTTCGGAGATTAGCCGGAATAAACACACAGACAGACGGACAAACAGGCAGACAGACAGAGAAACTAAAACTTTAAAAATTATATTTTTGTTATTAGTACCATATATACTTTCATATGCATTTATTAAAAAGCTGTAATGTTGAAATTACAAACAGAAACTTCAATTTTATTTAATTGTATAGACTAGCAGTTCCTTGCGACTTCGCCCACCCGTAATTTATTACGATAGGATTTCATGGGTTTTATTTTTTTTGTGCGGAACCCCAATTCTTTTTCTAAAATAAAAGTAGCCTATGTTACTTTTTATAACATCAGCGATCTGCCAGTGAAAGTCCGGTCAATATCGGT